GGCCTCGTCGCATGACCAGACCCCCCCCCCAATTTTACAACCCCTTTTTTTTTTTTACTGCGGTTGCTATGCAAATCGTGCAGTTGTTAAGTGAACCAGGCGGCTGGTAAACGAACAAGTTTTCTCCGTTGACTTTGCTCGTCGGAAGCCAGCTGGAAAGTTGCAAATCAGGGCCACAAGATCACAAAACACTACAACCGTCGTAAATGTGACCTGGTTGCCAAGTGCTCAAATCACAACCACGTGACGCAGGGGTGTGTGTGTCCGTTGTAACTTTGAGAACAGGTCCTAGGTCCCTTTTCCATCTCGGTTGTAACTCCAAACTGTCATTGAACAAAAGGTTGTAAGTCAAGGACCACCTGTAGACATGCACAGGTAGTCCTCGATTTACGACTGCAATTGAGCCCAAAAGGTATGTTGCTAAGTGAGACACTGGTTTGTTTTACACCATCTTACAACCTTTCTTGCCACACAGTTGTTAAGTGAATCCCTGCAGAAGTTAAGTTAGTAAAACGGTTGTTAAGTGAATCTGGCTTCCCCATTGACTTTGCTTGTCAGGAGGTTGCAAAAGGAGACTCACGTGACCCGGGGACTCTGCAACTGTCATAAAGATGAGTCAGTTGCCAAGCGTCTGGATTTTGATCACATGGCCATGGGGAGGCTGCAACCTGTCATAAATGTGTAAACTGGTCATAAGTCACTTTTTTCGGAGCCGTTGTGACTTCAAACGGTCACTGTTGTAAGTCGAGGACTACCTATACAAATGAATTGAGGCTCTCCCTATCTCTGTTTTGAAGCATCTGAAAACATCTCCTAAACCCTACACGCTTTTTTGTTAATCTACATGGTCTTTTGCCAAGGGTGGGCTTCAAAAATTTTAGCAAGGGGTTCTCTGCCCGGTTGCTGTGTGGGTGTGGCCATGGTGGGCGTGGCCTAGTCAGCATCCTGCACCACGGCGGGGGGGGGGCGTTTTTGCCCTCCCTGGGCTCCGGAGGCTTTCCTTGAGCCTCTGGGATGGCGAAAACGGCCTCCCCAGGCTCCGGAGGCCCTCTGGAGGCCCTTCCCGAACTTCCAGTAGGCCCGTTTTTTCACCCTCCCCAAACTTACCTGCATCCGAAACAGGTCGCGTGGGGGCTCCTGGGAGGGGAGGGGCGGCTGGGTGGGGCCAGCTAGGAGTGGGATTTGGGGGTTCTCTGAACTGCACCGAATCTTAGCTAGAGGTTCTCCCGAACCCCTGCGAACCTCCAGCAGCGAAGCCCTGTCTTTTGCACATATTTGACTTTGCAGATTTGCTTCCTCAATCTTGGTGCAGAAATGTGCATAGTTCTTAGGCCCTGGAGAAAAAAGTGAGAAGGCTCCTAAAAGGAAACACTATTCCGAAGACCTCATAATAATAAAGATGCAATTTAATTTGCTTGAAGAACAAGGAGACCCTATTCTGCCAGCGTATGTCTACCCTGCACAAAGTAGGAGCAAAAAGGGTGAGAGAGAAGCAAGCCATCCCTTCGTGAAGGCCAATTTCATTGCAATGAGTCACCTCTAATGAGTCCCCCGGAGTGCCTGCCTGTTTATCACACTTAATTGTGCTCTTTTTCTTCTGAGGCTGCTTTAGAAACACACGAACATAAAGGAGATATCAGCTGCCGCTTTGCAGCCTGTTGAGATCCAATTATTTTTCCATCAGACACTGTCCATGACGGGTAAGAGCTAAATTCAAGTTATGGGTCAATTGGAATGACCCATTTTAGCTTCAGCATTTTTCCCTAGGTCCATCAAGACAAAACATGTGCACCATAAACTCCAATGAACTTCAGTGAGGGTCTGAATTTTAATGGAGGATGTTATGTGCATGTCCTTCTTCCTTCTTAGCTTTCCCACAAAACAAGAGATCTCTAATCTTTAAGAACTGATGGGCACATCTGGAGAATAGAATAGAATAGAATAGAATAGAATAGAATAGAATAGAATAGAATAGCAGAGTTGGAAGGGACCTTGGAGGTCTTCTAGTCCAACCCCCTGCTTAGGCAGGAAACCCTATACCACTTCAGACAAAGAGCCTTGATAGTACAGTGGTCTAAGGCACCCTGTTATTAAGACCAGCTGCCTGCAATTACTGCTGGTTCGAATCTCTCCAAGGCTCAAGGTTGACTCAGCCTTCCATCCTTTCTAAGGTAGGTGAAATGAGGACCCAGTTTGTGGGGGCAATAAGCTGACTTTGTATAAATATACAAAAGGATGAAGGCTATTGCTTAACGCATTGTAAGCCGCCCTGAGTCTCCGGAGAAGGCCGGCATATAAATCATTTTTTTAAAAAAATGGTTATCCAACATCTTCTTAAAAACTTCCAGTGTTGGATCATTCACAACTTCTGTCAGCTTGTGATGCGTAGCTTAGCAGAATGGCAGCTATGACAAAACATTTCTCGTTTGTTGAAAAAACAAAAGCTCAAATCTCTGTAAAGACTATCTTTAGAGAACATTTATTAGATGTTTTCCTCCCATCCTTACTCCCTAGAGTAGAAAAAGGATAGGTTACTATCATTTTTCTTCCTCTGGCTTTTCCACTTAAACACACACACACACCAGAATGCTATTGGGTTCTAAAACAGTGCCAACAGATAGCCAGGATGTTGAATCTTACTACTTACAGTCATTAAGTAAACACCACAATCCCTTATCTAAAAAAATAAGGAAATTTGACACTCTCATTGCCAAAGCCAACAGAGTAACAGAGTTAGAAGGGACCTGGGAGGTCTTCTAGTCCAGCCCCGTACTCAAGCAGGAAAAGAAACATATATCCCTGGTGGCGAACCTGTGGCACGTATGCCAGAGATGGCAACCACAGCTCTCTCTGTGGGCATGCGTGCCGTCGCCCCAGCCCAGCTCCATAGGGTTTCTCCAGGGAAAGAGAGGGGAAGAGAGAGAGGGGGGGGGGGAAAGAGAAAGAAAGAAAAACAGAGAGAAAGAGAGAGGGTGGAGAGAGAGAGAGAGGGAAGGAAAGAGAAATGATATTACAAAAGTTTTTCTTCTTTTATTGTTGCTAAACGTAATATTTCAAAAGCAGGAAAAAAATGAAGGCGCATAAAAGTGCAGTTATCACATTTTACTCTGCCTTGTTTCTCATTTTAGGTACAAAACCTCATTATTCAGGTTAAATTGCCATATTGGCACTTTGCGATAAATCAGTGAGTTTTGGGTTGCCGTTTGGCCACTTAGTCTCTAAAAGGTTCGCCGTCGCTGGCCTAGACATTTAATGAAGACAAAATAAAACCGGAATCAATAAATAAACTCACGAGAAGTTTTGACTTTTACTTCCCGCCGGTCGCAATCTTATTTTTACCTCCCCTTCAGGTTCAGATTAGATATTGCTGTGTTGAAACTCAGTGCTTGCTTTTTCTGATAGTTCATTGTTGATCATGACAATGCTTTCCCAGCTTTCCTCGTCAGGATCCCACAACACACAAAGGGAGAGGCACTCCCTACTAGCTTTTTCTGACCACCTCATTGTTGATCATTACTGCCTTGATAATGACAATGCTCTCCCAAGCTTTCCTAGTCAGGAGAACACAACACACAAATCAAGGGGTGAAATGCTCCCGGTTTGGATCAGATCGCCCAATCCGGTAGCGATGGCGGCGGGTGGCTCGGAGAACCGGTAGCAAAAATCCCTGCCCCCCCCATCATGCCCAGCTGAGCCGCACGATCATCAGAGGCTTTTTTTTTTACTTTTAAAAGCATTTTTTCTATAACCTCTTCCGACGAAAAAATGCTTTTAAAAGTTAAAAAAAAAGCCTCTGATTTTTTTTTTTAAATTTTGATTTATATGCCGCCCTTCTCCGGAGACTCAGGGCGGCTTACAATGCGTTAAGCAATAGCCTTCATACTTTTGTATATTTATACAAAGTCAGCTTATTGCCCCCACAAACTGGGTCCTCATTTCACCTACCTTAGAAAGGATGGAAGGCTGAGTCAACCTTGAGCCTTGGAGAGATTCGAACCTGCAGTAATTGCAGGCAGCTGGTCTTAATAACCAGCTTAATAACAGGGTGCCTTAGACCACTGTACTACCAAGGCTCTGATGATCGCGCGGCTCAGCTGGCATCGTCAGAGGCTTTTCAAAGCATTTTTTTCTGCAACCTCTTAGCCGAAGAGGTGGTTTAAAAAATGCTTTGAAAAGTCTCTGACGATCCCAGCTGAGTTGCCTGATCAGCAGAGAGGCTTTTCAAAGCATTAGAAAAAATGCTTTGAAAAGTTAAAAAAAAAAAATTAAAAAATTGGCCACGCCCATCCAGTCACATTACCCCCACCACAACCAAGCCACGCCCACAGAACCAGTAGTAACAACTTTTACATTTCACCCCTGACACAAATCAGTGGTGGGATTCAACCGTTCATCCTTATTTTAGGTAGTAAAACCTCAGTATTCAGGTTAAATTGCCGCGTTGGCACTTTGCAATAAATAAATAGGTTTTGGATTGACGTTTGGGCACTCGGTCTCTAAAGGTTTCGCCATCCCTGGCCTACACCATTTCAGACAAATGCTTGCCCAATCTCTTCTTCAAAATCCCCATCCCACCCACAGACGTAGGTCTGTGAAACGTTCCTCCACCGTGCCCACCCTTCTTGGACAGATTACATAACTTGTCACCTGCACAGAATTAATCCTGCAGCAATGATACCCTTCTCTTCTCCTTTTCACCGTTTTGCCTTTTTTTTTAAAAAAAAAAAAAAAGAAAAAGGCGGAATGTAATTGGAGAAATTTAAAAAAAAACTCTGTTCCCATGAACGCATAATTCTTTTCTGTAAGGCTCCAAGCAGAATGTTGTAGTTGTGATTGACACATCAGTTAGGAATGCTGTTTTGGACTGTAGGCTCCATCCACCCTTCGGCTCCAAACTGTGTCAAGCTGAATGCATGTCAGAGTGCCCACGGATACAAACAATCCCACACCCCAATCAAATTCAGGCTTGGCCTTTTCATTGAGAGCCGCCTACTGCACAAAGTTAAATCTTCTGGGCTTTTGAAAGCGTGATTACGGAAGAGAAGCCGAGGAGGTGACACTTCCATCCACCTGTAGAAGCTTCGGAAAGACAAATTAAACAGAGCTTGTCCCCCTCTGGTCACTTTCAGGTAAGGACAACTGTGATATTTTATCCTTCCTTGCCATTTCTTTTTTTTTTTTAAGTTTTTTTTATTTTTATAAACAAACATACAATACATAATCAATCTATCAGTGTATCCTCTTAGTACATCTTTTGTGTCTTCTCCCTATTCCTCAATAATTTCTCATGACTTGATATTTGTGATTTCCTTTGTTATAACATTTCTCCCACCTTTCTTTACACTATTACTTTATGTATATCTCTTCTCTACCCAATAATAAAATTGCCCCCAAATCTGATAATATTCCGATTCTTCTCTTTCTTTAAGCACCAAAGTCAATCTATTCATTTCTGCACAATCCAATTATTTTTTCCTCCATAGGAATTTTCTCTGCTTTCCATCTTTGCGCAAATACTATCCTCGCTGCAGTTAACACGTGTACAATCAAGTATATATTTTCCTTACTAATTTTCTCTGGTAAGATAGATACCCAGTAGGAACAGTTCAGGTTTTAAATCTATATGTTGTTGTATCATTTCTTCTAACCATGTTTTAATTTTCATCCAATAATTCCTCGCTTCTGGACATGTCCACCACATATGATAATGCGATCCTGGTAACTGAAGACATTTACAACATTTTGTGGATTTATCTTTAAACATTCTTGCCAATTTTTCAGGAGACATGTGCAATCTATAAAATTTCCTTGCCATTTCTACCTGATAATTTCTCCCTGCTTTGCAACGGTTTCCACAATTGCTTCTCTGTCCTCACAAGAGTGCAATGAAGAACCCTGAAGAACGTTGATTTTCCAAGATTCTCTTTCTGCCCAAGTTAGATGTAAATTTGCAAGTGATTGGTGTTTTTTTTTTTGGAATAATTCTGTGGGAGAGGGATTTGAAGAGAGGCGAAGGAACGAGTGATGCCCAATGCTACAAACATGATGGTAGAACAAGGCGGGTTTGGGTCACTAGTTTATGAATTGCATTGGCTTTTTCTCTTGAATAAAATTATTTCTTGGACCCTAGCTGCTGCTAGGAACGCAGTGGCTCAGTGGCTAAGATGCTGAGCTTGTCGATCGAAAGGTGGGCAGTTCAGCAGTCCAAATCCCTAGTGCTGCGTAACGGGTTGAACTCCTGTTACTTGTCCCAGCTTCTGCCAACCTAGCAGTTCGAAAGCAGGTAAAAAATGCAAGTAGAAAAATGGGTACCACCTTTGATGGGAAGGTAACAGCGTTCCATGAGCCTTTGGTGTTGAGTCATGCCGGCCACATGACCACGGAGACTTCTTCGGACAGCGCTGGCTCTTCGGCTTTGAAACGGAGATGAGCACACCGCCCCCTAGAGTCAGGAACGACTAGCACATATGTGCGACGGGAACCTTTACCTTTACCTTACCTGCTGCTAACAGACATTTTAGAAGGAGAAGAATCAACACGCATCTCACCAGCCAGCTTAGGTGTTCTTTGACATGCTGAACCTGATAACAAATCTATTTATTTATTTATTTGTTTGTTTGTTTATTTATTTATTTGTCAAACATGTACAAGATAGCAGGTATAAGTATGAATATGGACATGAACGAAGGAAATGAATACAAATAAATGGGGACAGTAGGACAGGGACGGTAGGCACGCTGGTGAGCTTATGCACGCCCCCTTTACGGACCTCTTAGAAATGGGGTGAGGTCCACGGTAGACAGTTTAAGGTTGAAGCTGTGGGGGTTTGAGGATATAACCAGAGAGTCGGGTAGTGCATTCCAGGCATTGGCCACTCTGTTGCTGAAGTCGTATTTTCTGCAATTGAGCTTGGAGCGGTTTACCTTGAGTTTGTATCGATTGTTTGTCCATATATTACTGAGGTTGAAGCTGAAGAAGTCATTGACAGGTAGGACGTTGTAGCAGATAATTTTGTGTGCTACTTTTAGATCAGACCGTTTAGATCAAATCTATTTCTAACCTCTTCCTTCCCCGAAGAACCAACTCTAATGCAGTAGCTCCACCGCAGGCTCCATTCAGCCATGAAGATCTTATTCATCAACCACAAGTTGCTGACGTCCGTTTGGAGGAGCAGCAGGAAACTTGGTGGATCGGTCCCCCAAGCCGCGAGGCTGTTTACGTCTCTCAATCTTTCCGAGTTTGAAGCCATTAATCGAGGGGACAAAGAGGTGCCGAAGTACTTTAATTTCGCAAATGACGTGCTGGATAAATGGTCTAAAATTGAAAAGGTAAGGTTCCTTCCGAAGAATTTTAGAGGAGGGGGACTCCTGATGGATGTGCAATGTCCCCATATCTCTCTTTTTTTTTCCCCTTCAAATAATTGAAGAGAAATGAGACAACATACCAGATTGGGACCTTGATACTTTGTCAGCCCCAAATTTTAAGCAAATCATGTAGCGTTTGCTTGTTTTTAAGTATTAAAGTATTAATAGTTTTAAGTATTTAAATATTAAGCATCATGGAAGAAAATATTGTTTGGAACTCCATTCCCTTATACAGTTCGCAAAGAGTGCAATGTAAATTTGGAAATTATAACCATAATTCGTGTCTCAGCACTTCCCCTGATAACCTGCATGCTTGCTTTTTATTTATTTCACTTATTTTTAATTATTAAAATTTGTTTTCTGCCCTTCTTGCCACAAGGCAACTCTAGGCAGCTTACAACATTAAAATGACACCATAAATATTGGTATAAATGTGTAAAATCACACCAAAATTGCGATAAATAAATACAACTTTTTCTTCTATCCAGGTGAGATTTCTCTTCTTCGGATATAGTCTATCTTAATTTTTTAAATTAAATGGTTTATTTGTTTTCATTTTTCTCTTTTTTGTATTCTTTTTTTAAAAGAATAATGTAACGTAAATAAGAGATTTTCAAGAATTATAAATTCAAAAATGTCAGAAGTAACATGAATATAGTTCTATGTGCTACGATTTCCTGCATCAGTTTAGAACTTTAAACCATAACTAAAATAAAATTGGTCTACGATGATTTAACAGCAAAACCCAAGATGATATAAATTATAAATCAAAATGAGAGATAGCAACAATTTCTGCCTCTTTTAAGAATTCTATTCCTAAGGAGAAGAAAAGGAGGAGGCTAGAAAAATATTTTTCTTTAAGAATAAGAATAAAAAAGGACAAGAAATAAGAAAATAAAAACAGCTGAATCCTGAAAATCCACTCCCTGCTCACTAGAATTTTTTTACGTTTCTAAAATATTCATTTTATTTTAAACATTTTGTGAGATGCAAAAAAAACAGCAAATCTCATAAAAAGTGAAACAGAGACCATGAACAAGTAAAAAGCAGATTTCTGTTCTGAATTTTTTTATTAGGCTCACTATTTTCCTTTCTCATTCTACGAACTAAAGACGTAACTTTTGATTGACCATCTCAACGGAGAAACCTTCTTCTATTATCTGGTTGAACCTCCCCAGATCAGCTTGCTTATTACGGTGGAGGAAACTATGAGCATTTGTTTGCTTTTATATATTTATTTATTTGTCAACTATGTATAAGATAACAGGTAGAAGTATAAACATGGTTATGAATACATGAAATGGATACGAATAAATGAGGATAGTAGGACAGGGACGGAAGGCATGTTGGTGCGCTTATGCACGCCTCTTACAGACTCTTAGGAATGGGGTGAGGTCCACAGTAGGCAGTCTAAGGTTAAAGTCTTGGGGGTTTGGGGAAGAAACCACAGAATCAGGTAGAGCATTCCAGGTGTTGACCACTCTGTTGCTGAAGTCGTATTTTCTGCAAACAAGTTTGGAGCAGTTTACCTTAAGTTTGTATCTATTGTGTGCTCGTGTATTATTGCAATTGAAGCTGAAGTAATCATTGACAGGTAGGACGTTGTAGCAGATTATTTTGCATACTACGCTTAGGTCAGACCGAAGACGGCGTAGTTCTAAATTGTCTAATCCCAAGATTTCAAGCCTGGTGGCATAAGGGATTCTGTTCTGAGCGGAGGAGTGGAGGACTCTTCTCGTGAAATACCTCTGGACTCGCTCGATTGTACTAATGTCCGATATACAGTGCAGGTTCCTGGCAGACGAGCTGTATTCAAGAATTGGTCTAGCAAAGGTTTTTTATGCCCTAGTTTGAAGTACAATATTACTGGAGAAGAAGATTAGGTTAACAATTCTTAATGCCTTTTTGGCAGTGTTGTTGCAGTCTCTTTCGATATTGTTTTGCAGGATGGAGGGAGACCCCATCACCCAGCTTTCTGGTGGGTTGATGGAAAAGGAGGAGAAGTGAAATGGGGCTTTGAAAAACTGGGCTTTGTCTCCAGGAAAGCGGCCAACGTACTCATGGGACCCTGTGGCCTACAGAGAGGAGACCGAGTGATCCTCATTCTGCCTCGGATCCCAGAGTGGTGGCTGCTAACCGTGGCATGTATTAGAACAGGTAAAAAAAAAAAACCCCTCATCAGATGAGGAAGCAATTCAGAAAATATTAGGCTGTGCAGAGATGGACAGACTGACTTTAAAAATAAAAGACAAAGAAGATGGCCTTACAGGTTTCGTAAAGGGTAGGCTTCTTGACAATGGACAGGTGTATGACAATATCATCAGGTATGTAGCACTGTTCTACAGGGGGAGGCAGGTATCCTAGTAGGATCTTAATTTGAGACGGATGAAGTTCTACCTTACCTTGTCACTGCCTTCAGTTGTCCTACCTCCAGGCTTCCCTAAAGTCATAATGATGGATGCAGGAATGATGACCCAGAACCTCATCTTCCATTCTTGCTTTTTTTGGGGAGGGATGGAACAAGGTGACTTTTCAAAGCTTCTCGCGAAGGAGCAATGTAGTAAGAACATCCTCAAAGTTATGTATTTATTCACCTTGCCAGGGATCATCTTCATCCCAGGGACCCCACAGCTGACAGCCAAAGATATCCAGTACAGGCTCCAGGTTTCCAAACCTAAAGGCATCATCACGAATGATTCGCTGGCCCCCATGGTGGACACCGTCTCTTCGTCATGCCCTTCTCTGCAAACCAAGTTGCTGGTCTCCGAGGGCAGGCGAGAAGGATGGCAACATTTCAAGGAGCTGTTTGAGTAAGGCACAAGGAATAACAGATTAACAGAGTTGGAAGAAGGGACCTTGTAGGTCATCTAGTCCAAGCTGGAGATCCTACACCATTTCTGACAGATGGCAGTCCAGTCTTTTCTTGAATGCCTCCAGTGATGAAGCTCCCACAACTTCTGAATACCACACACCTAGGGGTGGGATTCAGCCAGTTTTGACTGGTTCAGGCAACCCGGATGTTAATTTTAATCTGGTTCGCCGAACCAGTAGTTGCAAGGACTGGCTGACCCCGCCCACCTACCCCCCACCCTTCCCAGGAGACTCCACATCAGTGGTGGGTTGCCCCCGGTTCGCATCGGTTCTATAGAACTGGTAGTAAAACCGGTGGGAGACTTCGCCTACTGACCCCAACGTCATCATGCGCAGAAGAGCAGGCATGCGCGCTTACTTTGCTCGCGCGTGCACGCAACCCCATTGCAAACCGGTAGTAAAGGTAAGTAGAACCCACTCACGCTCCGCATGGCCCATTTTAAATGCCAGGTAAGTGCAGGACCTGCGTGGAGGCTCTGGGAGGGCGAAAAACAGGCCTGCTGGAAGTACCGGAAGTCCGGAAATGGGTTCGTTTCCCACCTCTGGAGCCTGGGGGAGGCCGTTTTTGCCCTCCCAGAGGCTTGAGGAAAGCCTCCGGAGCCTGGGAGGGCGAAAATGCTCCCCCCCCCCCCCCCCCGTGGTGCAGGAAGCCGACTAGGCCATGCCCCCATGCCCACACCCACCCAGCAACCAGGCAGAGAACCAGTTGCTAAAATTTTTCAATCCCACCCCTGGCACACACCATTGCACAGAATGGATAGGAAATATGTTAGGGACGGCAGGCACTCGGTAACCGTAGCCTTTTAGAAGGGAGAAACTCATTTTGGCTAAATTACCATCCAGAAGGACAAATGCAACAAAGCTGCATGCTGAGACACTTTGAAATTGATAACTATTTTAATTTCTGAGCCATTTTAATATATATATATAAAATCGAGGCTGATCAAGGCTGCCTGGACAAGTCCCTACAATTTTCTTGGCAAGGATTTTTTAGAACCAGTTTGGCATTGCCTGTTTTTTCTCAAGGCTAAGAGAGAGCTGGCTTTGTGCCTCAGGCAAGACTAGAACTCAATGTCTCCTGATTTCTAATCTGTTGCTTTAATCACTACACCAAACTGGGTCCCTAAATTGAAGATAGACCTCTTTAGCTTCTTTAAGAAAGAATGGGAGAGAACCTAACAAAACAAAGGCCAAAAGATTACTCTAGAATACGATGATGGATTGACTAAGGTAAAGGTTCCCCTTGCACATATGTGCTAGTCGTTCCTGACTCTAGGGGACGGTGCTCATCTCTGTTTCAAAGCCGAAGAGCCAGCGCTGCCCGAAGATGTCTCCGTGGTCATGTGGCCGGCATGACTCAATGCCAAAGGCTCACGGAACACTGTTACCTTCCCACCAAAGTGATCCCTATTTTTCTACTTGCATTTTTTACGTGCTTTCGAACTGCTAGGTTGGCAGAAGCTGGGACAAGTAACGGGAGCTCACCCCGTCACACAGCACTAGGGATTCGAACTGCTGAACTGCCGACCTTTTGATCGACAAACTCAGCGTCTTAGCCACTGAGCCACCTGTCCTTTCATTGATTGACTACATTGATTGACTACATGCCATCAATTCATTGTTGACTCTTAGCGCCTATATAGATAGATTTTTCTCCAGGATGGCTTGTCCTTCACCTGTTCCTTCGCTTCTTTCAATGGTGCCCATATCGTCACCATAATTGAGTCTTTCTACCTTGGTGGTTGTCCCAGTGGTGGGATTCCACCGTTGTAACAACCGGTTCGCTTCACACGTGCAGTACATTTCAAAATAGCTCTAAAACTTATCTTCTACTGCAGCCCTGGTGAATAAAACAGCTGAGGCGTGGCAATCCACCCTACCGCTCTGATCAGCTGGGCTTCAAACAAAGGAAATATAGGTCGGTATAGTGCAGGGAGGGCTAGTGGGCCCAGCTGATCATTGGAGCAAACCTGTTTGCTCTCAGTGGATCATTGGAGCTACCGGTATGCCCGAACCGGTGTGAACCGGCTGGATCCCACCCCTGGGTTGTCCTCTTCTTCTCTTTCCTTCCATCTTTCCCACCACCAGGATCTTCTCCAGAGAGCTGGGTCTTCGCATAATGTGTCCAGAGTAGGATCATTTGAACCAGTGGTGAAATGTAAAATTTGTTATTAGCGGTTCTGTGGGCGTGGCTCGGTGAAGGGATAATGTGACTGAGTGGGCGTGGCCAACTTTTTTTTTTAACTTTTAAAAGCATTTTTCTACAACCTCAAAGAGGTTGTAGAAAAAATGCTTTTAAAAACCTCTGACGATCCCAGCTGAGCCGCGCAATCATCAGAGGCTTTTTTTTTACTTTTAATAGCATTTTTTCTATAACCTCTTTGGCCAAAGAGGTTGTAAAAAAAATGCTTTTAAAAGCCTCTGACGATCAGGCAACTCAGCTGGGATTGTCATAGCCGGCCGAAGAGCTTGTCGAAAAAATGCTTTTAAAAGCCTCTGACGATCCCAGCTGAGTCGCGTGATCATCAGAGGCTTTTTTTTTTACTTTTAAAAGCAATTTTTCGGATGAAGAGGTCGTAGAAAAAATGCTTTTTAAAAAAAGACGGATGATTGCACAGCTCAGCTGGGCATTGGGGGGGGGGGCAGGGATTTTTGCTATCGGTTCTCTGAACCACCACCCGCCATCGCTACCGGATCGGGGGATCCGGTCCGAACAGGGAGCATTTCACCCCTGAATTCAACCTGGAAGTATCTGAGAACCTGAGAAATAGCGAAATGGATCTGGCAAGGGTAGATAAGTGCTGAGAAGGGGAAAGTGAGAATTTACACATGGGAGTCTATATCGTGTTCCAGAAATCTGTGAACGTAACTGTTCAAAACAGTTTTGAAAGATTTGTGGTCTGCAGTTGTTGACGTCCCTTTTGAGTTCAGCTTCTCCGTGCAAAACAGCGATCGATCGAAATGTAAATTGTGAATGCAGTGTTAAAGGTAGCAATTTTGTAAAGCAATCATTCAGAAATCTACTTCCCAGGAGAGAAAAAACAAGCTCTTTAACAGACACTCTCGGTGGCGGTGCTTTTTAAATATTGTGAAAAATAAAACAAGCAGGTGCTTAAAACCAATAACGCAGGTCCTTTGCATGTCTGAGTGCCACTTTCCACCATCGTTGTAGGTCTGAGAGGCATTTAAGTCTGCAAATGAAACACCTACCTGGGAATAATTCTCAGCACACTCAGCGAGCTTTTCTTTCCAGTCAACACACATTAGACTCCGCTCTGAATTTCTGGCAGATAATTACTTCATTCAGGCAGGGAAGGCAACAGGGAGCCCTGAGGCAGTCAACACTCTAGATCAGGGGTGCCAAACTCAAGGCCCGTGGACCAAATCCTTAAATCTTGCTTAAATCTAGCCCACGGGCCAACCTGGAAATATCAAAGGACCGGCTTGCAGTGCTTCTGCTGGCCAAAATGGGCCATGGGCAGCGGTGGGCTTCAAAAGTTTTAGCAAGGGGTTCTCTGCCCGGTTGTTGGGTGGGTGTGGTCATGGCGGGCGTGGCCTAGTCGGCCTCCTGCACCACAGTGGGGAGGTATTTTTGCTCTCCCTAGGAGGCTTTCCTTGAGCCTCCGGGAGGGCAAAAATGGCCTCCCCAGACTCCAGAGGCCCTCTGGAGGCTGGAAACTGGCCCGTTTCCGGCCTTCCCGAACTTCCGGTAGGCCCGTTTTTTGCCCTCCCTGAGCCTCTGTGCGCATCCTGCACTTACTTGCATCCAAAACAGGCAGCGTGGGGACTCCTGAGAGGGGAGGGGCAGGATGGGCAGGGCCAGCCAGGAGTGGGATTTGGGGGTTCTCCGAACTGCACAGAATCTTAGCTAGAGGTTCTCCCGAACCCCTACGAACCCCTAGCAGCCCACCCCTGGCCATGCCCCCCTCCCCCCCGCGAGGCACATTTTTGGGCGGAAGAGTATTGCAGGAGGCTGTCCAGGCTGAAAACGGGGTGTGGGGGGAGCTGCATGTGCCCCCCCCCATGCCTCATTTTGGCTGACAGGATGCTGCAGGAGGTGTCCGTCTCATCTCCCCCGCTCCCCGCTCCCCCTGCTGGCCCGCGGAAGGCAACTACAATTCTGATCCGGCCCTCGAAGAAATCCAGTTTGACACCCCTGCTCTAGATAAAACATCTCTCTAGGAGTGATGTGATCAGTTTGCCCTTGTTGATCAATGGGTTTTTTTTTTAAAGTGAGAAGGATGAAGTTTCTTTGTGTTCACGGCTGACGTCCTTCCTTGGGTTCCTTTCAGGGATGCTCCTTCCCGCCACGACTGTGTTCAAACCCAGAGCGATGATCCAATGGTTATATACTTCACCAGCGGAACCACAGGTTCTCCAAAGATGGCTGAACACTGTCAAACCAGCTTATCCTTGGGCTTGGCCCTAACGGGAAGGTATCCTTCTTAATTTTCTTGCAGGCCTTGAACTTAACCCCAACCAACCAGAATTCGGTCTATTCAACCTCTTGGAGTTTCATGCAAGGTGTTCTGCCCCAGCTACGGGTCCCAAGAAGTGTAGACCCCTTTCAAAATGCAGGCTTTAACCACCAATGTCCTTATCAACCTCCTATGAACAACCTGCTAAACAAAGTCCGACAAGGGTTGGCAATCAGCCCAGAAACCAAGTTGTAGCAAAAAAACTCACTCTCAAAATGCTCTGCGTAGGACCAAACGTTGTTTCCAGCAACATTTGCCAGCTGTGTGAAAACTTAAATAGGCTAAGGAAGTGGCCAATTAACCCGAAGCCTTACTCTCAAGGAGACCTCCTCCTGAGTAGCCAACCCTGCCTTTTGGCAGCCCTACGTGCTCGAGCATTGAGAAGAGGCTCCTCCACTTCACTCTCTTCACTTGAAGGAGCCTCTGGAGGTTCTGAAAGCCCTGGCTGAGTTTCTGCCTCTGGCACCACATCCTCTTCAGCCTCCTCGCTGTCCGACTCGAGCGCCGGCTGCACAGGCTGCTGGCGCGACATCACACCAGTCTTCTCGTCGTCGGGATCAGCCACAATCTGCGCAGGCCGCTGGCGGGCCACAACACAAGACCTCTGGAGAAGTGATGGCCCCAGAGAACAATTGCCAACAAAGAACCTCTTGAACCCTGTAGAAAATTTAAGACCACGTAAAAAGATCTTGTCTGTTTGAAGGTAATCCAGAGTCTCACCTAAAATGTCTGTGCCTCGCAGGTATTGGCTGGACTTCAAGCCTTCAGATGTCATATGGAACATGTCTGATACTGGTTGGGTGAAGGGGTCTTTGGGAGGGGTCTTCGGCCCTTGGCTTCGAGGGACCAGTGTCTTCATACACAGCATGCCACAGTTTGACCCAAAGGAACTTCTAAAAGTAAGAATTATACATCCAATCATTGGGGGGGGGATGTATTGTGACCTTTGATACACTCAACACCAGCGCATTCCTTGGTCCATCTGTCTGCTGGTTTAGACAGGAACACAACATTTTTATTTTGGCAGCTTGGAACCAACTTCCAGAGGAGGTACCTGCACCACAGTGGGGGGGGATTTTTGCCCTCCCCGGGCTCCAGAGGCTTTTCTCGAGCCTCCGGGAGATTGAAAATGGCCTCCCCAGGCTCCGGAGGCCCTCCGGAGGCCAGAAACAGGCCCGTTTCTCCTGCAAACTCCCAGCAGCCCACCCCTTCTTGGGATTAACATAGGTCCATCATCCAACAGAAATTTAAAAACATAAATTTAAAAAAACAACTCAAAGGATAGATTCAATGGACCATGAGGTCTTTTCCTGCCATCAGTTTTCTATGATTCTATGTTTTATGAAACTAATGTTCTGTCCCCATCCCACACACGCACCCCCACAGACGGCCCGGAGTTAATAAGCCACACAACAAAATCTTTGAAGATAAAGCTGGCAGCAACCCAGTGGCTAGCTGCCAATTCAGACTTTACTCACACAAAACAAAGATTAGACTGCAAGCATTCCGATAAAGCAGGCAAAGTTTCAGCAATACAAGGATTAGTCCAAATGCAGTCCGACAAGGCAGGCAGAAGTCCAGTAATGCAGAGATCATGGATTATTTCTAGTTTTTGCTCGTCACAAACTTAACCGGTGACCACAGCCACATTTATACCCTGTGGGGTGTGGTCCAGTGACTCAGCTAATCTCTGGCATGCCTTCCCCTCTGCTGCACATGCTTCTCCCTGCACCGCTGCTGAGGATCCAGCCAGCACTTATCTCCCTCGTCGCTGTCCACCTGTGGCTGCGGGGACATGCTTGGCTCTGGGCCTATCTCTTGGCCTTCGGTGTCCTCCGGAGGCATTGCCAGAGAGGAGGGTCTTGGAGAGGGAGGCCTTGCCAACTCCTCTCCCTCACTCTCAGAGTCTGCATCTGTCAATAGCCCAGGCTCAGGCAACGGAGCCACAACAACTAAATGAGCAGTAGTATCAAAAGATGATTTTTGTTTTTAAGTGGGTCAGACTAGGTAAGACACCTAGAATCCCTTCACCATTATCCCTGATCTATATTTCTCATTTCTTCTTGACTTTCCAACTCCCATTATGTCTTGCCTTTAATCCTGCTGGTTTCGTACCGCTGGATTAGTATCAAAGGTGCTTTTTGAAAAGAGCCGCTGGACTTTTTTTTGTTTTTGTTTTTCCTTGAAGCCGTTTCACTTCTCATCCAAGAAGCTTCATCGGTTCTGGCAGGATGGTGGGGGGAGATGGAAGGATAAAGCTTCTTGGATGAGAAGCGAAATGTCTTCAAGGAAAAAAAAAAACAAGGAAGTCGAGTTGCCTTTTGAAAAAGCACCTTTGAGACAACTTATTCATTAAACATGAAACTCTGTCAACTGAACATTTAAAATTGTATCACAAATCCCATTGACTGGTGCTAATCGTTGATACGGGTTGCTGCCAGCATCCTAGGGATCAACCAAGTATCTTCTTAAAATGTATTTATTTTATTTTATTTATTTATTTATTTTTAAATTTATATACCGCCCTTCTCCTTGAGGACTCAGGGCAGTGAACAGCCAAGTAAAAGCATAAACTACAAACATTAAAATACAATTTAAAAGATATATATATAAATTTGGCCCCATGATTAAAAACAATAACAAACAATTATAAATATTTTTAAAAGCTTGCTGGAAAAAGAAGGTTTTAAGGGCACGACGGAAGGCACCGAGGTCTTGGATTCTCCTTATCTCTGGGGGCAGCTGATTCCAGAGGGTAGGTGCCCCCACAGAGAAGGCCCTCCCCCTGGGGGTCACCAGCCTACATTGTTTGACTGATGGCACCCTGAGGAGGCCCTCTCTGTTGGAGCGCACAGGTCGATGGGAGGCTGTCGGTAGCAGCAGGCGGTCTCGAAGATAACTGATGATGTTCCGAGTAGCACATTTTTTTGCAGTTCCGCTAGTGTTATTGCAGGAAGCTGCAATTTCTTGATGTATTTTGTCAAATTCTTGGACATGGTACCAAGTGCCCCAATGACAATGGGTATCATTGTCAATATTTCATCCATAATCACGTAGTTTCGATGGCCAGGTCATGATATTTCGTGACATTATTATTGTTGTTATTATCATCATCATCATCGTCGTCATCTTTATCATTATTAAATTTATTTGCCTCCTGTCTCATCATGGGCTACTCCAGCAAAATCCAGAAGGTAATAGCTTTGCCAACCTTTAACCCAGAAAGAGCTTTAAAGAATGAGGACGATGCAACTCCATCATTTTCACATCCGTTTCTTCCTCCTTCCTTTTTTCCTCTCTTTAGACGCTTTCCAAGTACCCAGTGACAACCTTGTGTACTGCTCCAACAGTCTACCGCATGCTGGTGCAGGAGGACCTTAGCAGGTAGCTCCCCTTTTTTGCGACCGTCTGACAAGCAAAGTCAACGGGGAAGCCAAGTTTCACTTAACAACCAAGTTCCTCACTTAACAATTTCAGTTATTCGCTTAACAACCGCGGCAAGGAAGGTCATCCAAGGGGGCAAAATTCACTTAACAAATGTCTGACTTAGCAACTTTGAAATGTTGGGCTCCATTGCCGTCGTAAGTCGAGAACTACCTATACAACATTTCTGTCAGCAATCTCTTGAGTCCTTCCTCTGTCTCTCTTCGGGAAAACGTAACTTGCCATTTGTACTAGTAGTTTATCTTCCCACTGGATTTATCTATTTTTTTAAAATTTTGAGTTCCTTTTTTAAATGAGAAAGACGAGTATCGCTTCTGAGGATAATCCAGGCTAAAAACAATCCCAAAATATACGGCATTTTTTTTTCTTTTTGTACCTCTCTTCCTCTCTCGTTGACTTTCTTAATTTCTGTTTGTATTTTATTTTATAATAAAATTTAATTAAAAAAATAAATAAATAAAGTGAAAAGTGAAATCTAGACAGGCCCAGACACAGGGGTGGGTTCTACTTACCTTTACTACCGGTTTGCAACAGGGCCGCGCGTGCTCTCTTCTGCGCAAGCGCAGAAGCATTTCGGTAACGTCGGGGTCGGTGGGCGGAGCCTCCCCCCAGTTTTACTACCGGTTCTATAAAACCGGTGCGAACCGGGGGCAACCCACCACTGCCCAGACAGACAGAGGTAAAAGTTCCAATCAGCTAAAATTTGCAGACTCTTAGGACACACAACTTTGTCTAACAACACCCAAGGCTGTCTCTGATTAGAATTTGCAAGCAGCCTTTACACCCTGCCAATAAAGGAGAATATTTGCAGCTCATCCAGTACTGATGATGTTACCTAGTTGGGTAAATGAAACGTCTGTAAGAAAACCTTGGTAGTACGGTGGTCTAAAGCACCCTGTTATTAAGACCAGCTGCCTGCAATTAAAGTAAGTTCGAATCTTGCCAGGCTCAAGGTTGACTCAGCCTTCCATCCTTTCTAAGGTAGGTAAATTGAGGACCCAGTTGTGGGGGCAATAAGCTGACTTTGTATAAATATACAAAAGGATGAAGGCTATTGCTGAGCACATTGTAAGCCGCCCTGAGTCTCCGGAGAAGGGCGGCATATAAATAAATAAAAAAAAAAAAACCCACCACGCTCAGAGAATACCAAGCCCCCCTCATTACACCCTGCTTAATGATAGAGGCTCTGAATAACTATAGAAAACCAATCTCTTTTCTTCTTTTTCTCTGCATGAAGTTACCCATTCAAGAGCCTGTCTCACTGTTTGGCTGGAGGGGAACCGATGAACCCGGAAGTGGTGTCCCAATGGAAAAAACAAACCGGGTTGCAAATCTACGAAGGCTACGGACAAACGGAAGTCGTACGTGCCTGTTCATAAAAGCTCCTTTCTCTTAACCAGGATAGTTAAGGACCCAGTAGCTAAAGGTGGTCAGATTTAGGACTGGGATTTTATTTTTATTTTATTTTTTATAAAAAGTTTTTTATTTTTCAATTACAAAGATAAACATCCCATCTTTCCTTATGCAGTGTGTCATCTGGGTACAAATATCTATGTGCAGCATCTTTCGCTATTTGCCACGTCATTCACATTCACATGATTTCTCTAAACTTAATATTATAATACCATGTTTCCCCAAAAATAAGACATCCCCTAATAATAAGCCCAATCGGGCTTTTGAGCGCATGCACTAAAATACACACCTACACCGAAAATAAGCCCTCCCCAAAAATATTTATATGGCAATAAGCCAAGCACTTATTTCAGGGTTCAAAAAAATATAAGACGGTCTTATTTTCGGGAAAACATGGTATATACTGCTTCCCGGTGCTTGACACTCCTCTCTAAGAGATTTACAGAGTCAGCCTATTGCCCTCCAATATTCTGGATCCTCGTTTTACCGACCACGGAAGGATGGAAGTGTCCAAAAGAAGGGCAATTCCAGGAGTATTCAAAATTGTTTGCTACAGGGGATGATAACAGCCAACGAAAAAGGGAAACCAGTTAAACCAGGCTCCATGGGGACTGCAGCTTCACCTTACGACGTTCAGGTAGGACCACTCACCTGGCTCAGGTGAGATCAAGATTGGAAAGTCTATTTTTAACAGGGGAGGAAACCATGTATTTGTGGGAGGAGTTGTGGTTGTTGTTAGTTGCGAAGTTGTGTCCGACCCATTGCGACCACATGGCCAACGTTCCTCCAGGCCTTCCTGTCCTCTACCATCCTCTGAAGTCCATTTAAGATCACGCCGACTGCTTCGGTGACTCCATCCAGCCACCTCGTTCTCTGCCGTCCCCTTCTTCTTTTGCCCTCCATCTTTCCTAGCATTAGGCTCTTCTCCAGGGAGTCCTTCCTTCTCATTAGGTGGCCAAAGGATTTGAGTTTTCTTTTCAGGATCTGCCCTTCTAAAGAGCAGTCAGGGTTGATCTCCTCTAGGACTGACCGGTTGGATCACCTTGCAGTCCAAGGGACTCGCAGGAGTCTTCTCCAGCACCAGACTTCAAAGGCCTCCATTCTTTGGCTCTCAGCCTTCCTTATGGTCCAACTTTCACAGCCATCCATTGCAACTGGGAAAACCATAGCCTTGACTAGACGCACTTTTGTTGGCAGAGTGATGTCTCTGCTTTTTAGTACGCTGTCTAGATTTGCCATAGCTTTCCTCCCCAGGAGAAACGTCTTTTCATTTCTTGGCTGCAGTTCTCATCTTGGAACCCAGGATCTGTCACTAACTCCATTTCTTCCCCATCTATTTGCCAAGAATTGAGAGGGCCGGATGCCATGATCTTAATTTTCTTAATGTTGAGTTTCAAGCTAACTTTTGCACTCTTCTTCTTCAAGACCCTTCGTTCTTTTCTTTGCTAAGAGTCCTTCAACATTGAAAAGAAGCACTTTTTTGGTCACACTTGCTGAGTTATAATACAATTTAGGAATGAGGTGCCTATAATTATGGATTGTGTCTGGACAATTATGATGAGATATGGTCACTGTTTATTGAGAAGTTTCGTGCAAAACTTCTTTTTTTCCATTTAATTGTGTCCGATTCTCAGAGGCTGCGTGGAAAAGTCCCTACAGTTTTCTTGGCAAGGTTTCTTCAGAAGGTAGCTTTTTTTTTCAGGGGTAGCTTTTCTTTTCAGCCTACCCATCAACTTCAACTGATGGTAGGATCAGACCTGGATAGGACCTGGATTTGTGAGCCCAGGAGATTCCAGGGCCAATTTGAGATAAATTTTTTTAAAAAAGAAAAAAAAAGAAAAATAGTTGAGATTAAGGTGAGAAGCCCACTTTTCTCTTCTTGCCAAGGAAATTATATGGATGGGCCCTCAAAGTCAGTAGGAATTCTGCTCCTTTGCTTTTCCTTAACTCTAACTCTTCCTTCATCTTCCTTGCTGTTTTCTAGATTGTAGATGAAGATGGCAAAGTTTTGCCCCACGGACAAGAAGGAGACATTGCTATCAGGATAAAACCCAAGCGTCCCTTTGGCTTCTTCTCTCACTACGTGGTAAGCAAGGAAGCAGGAAGCTCTCTCTCCATCCATCCGGAAGTTCAGTGAAAGCAGCGGGATTTGTGTCTTTCCTCGTTGCGCAGAAATGTTGGGAACGTTCTGGAGACCATCATATGGGGGAGAGTTGCTGTCAACGCATGGGCAGTAGGCAATGCGGCATGCAAGACCCTACTTTCCATTCATGATCCTATCCATTCATTCATGACCAACATCTTGCGACGGGGTTCTTCAAATGCAGTGGCATAATTTTTTTAGAGAGAGGGCAAATTCTCCTGGTTTCTTTGTCAACATGAAGGTTGTAAATGAGTGGTGCGGTGGGCCAAGAGGTGGAGTCCTTGCCTCACAATCAGGAGGCTGTGAGTTCGATCCTAGGTAGAGGCAGATATTTCTCTCTCTGTGCACATGAGAATATGTCTGCCGAAAAAAGCTCCAAATTGGCAACAGGAAGGGCATCTGGCCAGTAAACATCTCAGCTCCATTCAGTTGCCCAGACTCCACTCCGCAAGGAATTATGGGGTCGTTAAAAGAGGAGGAGGAGGAGGATGAAGGTTATAAATGGAAGAAGAAGGTCCCTAGTTAAACTTCATTGCTTGAAGCTCCTGGGAATTGCAGAACATAGTTTAAAATCGTGCCAGTAGAATCCAGCATCCATGTCATTTTGTTAATGTCCAGGACAACCCAGAAAAAAACTCAGCAGTTGTCCGGGGAAACTTCTACATCACTGGTGACCGAGGCTGGATGGATGAAGATGGCTATTTCTGGTTTATTGGAAGGTCTGATGATGTCATCATCTCCTCAGGGTTGGTCCATCTCAACATATGTTAGAAAAAGTGGGAGGGTGGGAAAGCATCCCAAAATCATTGTTAGCATCATCTGGGTCAGGACCAGATTGGTCTTGAAAGACCCTTCTGTTGATCTTTGATTTCATTCAGATGTCAATGTTGGCCAAGCCCAACTCAAATTGGGGTGACTTCTGCTAAACTCCACATAGCTGCTCAAAATCAAAGAACCCAGAATTAGTCAAAGATCCAATAGAATTAAGACTAAATAAAGAATCTTGGAAAGGATATAAGAATTGCCAACCCTGATTTATTATTGATTTCATGAAACATCATTATTAAATTATGATTAATAATAATTAATAATTTATTAATAACAAGGATTTAATAATTTAATAAGGATTATTATTATTAATCCTTATTAAAATATGAAAGGCAGGATATTAAATAAATTAAAGCGGAGTCTTTTTGATGATGTGAAATCTTTCTTTTCAGTTCCTTGACTGAGTTTCTAAGATGAATCAACAAACAGCCTCCAATCTTCTGATTATTTATTTCTAATATTCTTTCATTCCTTGTTCTTTTTTTTTATTCTTCTTTAATTTCCAATCCTGGTTTTGGGATCTCTCTCTTTTTTTAAAAAAAAAAAAATTTGATTTATATGCCGCCCTTCTCCGGAGACTCAGGGCGGCTTACAATGCGTTAAGCAATAGCCTTCATACTTTCGTATGTTTATACAAAGTCAGCTTATTGCCCCCACAAACTGGGTCCTCAATTTACCTACCTTAGAAAGGATGGAAGGCTGAGTCAACCTTGAGCCTGGGGAGATTCGAACTTACTTTAATTGCAGACAGCTGGTGTTAAATTACAGAGCTCTGTCTGTTGAGCTATCCAGGCTCATTTTTCCATCTAAGTAGATCCAATCTTGCTCAACTTTTTGAACTAAGACAAGATCTGCTAAGGAGCAGCCCCTGCCCCCCCCCAAACTAGGCAGTTGAATTGTAATTATATTTAAATATGCAAATTTTGATTTTGTTCTGGGTCCCATTTGCCAAATGCCACACCTACACTACACAGAGCCACGGTGGCGCAGTGGTTAGAGTGCAGTACTGCAGGCTACTTATGTTGACTGCCGGCTGCCAACAATCTGGCAGTTCAAATCTCACCAGGCTCAAGGTTGACTCAGCCTTCCAACCTTCCGAGGTGGCTAAAATGGGGACCCAACTTGTTGATGGCAATATGCTGACTCTGTAAGCCATTTAGAGAGGGCTGTAAAAGCACTGTGAAGCGGTATATAAGTCTTAAGTGCTACTGCTCCTTCCTTCCTTCCTTCCTTCCTTCCTTCCTTCCTTCCTTCCTTCCTTTTTCTCTTTCTTTCTCTTTCTTTCTTTTTTTCTTCCTTCCTTCCTTCCTTCCTTCTTCCTTCCTTCCCTCCCCTTCCTTCCATGGTGTGCAGTGGTTAAAATGCATATTGCAGACTAACCTGCCCATGCCAAAGTTTGAATCCTGACTGGCTCAAGGTGACTCAGTTCCATTTCCGAGGTCGGTAAATGAGGACCCAACTTGTTGGGCGAGAGGCTGACTCTGTAAACTGTTTAGAGAGTTGTAAAAGCACTGTGAAGCGGTATATAAGTCTAAGCTATTGCTCCTCCTTTTCTCCTTCCTTCTTCCTTCCTTCTTCCTTCCTTCCTTCCTTCCTTCCTTCCTTCCTTCCTCCCTTCCCTCCCTCCCTTCCTCCTTCCAGGTGTGCAGTGGTTAAAATGCAGTCAGGCTAACTTGCCCACTGCCAAAAGTTCAATCCTGACCGGCTCAAGGTCAAGGTGGGTAAAATGAGGACCCAATTGTTGAGCAATTTGTTGACTCTATAAACCACTTAGAGGGCTGTAAAAGCACTGTAAAGCGGTATATAAGTCTTAAGGGCTATGCTATTCCCTTCCTTCCTTCCTTCCTTCCTCCTTCCTTCCTTCCTTCCTTCCTTCCTTCCTTCCTTCCTTCCTTCCATGGTGTGCAATGATTAAAATGCAGTATTGCAGGCTAACTCTGCCCACTGCCAAGAGTTCAAACCTGACCGACTCAAGGTCAAGGTGGGTAAAATGAGGACCAGATTGTTGGCGGCAATGTGTTGACTCTGTAAACCGCTTAGAGGGCTGTAAAAGCACTATAAAGTGGTATATAAGTCTAAGGGCTATGGCTATTATCCTTCCTTCCTTCCTTCCTTCCTTCCTTCCTTCCTTCCTTCCTTCCTTCCTTCCTTCCTTCCTTCCTTCCTTCCTTCCTTCCTTCCTTCCTTCCTTCCTTCCTTCCCTCCCTCCCTCCCTCCCTCCCTCCCTTCCATGGTGCGCAGTGGTTAGAATGCATTATCGCAGGTAAACTCTGCTGACTGCCAGCAGTTCAATCCTGACCGGCTCAAGGTTGACTCAGCCTTCCATCCTTCCGAGGTCGCTAAAATGAGGACCCAGATGGTTGGGGACAATAGGCTGACTCTGTAAACCATTTAGTGAGGGCTGTAAAAGCACTATGAAGCGGTATATAAGTCTAAGGGCTATTGCTACACCCAAAGTCCTACATTCCATTTAGAGGCAATAATTTGGTTCTTTCTTCCCCAGATACCGCATTGGGCCTTTCGAAGTAGAAAGTGCTTTGATTGAACATCCAGCCGTGGTTGAATCAGCTGTTGTCAGCAGTCCGGATAGTGTCCGAAGGGAGGTAATGAAGCTTTTCTATAAATCTGAAAATTAGTTGCAGATTTAAGGGTTTTTAAGAAGAGATTGGACAACCATATGTCTGAAATGGTACAGGGTTTCCTGTCTAAGCAGGGGGTTGGACTAGAACAGGGCTCCCCAACTTTTCGGACCTCAGGGACCACTAAATTCATAATATTAAATCCCGCGGACCACTAATATGATCTGCCTAATGACTGGCTGGGTGGGCGTGGATAGTTTATAGGCCCTATTTATACTGAAATCAAACTTTTACGCGTCTTTCTCCTGTCCGCATGGTGTGCGTTGAGTTTGAAGTCTCATTCTTTGGGGTGGGAAGGAGGCCTGACCTAGGCTTCCTTAGCAAGTATAAAGCACAATCGTAGTCCCACAAAACCTCTTTTATGTATACGACTGTAAATTACTTTCATTTACAATCTGCAAGTCTTGATAAACAGTCCTTCAGAGGAGCATCCATCTCACGTGGAACGCTGCCAGAGAGCTAATTTCCAGACGCAGGGCAAGGCCAAACTTGGCACAGAGTCACAAACCGAACTTTCAGATCTTGAATCGGACAGATGAACTAATTGCTTCCTACAAAAGCTCACGTCCCGTTTGCACCTCTTTTATGTCTTATGGAAGGGGCCAATCATCTCCAAGCCTTACTCCCAAGTCGACCCTGTTTTCTTCATTGTTCTTGTCGTCTGGCAGCTCTGCGCATGCACACACTGGGAACAGGCTCCCGCTGTTCTTCTGCCTCGCTGCTGTCAGACTCCGGAGGCTGCACATAACTATCAAATGGCCTTGGCCCCCTCTCTGCCTCCAACGCAGAGCCCTCATCAGAGCCTTCCCCAGATTCCAGGACTAGCCCAAGTTCCTCCGCAACCTCCTCACTGTCCGACTCTGCTGTCAGTTCTGCTGGCCGCCGGCGGGCCACAACAGAAGGAAAGTTTCCACCTGCCTTTTTGTTTTCATAAAAAAACTTGTCTGCTTTTAGTCTGACCTCTTGATCAGGAGCTGCTATGGATGGCTTTGTTTTCCAGGTGGTAAAAGCATTTGTGGTTTTGTCTCCTGAGTTCGCATCACACGACCCAGAGAAATTAACTCGGGAGCTGCAAGATCACGTCAAGAAAGCGACGGCTCCGTACAAGTATCCCAGAAAGGTGAGTGTTAGAACAAGGTGGTGTTGAATCATACAGAAGCCTGCTCTGAAGGGCCATAACAGAATAACCTTAGAATAGAATAGAATAGAATAGAATAGAATAGAATAGAATAGAATAGAATAGAATAGAATAGAATAGAATAGAATAGAATAGAATAGAATAGAATAGAATAACAGAGTTAGAAGGGACCTTGGAGGTCTTCTAGTCCAACCCCCTGCTTAGGCAGGAAACCCGACACCACTTCAGACAAATGGTTATCCAACCTCTTCTTAAAAACTTCCAGTGTTGGAGCATTCGCAAGTTCTGGAGGCAAGTAGTTCCAATGATGAATTGTTCTAACTATCAGGAAATTCCTCCTTAGTTCTAAGTTGCTTCTCTCCTTGATGATTTTCCACCCATTGCTTCTTGTCCTGCCTTCAGGTGCTTTGGAGAATAGCTTGACTCCTTCTTTGTGGCAGCCCCTGAGATATTGGAAGACTGCTATCATGTCTCCCCTAGTCCATTGGGTTGGGGGGGGAGGGTTGGACTAGATGACCTACAAGATCCCTTGCAACTCTGTTAATCTGTATTCAAGTCCTTCTTTTCATGAAATACCATTGTGTTTGCGTCTTAACAACCACGTCAAAAAAAAAGAGTGTGACTCATTTAACAACGCTCATTGAACAATGCTGAAATTCTGATCTCCGCTGGGGTCGTAATTCAGGAACTACTTCAATCTCCCCGACCTTAGAAAGGAAGGAGTTACGATTTTTTTTCCCTTTCTTTTTATTATTTCGTAAGGTGGAATTCGTACAAGAGCTGCCCAAGACAATCAGTGGCAAAATCCGAAGGAACGAACTGCGAAAACGGGAATGGGGACAAATTTAATTCCACGCCATCCCATCATTATTTGCAGACGGATCAGCTGGCAGATTTCTGTGTGTCCAGGTTGCATTTGCAAAGCTGAAAGCTGAGCAGCTACCCCGAGCCCGGTGAAGTATGTAACTTCTGAAGAGCGTTCCCAAATCAGTAAAAATAAATTGGTTTGAGGGAGCCTCACTTTCTGAACAGGAATACTCTGGTGGAGTGAATCATATTTTTGCCTTTTTTTAGCCAATATTACACTCAGGGGCACTCCTGCGTTTTAATATTTCTTTTCTTAATTTCTGGGGTTCCCGACCAGTATCAATACCTTTAGTTTCTGAATAGGTTAAAAAAACATTTCCACATAGCAGTTGCTTAAAACTTCCTTTTATTCCTTTTGACTTGGAAATTGCAGTTGTTTTTCTGGCCAAGCTGCAAATCATTCTTTCGACTTTTCTAACATCTTTCATTTTATTGAGGGAGCCAGACCAATAAAATGCAATACAATCGTTTAAAATGCCGAACCGCCAAAATTCTGAATTTTGTTATGTCCGGGACAGCTTTTCACAAATGCTTTTAAAATCGTGCTGGCATCAGGATTATTTTATGTGTAAATGAGAATTTCTTAATCCAAGGTAGGCCACTGGTTCATCGTCCTATGTGTTTTAATTAATCAAGTAATATTAGCTCTCAAATGGTGCATGCACATAGTTTCTACATTCAAAACACCTTTTCACTACAAATTGAATTCTTTCCATTACTTTGGATCACAATGTTGAGGTCACAAACGTCCCCAATCAAAGCTGTCTATTTGGCCATCAAAACAGGTGTCTCAAACTTGAGGTGCTTTGCATACTCTAGAGCAGAATTTTTCAAATGTGGTAACTTTTTAAAGATTTATACTCTTTAAACTCCCAGAATTCCTCAACGGGCCATGCTGGCTGGAAAATTCTGGGCGTCGAAGTCCACATCTTAAAGCATGCTGGCTGAAGGATTCTGGGAGTTGAGGTGCATACATCTTAAAAGTTGCCAAGTTTGAAAAACACTGCTCTAGATTCTCCTATCTCGTGTGTGTGTTTGTGTGAGGGGTGTGTGTGTGTGAGAGAGAGGTATAAATAGACAATATAGATGATAGATGATATATAGACAGACACAGGGACAGAGTCATGGGAAATTTTTCTTCTACAAAGAAATTTTTCTTCTGCACAGATAGCAATAGGTGAATAAATGAGCTAACACTGATCTGTTCGTTTGCATGCTGATTTTAAAAGGCAGAATTGCTTTCACTGATCATTTATTTTCACACACCAAATCTCGATTTTTACAGACAAGTGTAGTTTTAAAAAAAGAAGCAAAGAACATGTGTTAGCCAATCTGTTCCAAACAAAAAGGAGGTCAATTTAATAGAAAACGACGTACAAAAAAAAGACCACATACAAACTGGAAAGTATTATACCTCTGCAAAGATGTTACGCTGTGAATGTTTATTTTCAGACAGAGAAAAGCTGGATTTTTCTCTCCTTAATATCCCCACAATTACGAGTTTGGAGCATCAACATGTCATTCTAACAATGTAACTGCAAATAGAACATTTTTCAACAAAAGATGTGTATTTTCCCTAAAGCCCCGTTCGGTTAATATTTTACAATTTGTTTAAGAAGGCTTTCTACAAGCAAGCCCATAGAAGTTCCTCCAGGCTCAATAGTCACCTGTTAAAAGAGTTACAAGAGAAACCTGAACATCTTCCCAGATCAGAAAAAGCATCAAAACATTAAAACTATCTATTCTCACAGACATGGAGGGGTCTCTAAACTTGGCAACTTTGAGACAGGTGGGTTTCGACTCCCAGAATTCCTCAGCCAGCCATGCTTGAATTCTGGGAGTTGAAGTCCACAGGTCTTAAAAGTGGCCAAGTTTGGAGAACGAGATCTCAGAGGTGCTGTTTTTCCAGAGGGGACCAGAATACGAGATCCCCAGATCCACGGAGATGCCAGCCTAAGAGGAGAGGATCACTTTTGTTCTCAAGTCATGCTAGACTTCGCATCAGGATGCTGGCTTGGTAACTAGACCGTGATCACATGAAAATTTGGCAGTAAACAGCTGCCATAATTTAGCTGGGAAAAATCTACGATTTGGAAACACAAACTTGTTGAGGATGAAGAGTTAAAAACTGCCTTGCAAAAAAACTACAAACGAATAGGCAGCTGTTGACTTGCCTAATCCTGAGTAAGAAAACCTGGGGGTTTTTTGTCATAATAATCAGAATAAGGTAAAGGTAAAGGTAAAGGTTCCCCTCGCACATATGTGCTAGTCGTTCCTGACTCTAGGGGGACGGTGCTCATCTCCGTTACAAAGCCGAAGAGCCAGCGCTGTTCGAAGACGTCTCCGTGGTCATGTGGCCGGCATGACTCAACGCCAAAGGTGCACGGAACGCTGTTCCCTTCCCACCAAAGGGGGTCCCTATTTTTCTACTTGCATTTTTTACGTGCTTTCGAACTGCTAGGTTGGCAGAAGCTGGGACAAGTCACGGGAGCTCACTCCGTTACGCGGCGCTAGGGATTCGAACCACTGAACTGCCAACCTTTCGATCAACTAACTCAGCGTCCTAGCCACTGAGCCACCGCGTCCCTTAATCAGAATAGAAAGGGATCATTTTAAAACCTTTAATAAGCCAACTTTTCTAGTATCGACTACTTCTACTTCCAACCTCAAGCATAATTTAGGAACGATCCACCACCACCCAACCCTCACCTCCCAATTCTGACTGCATTTTTGCAATTTTAACTTTAAAAAGCCAGAACGTGGGGCCATCTGTATTGGGGGTGGGGGGTGGGGGTGGAAACCAGCAGAAACATGTTTGGCTGGTCAGCATAGCGTCTTTTAGCCCTAAGGATAGGACTCATAAGTGGCTCTGGGTCAGGAAACGGCTAGCCAGTTTGATCCAGCCACAATAATCTGTTTTATATGTAACATTAAACCCTTGGGCAGGGCTGACCATCTTTGACAGCATTAAAACATATGGACTTCAACTCCCAGAATAGCTGACTGGGGAATTCTGGGAGTGGGAAGTCCACAGGTCTTAAGAACTGCCGAGGCCGGACAGCCCTGAATGACAGGTTGTGAAAACCATGGCTTGAATTGTTCAGTTGGAAACCCTCTCCTCTCCCCCAAACCCCAATCCAGAATAACTACTACAACGAAGCAGGAATGGTGGGGGAGATTGTCTGAGACAAATGGAGCTTTAGCCAAGTCACCTAGAGAACAAACATCAATCCCTGACATCAACAACCAGCTACCCATCCTGCAGATTTTTCCTTTTTTTTTCTTCTCGGCTCTTTCATTCACGGTGCTAGTCCTCATGATTGTCATTGGAGGCGGTCTCCGTCTTGTCTTGGCGCTCGTTTTGGTTTTCCTTCTGCGCTTCAGGTGTTTTCGCTCCGGGGGTGTCGTTCTCGTGGGATGCTTTAGGAGCCTCTGGCTGCCCCTCGGCTTTGCTTTTCACCACCTCCTGAAGGTTGTACTTTCGGAAAAGAACGTAGTCCTTAACCACACTCAAGCAGCAGATGTTCTTGATGATCTCCACCACGATGGTGTATTCGGGGTTACTCAGGTCGACCTTGTTTTCTGGGTTGAGGTGGCCCACTACGCCTGCAAAGCAATGATGGAAAGGAGGCAGGAATGACTGCCTTAAGTCAATTTCATAACTAGTGGAATGATACGATGTTTTGTTTTATGTGTCTATGGAGATTCTCAGTCATCCAGGACATGGTTGTCCCAAAGGTGCATTTTTTTCCAAAAGGCCACTGGACTCTGTTTTGCCTTGAAGACGTTTCGCTTCTCATCCAAATAAGCTTCTTCAGTTCTGACTCAGAACTGAAGAAGTTTCTCAGATGAGAAGCAAAACGTCTTCAAGGAAAAACAAAGTCCAGTGGCCTTTTGAAAAAACACTTTCGGTTCCATTCTTTTTTTGGGGGGGTGGGAGGGGGTAACGTTTTGTACATTCTTATTTTTTGTCTTTTTTCCCCTGCTGGTTCTATGGTTGAGTGTCTTTAAAAAGAAAACAATGTAAAACCAGTGGTTTTATTGGGGAGGAAGAGATGGCACCGAGCGTGGTCTTAGAAATAACTTTTGGATTGGTGATCTGCTTGAAGTTTTAGGCGTTTGGGTGCTCTTTTCACACACAAAATGCATTCTGAGACAACCTGGTTTTCTCCAGGCATTTTAAGACAGAAATTCCCATCAATCAATACTAGACAACACAGTATCAACAGTAGAGACCTTCAAATTTCTAGGTTCTAGCATATCTCAAAACCTAAAATGGACACCTAACATCAAAAACGTCATCAAAAAAGCACAACAAAGAATGTTCTTTCTGCGCCAACTCAGGAAGCTCAAACTGCCCAAGGAGCTGCTGATCCAGTTCTACAGAGGAATTATTGAGTCTGTCATCTGCACCTCCATAACTGTCTGGTTTGGTTCTGCAACCCCACAAGAGAGACACAGACTTCAGAGGATAATTAGAACTGCAGAAAAAACAATGGCTACCAACCTGCCTTCCATTGAGGACCTGTATACTGCACAAGTCAAAAAGAGGGCTGTGAAAATATCTACAGACCCCTCGCATCCTGGACATAAATTGTTTCAACTCCTACCTTCAAAACGACGCTATAGAGCACTGCACACCAGAACAACTAGACACAAGGACAGTTTTTTCCAGAATGCCATCACTCTGTTTAACAACTAATTCCCACAACACTGTCAAACTATTTACTAAATCTGCATTACTATTAATCTCCTCATCGTTCCTATCACTCATCTCCTCCCACTTATGACTGCATGACTGTAACTTCGTTGCTGGTATCCTTACGACTTATATTGATATTTTTTCCTGATTGCTTATTTATACCCTATGACTATTATTAAGTGTTGTACCTTATGATTCTTGACCAATATATCTTTTCTTTTTATGTACACAGAGAGCTTATGCACCAAAGACAAATTCCTTGTGTGTCCAATCACACTTGGCCAATCAAGAATTCTATTCTCTACCCACAGGAACATAAAGTCTTAAACCCTCATTCTTAAACCACACTGCAAATCTACCGTGGATTGAGATCTACCCTGGAAGAGAAAAGCCATCATGGTTTGCCCTTGTGTTTACCTGCTAGCTCTTTTATCACTTCTTCCCTGCTGAGGTGGCTGTTATTTCGTGCCTTGTAAACAATCTGGAAACTGCCCTTTTGGGGGCTTTTGAACCAGGGTTCGAAAAAGGTCTCTGCATACCGCTTCATGTCTTCGAGAAAGGCTTTGCAGGTGCCCGACACGGGCAGCATGCGCAAGATGACTCTGGTTTTCTTCTTCTTGGTGGCATGCATGTCCTTTAGGATGTGGTGGACCAACTTCTCAGGTTCTGCAAAGACACACAAGCGTGAAGATTCAAAGGAGAGGCTGTTTCAAGTGAGAACCACCGGCCTTTTTAGAAGCACAGTTCCGTTGACGTGAAAAAGAACTTCAGGTAGTCCTCGATTTATGACCGTAATGGAACCTGCCCATTATGGTCATAAGCCAAGTGGTCGTAAAATCAGGTCCATCATGTGAACAGACCTGATTTTACAACCTTTTCTTGTGGCGGTGGTTAAGCCAGTCATCATGGGCATTAAGTGAATCCGCAGTCATTAAACAAGTGTTGCGGATGTTAAGCCAACTCATTGTTCACGATGTTTGTTTCTTGCCCCCCCCCCCCAAAAAAAAACAAAAAACAAAACCCAGGAGTAAAATTTTCAGCATGCTGGCTAGGAATTAATTCTGGGATCTATCCAGGTTTTTAAATTGCCAAGGATGGTTGGGTTGTTTTTTTGTTCTTTCGTAAGTCGTTTGGGCTCTTTTAGGGAGGGTGATGTATAAATAAAATTAGGAGTAAAACAAATCATCATCATTTTATTGGCAAACTCTGTGCACACATACCAACACCCAGCGTTCGAATGAAAACCACGTTGTTAGCACCACTCTCCACCGACTGGAACCGACGCTGCTTCTGTTCCGTGGAGGTGCGAATCTGATCCACTTCTTTTTTCAAAGCTGCTTCGGCATCATCGTCTTCCTCCTCTTCCTCCTCATTCCCAGAGAGCCTGTCCTCGTCTTGCTCTGCAAACTTAGCACAGGCAAAGAAATACATAAATACAAAATCCATATTGTCTTACAGACCACAAGGGAGCCCAAAATTTCCACTCCTTAAGGAAGATAGTTGGGTGACATTTTGTAACCTTTCCTACCATAGTTAAGCGAATCCCCGCAATTGTTAAGTGGCTGAATCTGTCATTAAGCAAATCTGGCTTTCCTGCATTGACTTTGCTTGTCGAAAAAGCCGGCTGGGAAGGTTACAAATGGTGATCATGTGACCCAAGGAAATGCAACCGTCATATATACATGCCAATTGAGTGGTGCAGTGGCCTAATCAGGAGGCTGTGAGTTCGATCCTAGGTAGCGGCAGATATCTCTCTCTCTGGGCACAATGAGTAAAACATCTGCTGTGAACTCTGCATTGGCGACAGAAAGGGCATCCGGCCAGTAAACACTCTGCTCCATTCAGTTGCCCCGACTCCACCCCGATGTAAGAGATTACGGGGTCATTAAAAGAAAAAAAAAAGGTCATTAAAAGACAAAAAAAAATACATGCCAGTTGTCCGGCATCCCAATTTTGATCACGTGACCATGGGGAGGCTGCATTGGTCCTAAGTGTGAAAAGCCATCTTATATAATATAATAACAGAGTTGGAAGGGACCTTGGAGGTCTTCTAGTCCAACCCCCTGCTTAGGCAGGAAACCCTACACCACTTCAGACAAACAGTTATCCAATCTCTTCTTAAAAACTTCCAGTGTTGGAGCATTCAGAACTTCTGGAGGCAAGTCGTTCCACTGATGAATTTTTTCTAACTGTCAGGAAATTTCTCCTTAGCTCTAAGTTGCTTCTCTCCTTGGTTAGTTTCCATCCATTGCTTCTTGTCCTGCCTTCAGGTGCTTTGGAGAATAGCTTGGCTCCCTCTTCTTTGTGGCAGCCCCTGAGATATTGGAAGACTGCTATCATGTCATCCCTAGTCCTCCTTTTCATTAAACTAGACCAGGGGTGGGCAAATGTGGCTCTTTTACAACCTGTGGACTTCAACTCCCAGAATTCCTGAGACAGCCAAGGTGGCTGACAGCCAAGCTGTCTCAGGAATTCTGGGAGTTGAAGTCCACAGGTTGTAAAAGAGCCACATTTGACCACCCCTGAACTAGACATACCCAGTTCCTGCAACCGTTCTTCATATGTTTTAGCCTCCAGTTCCCTAATCCTCTTTGTTGCTCTTCTCTGCACTCTTTCTAGAGTCTCCACATCTTTTTTTACATCATGGCAACCAAAACCGAATGCCGTATTCCATGTGTGGCGTAACCAAGGCTTTATAAAGCAGTATTAACCCTTTCCGTGATCTCGATTCTATCCCTCTGTTGATGCAGCCTAGAACTGTGTTGGCTTTTTTTTTTTTTTGGCAGTCGCTCCTTTCAGGGGCCGTTGTCACTTCCGTCCCGCAACGAATGGTTGTAAAGTCGAGGACTCCCTGCATTACAACCATGTTTATACCTTTTCCCACTCCAGGGCATAGAAAAGAAAAAATAATAAGAGGGTAATTGATTTGTGTAAAATGATATAAGAGCCGAGATGGCGCAGTGGTTAGAGTGCAGTACTGCAGCTACTTCAACTGACTGCTAGTTCAGCAGATCAGCGGATCAAATCTCACTGGCTCAGGGTTGACTCAGCCTTCCATCCTTCCGAGGTGGGTAAAATGAGGAGCCAGATTGTTGGGGGGCAATATGCTATTTAGTATACTGTCTTTGGTGTAAGCCGCCCAGAGTCCTCAGAGAGTGGGCAGCATAGAAATATGAATAATAAATAAATAATAAATATAAATTAGATAATTTCTTTTTGTTTGTTTGTTTTTTTTTAAAAGAAGGTAATTAGTGGGGATTTGGGAAAAGCTTTTATTAAAGAGGAATTAATAATTGCACCAATTTATGACCGGATCAATGGCTCGTTCGGAAAAGATTTTTGTAGGTTTATGTGTTTTAAAAAATAAAAAAAAGTTGTTCAAAAAAAAAAAAGCAAAAAAAACCAAAAACCAATATAAAAGCAAAACAATTGGTATGAACGGCTGAAAGATAAGGAAATAAATAAGGAATGAAGAAGGGAAAGAGAAAAATGTGATAGATCAATTAACATGTTAGAGCCTTGATAGTACAGTGGTCTACGCACCCTGTTATTAACACAGCTGCCTGCAATTTACTGCAGGTTCGAATCTCCCCAGGCTCAAGGTTGACTCAGCCTTCCATCCTTTCTAAGGTAGGTAAATTGAGGACCCAGTTTGTGGGGGCAATAAGCTGACCTATACGGAGGATTCCGGATCTGCGTACCTTCCGTCGCACGCTTAAGACGTTCCTATTCCAGCAAGCCGGCCTGACCTAAACTTTTCCTCTTTTAAATGGGAATTTTAAATTTGGTTTTAAATTATTGGGGTTTTAAAATGGTTCAGCCAAATTTATTTAATTTGTTTTATCTCTATTTTAAATTTTGTATTTATATGTTTTATTTTATGGCTGTTCACCGCCCTGAGTCCTTCGGGAGTAGGGCGGTATACAAATTTAATAAAATGAAAAATGAAATGACTTTGTATAAATATACAAAAAGTATGAAGGCTATTGCTTAGCGCATTGTAAGCCGCCCTGAGTCTCCGGAGAAGGGCGGCATATAAATCAAATTTAAAAAAAAATGAAATACAATAGGAGAAAAAGGCTGAATAAGTTAACATTGTAATATCTGTAAATATTACTATATAGTAAGAAATGGATCACTGTTAAGTAGCTGAAAAAGAAACTTAAGATTCTTGTATGTGTTGTACGTCTATGTATGTCTTTTTAACTATGTTTAAAATAAAAAAAACTTTTTTTATAAAAAAAAGAAAAGCAAAAAATAATAATAATAATAATAAATCCGGCCCAGTTTGTCACAAACCAGCAGGAAAGCCAAGAGAGAGCTGCCAAAGTCGTATGGGGGGGGGAGAGAAACTACATTTCCCAGCATTCCCACCGGGCACTTTGCTGGGCGGGAACCCTGGGAGTTGTAGTCCCGAGACTTCCAGGCTGTCCCCCTGGAAGCCAGACCACCACAGCCAGGTAAGGGAAATCCCCAGTGGCTTCTTTTCTCCCGGACTCACCTGCTCGGGCCCGTAGAGCTGCTCTCCGTACTCGCCCAGCAGGCTGTAGGCTTCGGCCACGCACTTGCGCTCGTTCATGTTGCAAGTGATGAGGATGCCGCACATGCCGGCCTCCAGTTGATGCCGACCGCCCGGCCGGGCTCGCTTAGCCGCCTGCGAGTACTGCCCTTTGGGCGGCCGTCGCTTGCGAGAGGCCGCCGCTGTTGCTGCTACCGTCGTCGCCGCCACCACCGGCGGCGTCTCCACGGCAGCCATGGGGAAGGCGGCGGTTGAAGGGTTGCGCAGGCGCAGCAAGGCGCCAACAGGCCCGGCGGGCCTTGATGGCGTCATCAGACCGCGCGCCCCCCGGAGCGTATTTTGTGATAGACTGTAGAGATAAGAAGAAGAAGAAAAAAAAAGTAGACCATAGAGTCGAGGCGCGAGAAATTCGAGGCTCGGCTGCTGTGGCTCCAGCTAGTGGCCGTCTCGAGTTCTGCAGCCCAAATCTGAGGGGGACTGAAACGGTCGAAAATGAGCGCGAAAGGACACTAAATTTGTGCAATAAAACTCTTAAACGGAGAGAAAGTGATAAATCACATAGATTAGTTGATAGACAGACATGGAGAAAGGAGGTAGATAAAGGTAGAACGAGATAAGAGAGAGAGAGAGAAGAGCATGCAAATCTACAAGAGATTCCTAAGGATAAAATGTGTTTTATTGTTTATTACTTCTTCCTTACAAAGGCACCTTCAACAGCAAAACCAAAACAAACAAACAAACAAAAAACTTAGGAAAACGCCTATTGGAATAGATGTCTAAAAGCCATGAAGTTATAAGACACACAATTATATTGATTTACATGCAGCAAAATCGAAAGGAAAAGATAGAAATTAAAAGAAAGAAAAATTTTGGATATGGATTAAACATAAAAGAATTGTAACCGATCGATACACTTTCTGTAACTGTAATGGTCGTTTTATGTTTTGGTTTGCTTAAAAAAATATAAAAAATTTCAAAAAAGAAAAGAGAAAAAACATGCAAGAAAAGAACAAAAAAAACCCCCCACTAAAGTTATAAATCCTAGTTAGGTTTCTCTGTGGCTTCTGCTTCAAACCTGGTTAATAAAACACAGCTGTTGTGTTTGCATTTACGTACCACGCAAATAAACCATGTATTGTGGGTTTTTAAAAATTAAAAAATAAAAGTTATGAAATCTAGGGGACTTCCCATCCTTTTTTCAACTGATAATTTACACTCTTACAGTCTTTCTAGATGAAGAGGCGAGGATTTTTTTTAAAAAAGTTTTCTGCAAGCAGTGTAGGGTTTCTTGCCTAAGCAGGGGGTTGGACTAGAAGACCTCCAAGGTCCCTTCCAACCCTGTTTATTCTATTCTATTCTATTCTATTCTATTCTATTCTATTCTATTCTATCCTATTCTATCCTATCCCATCGTTCGATTGTTCTGTTCTATTCTATTCTATTCTATTCTATTCTATTCTATTCTATTCTATTCTATTCTATTCTATTCCATTCCATTCCATCCCATCCCATCCCATCCCATCCCATCCCATCCCATCTCATCATTCGATTGTTCTGTTCTATTCTATTCTATTCTATCCTATCCTATCCTATTCCATCCCATCCCATCTCATCATTCGATTGTTCTGTTCTGTTCTATTCTATTCTATTCTATTCTATTCTATTCTATTCTATTCTATTCTATTCTATTCTATTCTATTCTATTCTATCCTATCCTATCCTATCCTATCCTATCCTATCCTATCCTATCCTAAACCAGACTGTGCAGTAAGCGATACTATTTGTACAGTAAAAATTAAAACGACCCAAAGAATCAACCAAGAAAGCCACAAGACAGTTTTCTGGAATAAAGGATTGTCCTTTATAATAAAGGATGCGTGGGTCTTGGTAGTCGTGCCCTTAACTCTTTTATCCAACTTTTTCTGCAATTTCTCTTCTAGCTAGCGCTGGTGGAAGGTTGCAGATTGCTTCAGAGATGCTCGACCAGTTTTCCCCCGGTAGCAAAAATGCCTGCGTGACGTACTGTGTCCTTCACTCTTAGAAGAAGAAAAAAAAACCCACGTCCTTCTCTGAACAGTTTCCAAGAGGGCAAAAGAGGACATTTGCATCGTGGCCGTGTCCCAGGGAAGTTGGTTTTGGCTCCCGTGAGTTTTTAGCTGACTTTCTCTCTTTACCTGGGTGGGATTATAACTTCCTGCAGCTTCTGTAAAGAGTTGGAGGGGCTTAAAGTCAGCTCGTTTTCCAAAAATTCAGAAGAGGGCATTCTTTGAAAAAAATAACAATAATCAACAACAGAATTTCAAGTACCTGTTGAAGTTTCAAGGAGGTAAGAAAACAATGAATCCAGCTCTTATTTCGTGTTCAGAATGATGATTATTATTTCATTTTTTTGTATGCATTTGTGGCTTCGTTTATGCTCGTAGTTTTGTGGGGCAGATCAAGCTGAGATCTACTGAGCAAGTAAAGGTCCCTCAGTGAACATAGGACTGGAAAGAGATTTGAACTCTTCTTCCTTTCCAGATACACTAACTCTACTACATGCTTTAGAAGCAGGGATCCGAGAGGTGGAAAGATCTTTTGTTGGCTGCGGATTGCATGGCTATTAAGAAGAAAATTGGTTTCCAAGATTAACACTCTTTTAACACTTTTTTTCTTTTTTCTTGGCTCCTTTTCAGCAAATCTGACTTTTTAAATTAAAAATAATTTTGTCCATTAAGCATCAGTGGTGAAATCCAAATTTTTTTAAATTTTTTCGCCTGTTCCGGTAGCGATGGAGGCGGGTGGTTCAGAGAACCGGTAGCAAAAATCCCTGCGCGCCCCGTCCCCGCCATGCCCAGTTGAGCCGCACGATCATCAGAGGCTTTTTTTGTTTGTTTTTTTACTTTTAAAAGCATTTTTTTCTACAACCCCTTCCGATGAAAAATGCTTTTAAAAGTAAAAAAAAAAAAAAGGCTCTGATGATCGCGCGGCTCAGCTGGGATCATCAGAGGCTTTTCAAAGCATTTTTTCCTGCAACCTCTTGGCCAAAGAGTGGGTTAAAAAAAAATGCTTTGAAAAGTCTCTGACGATCCCAGCTGAGTTGCCTGATCGGCAGAGGCTTTTCAAAGCATTAGAAAAAATGCTTTGAAAAGTTAAAAAAAAAAAAAAGTTGGCCACACCCACCCAGTCACATTAACACCCCCCCCACCAAGCCACGCCCACAGAACCGGTAGTAACAAATTTTAGATTTCACCACTGGACCAAACTCACTCGTGACAAATGTCTCTTTTTTTAGCAACAGAAATTTGGGACTCAAATGTGGTCCCAAGCCGAGGACTGCCTGTATTGTAGCACGCCGGCTGGCTTAGTCTTAGGCAGGTTTTCTAAATTACTTATTGTGGCTTACGAAAGGTCAGAGCTCTCTGCCAAGTAGCACATACCTTACATAGCGTTGTTACTACATTCAGCTGGGCAGCGCATTCGGTTGCTGTTTGGCCTCCTGTGTCGCAAGAGAACTTTGCTTGCATTGATTTTATCCGGATCCAACTGCCAGCGTTTTTATCAGCCGACACCGTTTCTCTCACGTTGGCAGTCGCGGCAGAAAAATAAGGTTCAAGTCTCTTGTGGATCTGGGATTGTGCCCTATATTTCGTAATCCTTAGTACAGGTAATCCTCGATTTACGATCACAACTGAGACCCAGAATTTCCGTTGCAAAGCAAGGCAGTTGTTAGGTAAGTCGCAACTTATTTTACAACCTTTCCTCCCCCACATACAGTTGTTAAGCGAATTGTGCTGTCATTAAGCAAATCCAGCTTCTCTGGCTGACTTTGTTTATCGGAAGGTCGCACGTGTCGATCACGAGACCCCGGGATGCTGCAACCGACATAAATACATTTCTGTTGCCAAGCACCCACCCAAATTTTGATGGGACCGTGGGGATGTCGCGATAGTCATAAATTGTGAGGACCGGTCGTATAAATCCCTTTTTTTCCCCAGTGCCACCGAAATTTAGAACGGTTGCTAAATGGAATGATTGTAAACTGAGGACTACCTATGATAGATAATCCCTCGTGGGGAGACGGGCTGCAAATTTAATAAATAAATAAAACAATCCATCATGCAGTGCATAGCTACAAGAATCCCTGCTCGCCGACATTTAAATTAGAGCCTTAATACTTGTTGTTCTTCCAGGCAAATGAGCCTGGATTGCATAGTACAAAGATCGGGGCTGAGACTGGCAGATTCATTGATTCTTGCACTGGGTGCAAAGAGAAATCTTAGTTCCGTAGACGTTGGACTACAAGTCCTGTTATCTCTGAATCTGCCACCTGAGGCTGATGGGAGTGAGGGCTGTTGGCCACAATAACTTCTCAATTTTACCTGTTATTACGGTGAAGCACGGATAGCTGTAATCGGGGGGTGGGGCTGCTGGGGGTTCGTAGGGGTTCGGGAGAACCTCTAGCTAAGATTCTGTGCAGTTCGGAGAACCCCCAAATCCCACTCCTGGCTGGCCCCGCCCATCCTAGCCCACCCCTTCCAGGAGTCCCCACACAACCCGTTTTGGATGCAGGTAAGTGCAGGGCGCGCGGGAAGGCTCAGGGAGGGCGAAAAACAGGTCTATTGGAAGTTTGGGAAGGCCAGAAACGAGCCTGTTTCCAGCCTCCAGAGGGCCTCCAGAGCCTGGGGAGGCTGTTTTCACCCTCCCGGAGGCTCAAGAAAAACCTCCGGAGCCTGGGGAAGGCAAAAAAATCCCTCTCCTGCTGTGTTGCAGGAGGCCAACTAGGCCACGCCCACCATGGCCACGCCTACCCATCAACTGGGCAGAGAACCCCTTGCTAAAAATTTTGATGCCTTCCCCTGCCTGTAATCCTGTAACGTCCGTGCTATTCAAACAAGCCAACAGCATGCTTGCAATTTCCCTTATACTTCTTCCTTCTTCTTGCAATCCTTCTTGTCTGGTTCCTTTTAAAATGTTTGACATTCCCAGTGAGTGACAGAGCAGGGTCACGCAATAAGATTAATTAAAAGCAGAGGCGTCAACGACGAGGAAATAAAAGTTTTTGCTCGGCCCTAAGAAGGCTATAAACCATCCGGACATTTTCATTCTGCGTTTCAGGTAGGCGGTGATTGACAGAAAACAGCCCAAGAATCTTTAGAAGAGAAGACCATGGCTTGTGTTACCTTGACAATAAGGTGCAAAGTCTCGGCTGCTAGGATTCTGCGGTCCGTCTGCCTCGTTTCTTCCAGAAGCTTCAGCAGAGGCGAAATCTCTTCGGTGGGTCAGAATTTTGCGGACTACAAATCCATTTGCGAACAGTATAAGCCGGAAGTGCCGGAATATTTCAATTTTGCCAAAGATGTGGTGGACAGCTGGGCCCAGTCAGAAAAGGTATTGTTTTTTCTTCATCTTTTGCGCAAGTGATCATCTTTAAGGGATACCGTGTTGGGGCAATACAGGGAGTCCTTGACATACGACCATGATTGAGCCTGAAATTTCTGTTGTTAAGCGTGACCGTTGTTAAGTGAATTTTGTTCTGGTTTGCCACCTTCCTTGCCACGGTTGTTAAGTGACTCACTGCAGTTGTTAAGTAAGTAACAAGTCAACTCTTTCAATGGAAAAGAAGCAGGAGTGGGATTCAGCCGGTTTGGACAAGTTCAGGCGTACCGGTAGCTCCAACGATCAACTGGGAGCGAACCAGTTCACTCCGACGATCAGCTGGGCCCGCCCGCCCCTGCGCACTTTACTTACCTTTATCCTCTCATCTGATTCGCGCGGCAGAGCGAATTGCCGTGCCTCAGCTGTGTTAGTCCCCAGAAGTAACGCGGAAGTTTAGTTTTGTCAAAACTGCACACGCGCTTGCTCACCGAACCAGTTGTTAAACTGGTAGGATCCCACCACTGAACAGAAGTTGCCTTCAGAAGTTGTGAGAGCTTCATCCCTGGAAGTTTTCAAGAAGAGCCTGGACTGTCATCTGTCAGAAGGGGTGTACGGTCTCCTGCTTGGGCAGGGGGTTGGACTAGATGACCTACAAGGTCCCTTCCGATTCTGTTAATCTGTAATCTGTAGTCCTCTCCCCAAAATTCCCATTCATGTCCCTGTTGTTGCACCGTCCAGTGTCAGGTTTCGATGTCATCTCAAATAAATTGCATTCCCAAACAATCTTTGCTGAAATCTTCCATTTATTGAGTACGACAATCTGGCTCCGATTTCATCGAGATTTCAGCAAAGATTAATTGTTTGGGAATGCAATTTATTTGAGATGACATCGGAACCTGACAGATAGCCGATACTAACCCTCTAACCCCAAACCCTTCCCTTTCCGTTCTCCAATTCTCAGCGTCTCATTGGCCATCTTCCAAGTCAGTCTCCCCAGCTCCTGACTTCAACCCACAGGAATGTCCCCCCTCCCATCCCATCTCCTAGGGGATATTATCTACAGAGAAAATAAGTAGGTGAAAAGTCAAGCCTCGTCTTCTCCTCTTTATGGCAGCATTAGAATGCTGACATCCAGTTTGAGACCTGTGCAGACAGAATGAGGCAGTGGCTCTCTGGATCTGAGCAGATTCTCCTCACGGCTGACTTCTTCCCCTGCAGGAAGGAAGGCGGCCCTCCAGCCCTGCTCTTTGGTGGGTCAGTGAGCAAGCAACCCAAGTGAAGTGGACTTTTGCAGAGCTGGCCTTGGAGTCCCGAAAAGCCGCCACGGTGCTGTCCGAGCAGGGTGGCCTGCGGGAAGGAGACCGAGTGGTGGTGATTCTCCCGCGCATTCCCGAATGGTGGCTCTTGAACCTGGCTTGTATCCGAACAGGTGAGAAGTAACGATGTCCACCCACCAGCCTCAGTTTTGACAGAATGTTCCTTTTGGACAGGAATCAGAACCTGTCTCTTTGGTGTTGGCATCGGCTAATACAGGGGTGGGCAACTGTGGCCCTTTTACAACCTGAGGACTTCAACTCCCAGAATTCCTGAGACAGCCAAGCGATCAAGTTTTGACAGGTTCTGGAGAACCGGTAGCAGAAATTTTGAGCAGTTCGGAGAACTGGCAAATACCACCTTTGGCTGGCCCCAGAGTGGGGTGGGAATGGAGATTTTGCAGTATCCTTTCCCCAGGAGTGGGAATGGGGATTTTGCAGTATCCTTTCCCCCTGGAGTGGGGAGGGAATGGGGATTTTGCAGTATCTTTCCCCCTGGAGTGGGAATGGGGATTTTGCAGTATCCTTCCCCCATGGGTGGGGAGGGAATGGGGATTTTGCAGTATCTTTCCCCCTGGAGTGGGAATGGGGATTTTGCAGTATCCTTCCCCCACGGGTGGGCAGGGAATGGGGATTTTGCAGTATCCTTCTCCCTGGAGTGGGGAGGGAATGGGGATTTTGCAGTATCCTTCCCCCATGGGTGGGGAGGGAATGGGGATTTTGCAGTATCCTTCTCCCTGGAGTGGGGAGGGAATGGGGATTTTGCAGTAGCCTTCCCCCTGGAGTGGGGAGGGAATAGGGATATTGCAGTATCCTTCTCCTGCCACGCCCACCAAGCCACACCACACCCACCAAGCCACGCCCACAGAACCGATAGTAAAAAAATTTGGATTTCACCACTCATTGAGGGCCGGATTCTCCGAGTGCCCGATGTCTTTATTTACGGGACCGCCTGCTGCCGCAAATGGCCTCCCACCAGCCAGTACACTCTCACAGAGAGGGGCTCCTCCGGGTGCCCTCGGCCAAACAATGTCGGCTGGCGGCCCCCAGCGGGAGAGCCTTCTCTGTGGGGGCACCTACTATCTGGAACGAGCTCCCCCCGGAGATACGGAGGATCCCAGATCTACGCACCTTCCACCGCGCTCTTAAAACCTTTTTATTCCATCAGGCTGGCCTGGCCTAACCTCTCCCATTCTCTTTTTAATGTAAATTTTAATGTAAATTTTATTTTGTTCTTAACCTGGGGTTTTAAATTTGTCTTGGGCTAAATTGATTTAATTCGATTTTACTTCTGCTCTTAAATTTTTGTATTCTATGTGTTTTATCCTGTGCCTGTTCACCCCCCTGAGTCCTTTGGGAGTAGGGCGGTATACAAATTAAATAAAATGAAAATGAAATGAAATGTCTGAATGCCCAAAGCGATAAGAGGCTGGCATTTTTATTAGGTTCCCTGATTTCTTCTCTTAGGAGCTGTGATGATTCCTGGAACCACACAGCTGACAGCGAAGGACCTCCACCACCGCTTAGAGGCTTCCAAAGCCAAGTGCGTCATCACGGACTCTGCCCTGGCCCCTGTGGTGGACATGGTGGCTTCCCAATGCCCGTCCCTGGAGCTGAAGTTCATGGTATCCAAGGAACCCAGGGAAGGTTGGCTAAACTTCAGCGAGATGTTGGAGTAAGTAAGTCAGGTTGGTAAAACGGAAGCATTCGTTTCTCAACCTTTCTCAACTTTCAGATGCATGGTGCTACAACTCCCAGAATTTCCTGGCCAGCAGTGCAGAAACAATAATAATAGAGAAATGTAGGATGGACAGGGAGAGTCAGTTTGGTCTCGTGGCTAAGGCACCAGAATAGAAACTGGGAGACTGGGAGTTCAAGTCTGGCCTTCGTCATGAAAGCAGCTGGGTGACTTTGAGCCAACCACCAGGAGACTGAGAGTTCTAGTCCCGCTTTAGGCATGAAAGGTAGCTGGGTGACTTTGAGCCCCATCGCTAGGAGATGGTGAGTTCTAGTCCTGCTTTAGGCATGAAAGCAGCTGGGTGACTTTGAGCCAATCACCAGGGGACAGTGAGTTCTAATCCCGCCTTAGGCATGAAAGCCAGCTGGGTGACTTTGAGCCAATCACCAGGAGACGGTGAGTTCCAGTCCCACCTTAGGCATGACAGCAGCTGGGTGACTTTGGGCCAATCACCAGGCGACAGTGAGTTCTAGTCCCCCTTTAGGCATGAAAGCCAGCTGGGTGACTTTGAGCCAATCACCAGGAGACGGTGAGTTCCAGTCCCGCCTTAGGCATGAAAGGCAGCTGGATGACTTTGGGCCATTCACCAGGAGACGGTGAGTTCTAGTCCCGCCTTAGGCGTGAAAGCCGACTGAGTGACCTTGGGCCACTCTTCTCTTAGCTCAACCCTCCTCACAGGGTTGTGTTGTTGTGGGGCAAATAGGAGGAAGGCGGTATGTTGGACATATTCACCACCTTGAGTTATTTGTAAAAACAGTAAAGGTGGGATAGAAATTGAATAGATAAACAATCGGTTGTCTGGATCTGCGTTCCTACGAAAGTTGTTAGCATCAAGAAGAGATTCCCTGTTGAAGTGGGCTCATGCACAATGTTCTACACAGGGTTGCGTCTCCAGAGCACACTTGTGCGGCCACCAAAAGCAGTGATCCGATGGCCATATATTTCACCAGCGGTACGACAGGAGCTCCAAAAATGACCGAGCATTCCCATGCGAGCCACGGAATTGGACTCGGCTTCAATGGAAGGTAGGGAAGAGCTTGTGAATTGCTGGTGTTTTTGCCCTCAATGCAGGGGTGAAAATCCAGCAGGTTCTGACAGGTTCTGGAGAACCCGTAGCGGAAATTTTGAGTAGTTCGGAGAATATTATTTAAATTTGGTTTAAATTGTTTGACCGTGTTGTATTTCTGAATTTTTATTTTGTGCCTGTTCACCGCCCTGAAACCTTCGGGAGTAGGGCGGTATACAAATTTTAATAAAACCTAAAGATCTACTCAACAACAACATAACAACAATACTAAATAATAATATAAATAAAATAAATAATCATAATAATAATAATAATAATAATAATAATAATATAATAATAATAGAACCAATGATTAAGGAAGTAAATAAAGGAGGCTTTTAAAGACAACCTAAAACAATAGCAGAATATAAGAAAGGAAAGTAATTGAGCAGCGAGCGAAATTGGAAACACAAAGCTCTGCATGGCCAATACTGAAAAGTATTGAAGGCAAAGCTGACCTAGAAACTAACTTGGAACCTGGTTAAGATCAGGAGTACTGAAAAAAGAAAACAGAAAGCTTTATTTTGGCAGCTCAAGAACAAGCCCTAGCCCAAACTGTATGAAGGCAAAAATTCACATGTTACCACCAACAGCAAATGCCGCCTCTGCAATGAAAAGAAGAGACAGTTTGACATCCTGATCAGTGGGTGCAGCAAAATTTCACAAACTGACTACTACACGCCATGACCGCGTTGCTAAGATCATTCACTGGAAATTGTGCCAGAAGTTTGGATTTGAGTACAGCAAAAACCACTGATCATTCACTGGAAATTGTGCCAGAAGTTTGGATTTGAGTACAGCAAAAACCACTGGGAACATCAGGTTGAGAAAGTTTTAGAGAATGAGAAACTCAAGATCTTGTGGGACTTCAGGATTCAGACTGACAGGCACTTGGTCCACAACACACCTGACATAACAATAGTTGAAAAGAAAAAAAGTATGGTTCATTGACATTGCAATACCTGGTGATGCACGGATTGAAGATAAGCAGCAAGAAAAAATCACAAAGTACCGGGACTTGCAAATTGAAGTTGAGCGACTGTGGAAAAAGAAATCGTGTGTTGTCCCGATTGTAATTGGAGCCCTTGGAGCAATACCCAAAGGGCTACCCCGCTATTTAGAAATTCTAAATTTGCCGGACTTGAACATTTTGACTCTACAAAAAACCACCTTACTCAGAACAGCTTACATCCTCCAACGATACCTTAACAGTTCCTAGGTCCTTGGTTAGGACTCGAGCTGCTGAGCTATTAACCAGCCTCAAAGGCTGTGAATCTCACTAAAGATTAAATAATAATAATAATAATAATAATAATAATAATAATAATAATAATAGTACCTTTAGAGCCTTACACATCTCAACAAATAGTAGTAAATGCTCTCCCCTCCATTAATGATACTGTGGGGTCCTTGGTGCTCTTGAAGCTTAGTGGGTTTCTCGAGACCTTTCATTACCAAACTAGGTAACATCATCAGTGCTAAGCATGCACTGAAGATGTTACTTAGCTTAGTAATGAAACTTCTGCAAAAAAAACCCCCACCAAGCTGAGAGAGCACCAAAAACTCCACAGTTCCCCCCTCCTCCTCCTCTACCTTTTTCCTTCTCCTCCAGTCTGCAAACCCCACTCCCTTCCAGCACTGATAATGTTGCCTAGTTGGGTCATGAGACAACTACAAGAAAACCATCAGGTTCAGAGAGCCCCCAAGGATCCCACTATTCAGCCCTGAGCTACAAATCTTCTCTTCTATCGATGGGTGATATTTTAATACACTTTCCTGTCATTTAGGTATTGGCTTGATTTGACACCCTCCGACCTGATCTGGAATACTTCAGACACCGGCTGGGCGAAATCTGCATGGAGTAGTGTTTTCGCCCCTTGGACCCAAGGAGCAGGCATATTTGTCCATCACATGCCACGCTTTGATCCCAAACTCGTCCTTGAAGTAAGTGTCAGGTATATTCATGGTTTAAATCATGGCAACTGGCTCAAAGATTATTATTATTTATTTATTTATTTATTAGTTCGATTTATATGCCGCCCTTCTCCGGAGACTCAGGGCGGCTTACAATGCATTAAGCAATAGCCTTCATTCTTTTGTATACTATTATTATTATTATTATTATTATTATTATTATTATTATTATTATTATATTGGTTAATCTTTAGTGAGATTCACAGCCTTTGAGGCTGGTTAATAGCTCAGCAGCTCGAGTCCTAACCAAGGGCCTAGGAACTGTTAAGGTATCGTCGGAGGATGTAAGCTGTTCCGAGTAAGGTGGTTTTTTGTAGAGTCAAAATGTCCAAGTCCGGCAAATTTAGAATTTCTAAATAGCGGGGTAGCCCTTTGGGTATTGCTCCAAGGGCTCCAATTACAATCGGGACAACACACGATTTCTTTTTCCACAGTCGCTCAACTTCAATTTGTAAGTCCCGGTACTTTGTGATTTTTTCTTGCTGCTTATCTTCAATCCGTGCATCACCAGGTATTGCAATGTCAATGAACCATCCTTTTTTCTTTTCAACTATTGTTATGTCAGGTGTGTTGTGGACCAAGTGCCTGTCAGTCTGAATCCTAAAGTCCCACAAGATCTTGAGTTATTATTATTATTATTATTATTATTATTATTATTATTATTATTATTATTATTTAATTTCTTTCTTTATTTTTTTTTGTTACTGTAGCAAATGCCAGACAAATTCTCTTGGCCAAAGGCATACATATGAACGTGCTGGAGATCATGCGGAAACGGTCAGATTCTCCCGAAATTGCAGAAAGCGCTTGCCGATTGCTGAACCATGCTTTCGAAGGAAGGTAACGAAACTCTAAACTCTGAATAACTCAATCCCAAATCAACAATCTCCTGGGTTGATTCTTCCCCGGCTTTGTGTTTCTTCAGGGATTGTTCTGTGTGCCTTGAGTTTGGCACCCTTGTTCTAGATGCCGAGGTCCCAGAAAGTTGTGCAGAGAAGCACAACAAAGATGCTAAGAGGGATGGAGGCTAAATCGTAGGACGAACGGTTGAGGGGAGCTAGGTATGTCTAGTCCAGTGATGGCTAACCTTTTTGCCATCGCGTGCCAGGAGAGGGGGGGGCGGGGGAGGGTTGCGCGCGCACGTGCCCACGCGCATGTGTGCGCAACCCCCTCCCCCTCCCCCCCCCTCCTGGCACATGATGGCCTGGTAGGCCCGTTTTTCTTTCTTACCTGGTTCCAGATCCTCTCTGTGTATCTGGGAACGGTGGAAAACAGCCTTTCCCACTCCCTTGGAGGCCCTACGGAGGCTGAAAAAGCCCATTTCCCAACTCCCGGTGGGACAGGAAGTGACATTTTTTGCTGTCCTCAGCCTCCAGAACCTCTCTAGGAGCCTCTCTAGGAGTCTCTAGGAGCCTCTCTAGGAGTCTAGGGGCAGGAAACAGCCTGTTTCCCTACTTCTGGTGGGCCCAGAAGGCCCGAAAATCAGCTGGCCAGCGCGCGCATGCGCCCCAGAGCTGAGCTGGCGTGCCCACTAATATGGCTCCGCGTGCCACCTGTGGCACGCGTGCCATAGGTTCGCCATCACGGGTCTAGTCTAACAAAGAGGAGAATTTGGAGTGATACGATAACTGTCTTCCAATACCTAAAGAGCTGTCACAGAGAAGAGAGGGACAAGAAGTAACGAATGGAAGCTTGTCAAAGAGAGATCCAGCCTAAGAAATAAGGGGAAATTTTCTGACAGTCAGAACAATTAATCAACACCGGGGCCCAATCAATCAGTGTGCCTCCAGATGCTATGGGTACTCCATCGCTAGAGGTTTTCAAAAACAGAGTGGACAACCGTTTGACCAGGTTGGAATAAGGTCTCCTGCCCTGAGAAGTGGGGGTTAGAGTAGAAGATCTCTGTTAGGAAATGGTTTTACCTAAAGTTGGGTTGGCAATATATAAACCATCAATACAGCTTTAAGACTGCTGTATTGCATCAAACTGTGTCCTGATTGGTTAGTTCTGTAGCCAATGTCCTGAAAAGGGAGCTAGAAACACGGTTTGTTTATCTTTGATGCTCTTTGCTGTGTTTGCTACTGTTGGCAACTGTTTATCGTGTATGACTACAACGACTGGTAAGAAGACTTTGTTATTGGATTATCCCTGGACTATTGTTTGATATCTACTGCTTTATATGTGAACGACCTGGACTGTTTCTTGGACTGTGCCTTATTACTATTTCTTGAAAGTAAACACAACTCAGTGTATCTGTGCGTTGGCTGTGTTATTTCCTAAATACTCTCAATCGCTTTTCATGTGCATACCCTTGCTACTCAAAGGTTGTTCTGCAAATTCCTCAACAAGGTCTCTTCCGGCCTATGATTCTACCGGGTTTCCCCAAAAGTAAAACCGGGTCTTATATTAATTTTTGCTCCAAAAGAAGCATTAGGGCTTATTTTCTGGTTAGGTCTTATATTTGGGGGAAAATACGGTACTAAATGCATCCATCTGGCTGACAATCTTAACTGGGGTTTATTTTGGAGATAGGGCTTATATTACGAGCATCCTGAAAAACCATGCTAGGACTTATTTTCCGGTTGGGTCTTATTTTCGGGAAAAGAGGGTTATAAACAAATAGGTTACCAAGTAGTTGATATTTTAGCCTTTCCATCGTTTATTTTCCAGGTTCTTACAGTTGGATATCATGATTGCTGCTGCATCTGGATGTATAAAGACTATGAGGAAGCACAAAAGTTTGCCGTCGGTGCAGTTAGAAGCACTTAAAGTCATTTTACGTTGCCTGGTTCCAGGTAAGACGCCTTACAGAACATACCTGTAGTAGCGTAAACTAATCCAAACTAGGTACCACGAATAAAGAGCCTTGTTTATGTAGCATCTTAAAATAAATGTATTTATTCCTTCTTTCTGTTTTAGTCCGTACTTTTACCCTAATTCTTCTGCTTCCTGAATCACTGGATAGTTTTCTTTTTTAAAACTTTACGATTGAAATGTAGTGCTTCAATTTTGTTTTGTGTGTTTTTTTTTTTCTATACTTATTTCATAAAACTATTTATAAGCACAAAATCCTTTGAGATGCCTCCAACACAAAACCTTGGTTAGAAATCTGTTTTAAGAGCATTAAATAATTAAGAATTCGCTCCAAAGAGTTCATTGTGTTCATATTCAGTGGTGGGTTTTAAATAATTTCACCACCGGTTCGTCAACAATGTGAGTGTGTGCGACTTCCGGGCATGTGTGCGTGCACGGCTTCTGCACATGCGTGTGTGCACGGCTTCCACGCATGCACGTGTGCACGTTTCTGCCATGCAGCGAGGCTCAACTGAGCAGCCTTTTGGGCCTGCTCCCCTCCATCTCTGCTGTCCGGGGCAGGGGCTGCTTCTCTCCGCACTGCTGGGAGAGCGTCTTGTGCAATTTAGCGGCTGTGAGCCGCCCTTTCCTCTAAGTCCCATCCGGACAGCGCTGTGGCACAGAGAAGCAGCAGCTATGTTGAAAGAACCTTCCGGTCCATTCCCAAACCGCTTCGGCCCTCCTGCACCCATGCTGCCACCCCCCACGGCCCTTCGGCCCAGCGTGTCGTAGTTTGAGGCCAGAGGGGGACGGCGCATGTGGGCGGAGGCCTGGGGCAAGGCCGGAGCAGGGGAATGGCACGTCCCCGGGCCCTTACCTTTGGTGAGCAGAGGGGTGAGACGCTGAGGCAAAACACAGAGATTAGCTGGGCCATGTGGCAAAGGCAAGATATAGAGGGCGGGTGGGGCGAGGTGGGTGGGCCAGCCAGTGGTGCGATTTGCGGGTTCTCAGAACTGCACAGAATCATTACTACCGGTTCGGTAGAACCGGTCCGAACCGGCTGCATACCACCTCTGTTCATATTGCATAAGATTTTGAACTATGAAACGCTGAGTCTTTTTCTTTGTGTGAGAGTGTGGGTATGCGCGTATCTTTTATGCATTTCAGTTACAGTAAACCGCTTTTACCAATTGTTTCCCTGTGTTGCAGGAGTGCTACAAAATCAGCACCACGATAGTTCAGAAGACACTAACCAGGAAGCCATGTTAACACTTATGAAAAGTCAGTTTTTGTTAGAAGGAGGTCATTCGCTTGTCATTGGTGCTCTGAACACGGTACGTTAATTTTTGTTACTGTTGAATATGCAAGTAGGAGTGAGTCTTACATCAGCCTTTGCTCGTTGGTTCATTTTCCCGCTAGCGGGAAAATGAAAAACATCAGTGGCTGACAGGCTGGACAGCTCCTTGTAAAAGGAGCTGCAGCATTGGGCAGTTCTCAGTTCGTAGTTAGTTTGTTGTTGTTCCCTGTTGCCTGCAATAAACGGTTGTTTTACTTCACTACGATCGCCCTGCCTCTCTTTTCATATCCAGACCTAACAGTTAAGTCTGCCTTATTGTAATCACCATGTATTTAATAGGTAACTCTTTTCAATACTACAAGCTGGTTATAACAGCTAAATAAGATCTGAGTTGCATTGTCTTCATTGAAGTAATCAGTCTATGAAATCATCTCCTTTTTAGGTGGAAAGCTGGCAGCCCAGGTTCGAGACCCGAGCTCTGTGCGGGGTCTCGAACCTCCTGTTCCTTGGCTCAGCTCCTGCCCACCTAACAAGTTTGAAAGGATGCAAATTTATCTTCTTTTAACGACCCCATAATCCCCTTGCGATCTGGGCAACTGAATGGAGCTGAGTGTTTACTGGCCGATGCCTTTCCTGTTGCCAGTACAGAGTTTTGTTCACTTATAAGTGTGGAAAAACAGTCACGGGTTACTTTTTTCAGTGCCGTTGCAACTTTGAACGGTCACTAAATGAATTGTCGTAAGTCAAGGATTGCCTGCATTTGCATCAAGGCTCGATAAATTGGAAGATTTATTAAATAAATATAACCATCTGATTTTGGGTTTTTTTTTTTTTTTTTCTTCTAGTTTATTGGAAATCCAGGCATTCAGAGGTGTGGACTTCAAATACTTTCCACTATAAAAGAACGTCCAACTTTATTACAAATGTTATCCAATCTCGGAATGGCAGATACTCTGCTCCACACACTACAGATGTATCCAGATGATCAAGGCAAGCAGTGTAAACCATTTATTTTGAATCTGAGAATGTCCGGTCATCAAATCAAAAGGTTTTGTCAACCTGGAGAAATGTGCAGATGTATGAGCCAATCCCAACATTTTCTGTCATTGCTTTGAGACGCCTAGGATGGGTAGCTGTATTTTAGAGGTTGATCTAGAAAGTTTGCATGCAATGTTTAGTCACCTGTATTTTCAGATTTGTATGCATGACCCGTTGTTCGTTACTCCCAGCCAAATTAGAACATAGAATAATAGGGTTAAATCAATGATTCCTTTATTAGGAGCGCCAGCAGCCCCGGCAAAAGGTTTCTCTCTCAACGCAGGCTAACAAGTCTGTCCGGCAGGGAGACGAATAGTTGTCTGCCACATCTATTTGTTGTGGTCCGCCAGCAGCCTGTGGAGCTGGCAGCGGAGTCGGACAGTGAGGAGGCTGAGGAAGAACATGGGCCAGTCCTGGAGGCTGGGGAAGGCCCAGATGAGGGCTCTGCGCCGGAGGCAGAGATGGGGCCAGGGCCATCGGGGAGTGATGTGTGGACTTCGGAGCCTCCAGAAGCTGACAGTAGAGAGGCAGAGGAACAGGAGGAGCCTGTTCCTAGTGCACGTATGAGAAGAGCTGCCAGAAGGCAGGAGCAGATAAAGCAGAGAGGACGACTCGGGAGTAAGGCCAAGAGATGATTGGCCCCTCCCATAAGGCTTAAAAGAGGCTCTTGGCCTCTTTGCCGGAAAACAACCCGTTGAGAGAATTGCTTCTTGTTTGGCTCTAGTTATTTCTTCTGTTCCTGAACTGTTGCCAAGAGAAGCCTTTGGCAGTTTGCCTAATTATCCCAAGGTCAGAGATAAACTAAATACTGGTGTTTTGAGGACTTTGCTTTCATTTAATTTAGAATATGCTGAGAATGAGTTAATTCTCAGCTGCTTTAATAAAATCTATTTGTTTTTTTGGGACTGTTTTGCATTTAATATAAACTACATGGGCCTGGATCACAACACTATTCATCTCCGCTCCCTGCCCTTTATCCTCAGAGTAGGATGGGGCTTCGCTAGCAGTGGTGACTTTTCTGTCCCAAGGACCGGCCCATAGACTTCCACTGCTCTCCTCTCCTCTGCCTTCTGCGCATCCACAGGCACTGGACCCAGCTGTTCCACTTTTAACCATTGTTTATTAGCTTCATTAATAATGTTTGGGGGGGACACAGTGGCTCAGTGGCTAAGACGCTGAGCTTGTCGGTCAAAAGGTCGGCAGTTCAGCGGTTCGAATCCCAAGTGCCGCGAAACAGGGTGAGCTCCCGTGATTTGTCCCAGCTTCTGCCAACCTAGCAGTTCGAAAGCACGTAAAAAATGCAAGTAGAAAAATAGGGACCACCTTTGGTGGGAAGGAAACAGCGTTCCGTGCACCTTTGGCGTCGAGTCATGCCGGCCACAGGACCACAGAGCCGTCCTCGGACAGCACTGGCTCTTCGACTTAGAAACGGAGATGAGCACTGCCCCCTAGAGTCTGGAACAACTAGCACATATGTGCGAGGGGAACCTTTACCTTTACCTTAACCATGTTTGGTGCGACTTGCCCTGGGCTGGTTGCATCTTCTTTTAAGGTTGTATTGAGACAACGGCGCATTCCATGATCTGTCTTTATCTTTTCTAATGATTTAGATGTTGTCCAAGTTTCCCATCACTACTTTCTGTTCTGCGCCAACTATTTATCGGATGCTCGTCCAACACGATTTAAGCAGGTAAAGTGGTAACTACAATATGTAAAGTTAAGGCATTTCGAGATTGGCTCCTTTAAACCGTGATTAGATGATTGGGAACGGGCCCCAGGAAGCCTCAGCTGGATTCAAACATCACGTTATGCTGTATTATGCTGGGTTGAAGGCAACGCGCGATCCCAGCTCTGCAGTTTATAAACCGTGGCTTATGGTTTAAAATCCTTCAAATCAGGTGACTAAGACATGTTGACCAAGTGCTGACTTAGGACAAGATGTGATTCAACTAAACGGGCTTTTAGCAAGAACTCAAATACACACCCAAGATGCTCAAGCAGATCTTAGTTAGAATCAAGATCATGGGAAGTGTTAATACCACTTTATAAGGCCTTGGTAAGGCCACACTTGGAATATTGCATTCAGTTTTGGTCGCGGCGATGTAAAAAAGATGTGGAGACTCTAGAAAGAATGCAAAGAAGAGCAACCAAGAGGATTAGGGGACTGGAAGCTAAAACATACGAAGAACGGTTGCAGGATTGGGCATGTCTACTTTGATGAATAGAAGGACCAGGGGAGACATGATAGCAGTCTTCCAATATCTCAGGGGCTGCCCCAAAGAAGAGGGAGTCAAGCTATTCTCCAAAGCACCTGAAGGCAGAACAAGAAGCAATGGGTGGAAGCTAATCAAGGAGAGAAGCAACTTAGAACTAAGGAGAAATTTCTTGACAGTGAGAACAATTAACCAGTGGAACAACTTGCCTCCAGAAGTTGTGAATGCTCCAACACTGGAGGTTTTTAAGAGATTGGACAGCCATTTGTCTGAAGTGGTGTAGGGTTTCCTGCCTAGGCAGGGGGTTGGACTAGAAGACCTCCAAGGTCCCTTCCAACTCTGTCTATTCTATTCTATTCTATTCTATTCTATTCTATTCTATTCTATTCTATTCTATTCTATTCTATTCTATTCTATTCTGCACAGAAAAATCTGTTAAAAGTCTTCTCTGGGGTCCTTGGTACTCTCTGAGCTTGGTTGTTTTCTTGCAGATGTTTCATTACCCAACTAGGTAACATCATCAGTGCTAGGAGGGTGCAGTGTTTCCTCTCTGTTTATATACCAGTGGCTTGATTTGTCTATATTGGTGGGGATGTTATAGTAGTTCCTTGATTAGGCTGCTGTTTACTGTTTGTTTGAGTAGGTAGTTCCTGGTTTGGGGTATTGTTTATTACTTGATTGTTGATCTATGTTAATCCTGAGATTAATCTCTGTTTATTTGGTTAAAAGGAATTAGTCTTCTCTGATGAAGGGAAACTAATAGCCAGTATGCTATAAGCAGAAACATTTTAAGCATCGAGAAAGCATCTACTAGCCAAACACTTCTTTTAAAGAAAAGATTCTGTAGGTGTCTTTTCATTTTGAACCCCAGATTTTGGGGGATTAGATTTCCTAAAATGGCAGGTCGGTGGCTCATCCTACACTCAGCATCTTCAAAACAAGGTTTATTTGTTTACCCAAGCAAACCCATTGCCTGCGTTTGCAAAATCTAGACAACCAACTCAACAAGTCAATTGTTTAATCAGCATGATGATAGCTTACCTTTTAAACACGATGTCTTTCCTTCTCTGCTATTCTTCATTTATTCCAAGTTATAAATTCCAGAACCTCAAACATTGCGTGAGTGCGGGAGAACCTATCAATCCTGAAGTGATGGGCCAGTGGAAAGCAGAAACCGGACTGGACATTTACGAAGGCTACGGGCAGACGGAAACGGTAAGCTATTTCAGCTCGATGGAGGACAGTCTACCCTTAAAAGTTTGAAGAGCTATGAATGAGCTCTTTGGGGAGAAAATAGCAATAGCGCTAGCACTTACTTATAAACCGCTTCATGGTGCTTTTAGAGCCCTCTCTAAGCAGTTTACAGAGTCAGCCTATTGACCCCAAGAATCTGGGTCCTCATTTTACCCACCTCGGAAGGATGGAAGGCTGAGTCAGCCTTGAGCCAGTCAGGATCAAACTCCTGGCAATGGGCAGAGTTAGCCTGCAATGCTGCATTCTAATCACTGGGAAAGAAGGAAGGAAGGAAGGAAGGAAGGAAGGAAGGAAGGAAGGAAGGAAGGACTTGCAATAGCACTTAGACTTATATGCTGCTTTGCAGAGCCTAGACTTATATGCCTTCACAGCCCTCTCTAAGCGGTTTACAGAGAAAGGAATATTAGGACAGGGCCCTGTCCTAGACAGTCAACACTTATTCCCCCACCCTACCTGAAATGTTTCTACACAATTTGCTTCTCAGTCTGCTTTTATTCCCCATCCCTGGAATTAGGTGCTGGTTTGTGGAACTTTCAAGGGTATGAAAATCAAGCCAGGCTCTGTGGGGAAACCAACACCCGTTTATGATACTCAGGTACTGTTATCCATTAATACTCCAGGAAAAGCGGGGTGGGAGGGAGGGAGGCCGAGAGGGAGGAACTGGTAAGGCTGAGTCCATTTTCACCTGTTTCTTTTGTCTGTATACTGGCTTCTTTCTGGGCCAAATGTACAGGTAGTCTTTCACTTAACCACCGCGATTGAGCCCGACATTTCTGTTGCTAAATGCGACATTTGTTCAGTGAGTTTTATAACCTTTCTCGCCACCGTTGTCAAGCGAATCGTTGCACTTGTTCAGTGAGTAAACCGGCGGTTAAGTGAACCTGGCTTCCCCCACTGACTTTGCTTGTCGGAAGGTTGCAAAAGGGGATCACGCAATGGTCGGCTGAAGAGGTTGTAGAAAAAATGCTTTTAAAAGTAAAAAAAAAAAAAAAAAAAGTTGGCCACGCCCACCGTCACATTACCCCGCCCCCACCAAGCCACGCCCACAGAACCGGTAGTAACAAATTTTACATTTCACCACTGGATCATGTGACCAGTAGTGGGATGCTACCAGTTTAATAACTGGTTCGCTGCGCGCGTGGGCACAATTTTACAAATACTAACCTTCTGTGTTACCGCTTGGGAGTAACACAGCTGAGGAGCGACAATCCATTCTGCCGCACCAATCAGCTGAGTAGATAAAGGTAAGTAAAGCTCAGGGGTGGGGGCGGACCGACTTGATTGTTGGAGAAAATCGGTTCGTTCGAACCGGTTGAATCCCACCTCTGCACATGGACCCTTGGATGCTGCAACCGTCTTAAATATGAGTCAGTTACCAAGCATCTGAATTTGGATTGCGTAACCGCGGGGATGCTACAACAGCCATAGGTGTGAAAAACGGTCCTTTAGAACAGAATAGAATAACAAAATTGGAAGGGACCTTGGAGGTCTTCTAGTCCAACCCTCTGCCTAGGCAGGAAACCCTAAAAATCCTAAATCACGTTTTTTCCCCCAGTGCCGTTTGTAACGTCGAAGGGTCGCGAAATGAACTGTTGTAAGTCGAGGTCTACCTGGACCTGTTTTAATAAAATTCGTTTTGCTATGTGTGCTGAAGGTCATAGATGAAAACGGCAACATTTTACCTCACGGAAAAGAAGGAGACCTCGCTCTCCGAATCAAACCCGCAAGACCGTTCTGCCTCTTCACTCAATATACAGTAAGTATTTATTGTCCGTGGGCAAATCAGAAAAAGTCACTTGAGTGTAACATGTGGGAGTGGAAATATTAGACCGTGGAGGGATGCTCACTGTAGTAGAAGATATGTTCCACCATGGCTAGCATAAATACAAGCAGAATCTTTGGAATAGAAATTTTCACCAGCCGGTATGCATTCAGGGGTGAAATCCAGCAGGTTCTGGAGAACCGGCTGTGGAAATTTTGAGTGGTTTAGAGAACCGGCAAATACCACCTCTGGCCAGCCCCAAAGTGGGGAGGGAATGGAGATTTTGCAGTATCCTTCCCCCTGGAGTGGGGAGGGAATGGGGATTTTGCAATATCCTTCCCTCAGGAGTGGGGAGGGAATGGGGATTTTGCAGTATCCTTCCCCTAGGAGTGGGGAGTGAATGGAGATTTTGCAGTATCCTTCCCCCAGGAGTAGGGTGGGAATGGAGATTTTGCAGCATCCTTCCCCCAGTAATGGGGAGGGAATGAGGATTTTGCAGTATCCTTCCCCTGAAGTGGGGAGGGAATGGGGATTTTGCAGTATCCTTCCCCTGAAGGGGGGAGGAAATGGAGATTTTGCAGTATCCTTCCCCCAGGAGTGGGGAGGGAATGGGGATTTTGCAGTATCCTTCCCCTGCCACGCCCACCAAGCCACATCCACCAAGCACACTATGCCCACCAAGCCACGCCCACAGAACCAGTAGTAAAAAAAGTTTGAATTCCACCACTGGTATGCATTATATATCAATGCCTCCTGTGGCATCTAAATAAAAGTCTTGATGCAAGACAGCTTTTAATTGCAGCATTTTGAATTCCGTGGTTGGGGAATGAGCTGAGCCCTGCCTAACTATTCAGAATCTCCCTTCTTGCAGTTTGGATGTTTGCCAGTTCAACAAAAACAAATCGGTTGGTTCCTCAGGGTTTCTTGTGGCAGTCTAATCTCCTTTGGGGGTGTAGTGGCTCAGTTGTTGAGCTTGTCAGATGGAAAGCCGACAACCCGGGTTCGAGTCCTGAGCACAGCGCAACAGAGTGAGCTCCCGTTCCTTGCTCCAGCTCCTGCCCGCCGAGCAGTTCGAAAGCATGCAAATGCGAGTAGGTTAATAGGTACCACTTCGGTGGGAAGATAAAAGCATTCTGTGCGCCTTTGATGTATAACCATGCTGGCCGCCTGACCACGGAAATTGTCTTCAGACAACGCTGGCTCCCTCGGCCAAGAAACGGAAATGAGCACCGCCTCTTAAGAGTCCGACATAACGGGACAAGGGGAACTTTTTACCTTTTTAATCTTCTTCATAACAAAAAAAGCCCAAACAAAATAAGGAGGAATTTCCTGAGAGCTGGAACAATTCATCAGTGGAACCACTTGCCTCCAGAAGTTGTGAATGCTCCAACACTGGAAGTTTTTAAGAAGATGTTGGATAACCATTTGTCTGAAGTGGTGTTGGGTTTCCTGCCTAAGCAGGGGGTTGGACTAGAAGACCTCCAAGGTCCCTTCTATTCTATTCTATTCTATTCTATTCTATTCTATTCTATTCTATTCTATTCTATTCTATTCTATTCTATTCTATTCTATTCTATTCTATTCTATTCTGTTCTATTCTAACCTTAATGCTAGGCAGCGACCTCAGGCAATTCATAAAATATTTATCCAACTGTGAATTTTGGAACTATCTACTCTTAGATATGAGTAAATGCATCACTTATAGGTGTTTATTGAAACTCGTAAAGTGATCTCACCTCAAGCATTGAGCGATCTCTACCCTGCCCCACACTGTCTGGTGTCGGCAGAGTCGCGTCTTTCTAAATAGTTGATCACATACCCAGGATGATCAAGAAAGAACAGCTTCGACTCTCCGCGGAGACTTCTACGTCACCGGGGACCGAGGATTTCAAGATGAGGACGGTTACATCTGGCTGGTAGGGAGAAGAGATGACGTCATCAATTCTGCCGGGTAAGATCAATTCACCCTGAGCCCCAATTGCTTTTCTTGTAAATCTTCTTCATCAAAGATCAAGAAGATTCAACTCTTCCTTTTTTTTTCTCCCCCGCCCCCCCCCAAAGATACCGCATCGGACCATTTGAAGTGGAGAATGCTTTGATAGAACATGATGCGGTGGTCGAAGCAGCCGTCGTCAGCAGCCCAGACCCTATTCGAGGCGAGGTAAAGAAGGTTGAATGTAGGCAACCAAACTATGGGTAGTCCTTGATTTACGACCACGGGTGGGCATCAAAAATTTTAGCAAGGGGTTCTCTTCCCGGTTGCTGGGTGGGTGTGGCTTAGTCGACCTCCTGCACCATGGCAGGGGGGGGCATTTTTGCCCTCCCCGGGCTCCGGAGGCTTTCTTCGAGCCTCCCCAGGCTCCAAAGGCCCTTCCCGAACTTCTGGTAGGCCTGTTTTTCGCCCTCCCCAGCTTACCTGCATTCAAAACGGGCCATGTGGGGACTCCTGGGAGGGGCGGGGTGGGCGGGGCCAGCCAGGAGTGAGATTTGGGGGTTCTCTGAACTGCACAGAATCTTAGCTAGAGGTTCTCCTGAACTCCTGCGAACCCCCAGCAGCCCACCCCTGCTTACGACCACAATGGAGCCCACAATTCACGTTGCTAAGAGAGGCATTTGTTCATTGAATTTTGTCCCGTTTTACGACCTTTCTTGCCACAGGTGTTCAGTGCAATCGCTCCAATTGTTAGTTTAGCAACAGGGTTGTTAAATGAACCTGACTTTGCTTGTCAGGTCACAAAAGGCGATCGGTCAAAAATTTAACTTGAATGGTCTTATCAAAGCAAAGAAATTTAAGCCTTTTTCAGAATTTTCTTAATCTCTGCGGAAATTCTAGATTGAAAGTAGTAATTGGCATGTTGTAGGCTTCGGCATTTTCTTTTTAAGATTTCCAAAGGTTTTTAAAAAAATCTATTAAAAAAGAAACAATTTCCAGATCATTATTATTTTTTTAAAAGTTCATTTTAATGTTGGAAATTATAAGCAACTGTGCCCAAAACACTTAATTTGGAATCTTTCAGCTACGGCGGTACGAATTCTGCATTTTTTTAATCTGCCCAGTTTTTTTTTCTCCAAAATGTCATCCTCTTGATCAAATTTTTTACGTTCAAGGTGGTGAAAGCCTTCGTAGTTTTGGCCCCGGAGTACATTTCCCATGACCAAGAAGCCTTGATTAAAGAACTACAGGACTACGTCAAGACAGTCACTGCCCCATACAAGTATCCGAGAAAGGTAAGCCGTGATTTAGAATTCATCCCTTTTATCTAGCTACTGTATCTTGGCTTCTTGCCTGGAATTTCTTCAAATTGTTTTTGAACGGTTGTAACTATAAGGATCCGGTCAGTGGTGGGATTCAAATAATTTAACAACCGGTTCTCTGCCCTAATGATCAGCTGGGTAGGCGTGCCTTGGTGGTCATGTGACCGTGGGCATGGCCAATTCAATGTCACTCACGTCGATGGGCGCTTCACCTTACTGTTACAATGTAATAAGGGTTAACTAGAGAGGCAGTTTCTGTAAGCAGGGCAATAAAGATTAGGCGAGAAACACCACCAGAATGTTTCAGTTCCTTACAGGATTAGCCCTGTAAAGTGGAAAAAAACAAAATAAGATTTCTTCCAACAACCGGTTCTCCAAACTGCTTAGAAAGTTAACAACCGGTTCTCCCAAATAGCTGCGAACAGGCTGTATCCTACCACTGGATCCGGGTCATAAGACATTTTGTTCAGTGGCATTGAACCATCACTAAAACAATAGTTGTAAGTCAAGGACTACCTATATACTACTTACTTTCCTCTGGTATCAATTACAAAAGATATTCTAGGATCTTTAGGGAACATTTCCATCTCTCTGAAATCTCTAGAACAGGCATACAAGAAACCTTAGAAAGTCTCAGAGCATTTGGCACAACTCCGAAACCCGCACTATGTTGTTGTTGTTGAAGCTTCTTTGGTAGGTAACAAAGGCTCAGTTTCAAGTCCTGCTAAATGAAAATTAAGGCAGATTGACAGGAGTCTGATTTGATATTTGAACCGAGATCTCCACTCTTTTGTCCTGTTTATGAAATGTCAAATGCAATAAATAAATAAAAATGAAAGCTTCTGAATAGCCTGAAAACAGGCTGTTGGGACCTAGAACATGGCCTAATGCAAACCAGGTTTTCAAGCTGTTTCTTAGCTTTGATTCGTATAAATCAGGGGTCTCCAAAGTTGGCAACTTTAAGACTGGTGGACTTCAACTCCCAGAATTCCCCAGCCACCCATTTATACCAGGAGGTCTCCAAAGTTAGCAACTTTAAGACTTGTGGACTTCAACTCCCAGAATTCCCCAGCCACCATTTATACCAGGGGGGTCTCCAAAGTTGGCAACTTTAAGACTGGTGGACTTCAACTCCCAGAATTCCTCAGCCACCATTTATACCAGGAGGTCTCCAAAGTTAGCAACTTTAAGACTTGTGGACTTCAACTCCCAGAATTCCCCAGCCACCATTTATACCAGGGGGTCTCCAAATTTGGCAACTTTAAGACTTGTGGACTTCAACTCCCAGAATTCCCCAGCCACCATTTATACCAGGGGGGTCTCCAAAGTTGGCAACTTTAAGACTGGTGGACTTCAACTCCCAGAATTCCTCAGCCACCATTTATACCAGGGGGGTCTCCAAAGTTGGCAACTTTAAGACTGGTGGACTTCAACTCCCAGAATTCCCCAGCCACCATTTATACCAGGGGGGTCTCCAAAGTTGGCAACTTTAAGACTTGTGGACTTCAACTCCCAGAATTCCCCAGCCACCATTTATACCAGGGGGTCTCCAAAGTTAGCAACTTTAAGACTTGTGGACTTCAACTCCCAGAATTCCCCAGCCACCATTTATACCAGGGGGTCTCCAAAGTTAGCAACTTTAAGACTGGTGGACTTCAACTCCCAGAATTCCTCAGCCACCATTTATACCAGGAGGTCTCCAAAGTTAGCAACTTTAAGACTGGTGGACTTCAACTCCCAGAATTCCCCAGCCACCATTTATACCAGGGGGGTCTCCAAAGTTGGCAACTTTAAGACTTGTGGACTTCAACTCCCAGAATTCCCCAGCCACCATTTATACCAGGGGGGTCTCCAAAGTTGGCAACTTTAAGACTGGTGGACTTCAACTCCCAGAATTCCCCAGCCACCATTTATACCAGGAGGTCTCCAAAGTGGCAACTTTAAGACTGGTGGACTTCAACTCCCAGAATTCCCCAGCCAGTATTGTGGGAGTTGAAGTACACAAATCTTAAAAGTCGCCAAGTTTGAAGACTCCTGGTATAAATTAAGGTTTTGAATACTGAGTGGTGCACCAATTAGGCACATGGTGATTATTTTAACAGATGCAAGCTGAACGCCAGTTATTCCCCCGGGAGAAAAGCTGCATCACACGTATTTGTTTTCGTCTCACACTTTTGCAACTTCTGAATTCATTCCAGCTGCGTATGTACCCAACATGTTCCTTCCTCTTTTGCCATGCCCCTCATTTCTGCTCTTGCCCAACAGATGGAGTTCGTTCCACATTTGCCAAAGACAATCAGTGGAAAAATCAGAAGAAATGAATTACGCAAGAAAGAATGGGGACGAGCGTAGAATTCCTCGCCTTTTTTTTTGTTTTGTTTTTTTGTTTACTTTCTGAGCGAGCAACTGTTCCGGGAATAAAAGCCTGTGGCATTAACTCTCCAAATTTAGAAATTTATAGAGTCCTGAAAAATGCCCAGATGTGGCCTCTTCCATTGGCTCTTTTCTCAAAGTAGCTCTCTGCTGCTTACTTATCACCGCTTTAACTTTATACGAAACTGGCCAGGTTAAGCAAAGATGCAACTTTGTCGATTTTTCAGTGAGAAAGAACACAGAGTGCCCTGGAGAAAGACCCCCAAAAAAACCCCGTATCTGTCCCAGCCCAGATGTTAATGGCATCATAAACCTACAGGGAGCTGCATGACCAAGCCAGATATGTAAACAATACATAAATCAGAACATTCTTTCCAATGCCCAAAGGACAAAACTTGATACGAGAACACAGGGACATTTTGACTAGCTCAATTAAGTAATGATTGTGTGGGGTTTCCAAAGCTAGAAAAAGTGTAATTTGTTACAGTAGAACAGTGTTTCTCAACCGTGGACTTCCAGCTCCCAGAATTCAGAATCTCTGTTGTGACCTAGGCTCACTTAATCATTACAAGACACAATTTAGTCTTAAACAAACCTATTTTTTTTATAACAGCTGGGAATGACTTCATTCCCAGCTTAGTCCAAGTTAATTCCAAAACAAGTCCTTCAGAAAACGTCCTTCGGGCTTATCAACAGACCTTTATCTTCTTTGGCACTCTGCCAAAGGCCTTTCTTGGCAAAGTGTGCCTTTAAAAAGAACAGGTAAAACCTGACCCTCAAAACTTCTTCAAACTTCTTTCCTGAACGATTCCCAGAATCGTGGAAATAAAGGTTAAAGATTGTTTGTTTTTTAAAAATTGTTTAGGGAAAAGCTAGGCAATATTGTCCCATGTTTGAATGAGGTGAGCAAATGGAACCTCATAGGTTTCAGGGCAGTTGGGCTGTGCCCTTCATCACTTATTTATAGAATAAATCCACTCATGAGCTAGAATCATATCTGAGGATCTCCATGATCAAACAGAGCGCCTTTGAAGTTCAAAGGTTGCACATGGACAGATCCTTTTCACAGTTGTTGTGGTCCGCCAGCAGCCTGCGGAGCTGGCAGGGTGGATAAAAATCAATGATTTTTTTTAAAAAATCAAAAAAATCAGATTTTTTTGATTTAAATCGGATTTTTTTGATTTTTATCGAATTTATTTTAATAAAAAACTTTTGGGGTAAGAATCTATTTAAGATACATAAATAATTTAGTTTATTCAGCATGAAATGGAGCTTAGTTATGTAACATGAGGCTGTATATTCTGCAACACTGGGACTATCGGTGAGTCAAAGGAGTAGCAGAGATGACAGTTGCCCTTTAAAAATTATGATTTAAATCGAGTTGATTTAAATCAAGCCTTTTTACTAGTGATTTAAATCATGATTTAAATTGTGATTTAAATCAACTCGATTTAAATCAAATCCACCCTGGGAGCTGGCAGTAGAGTCGGACAGTGAGGAGGCTGGGGAAGAACGTGGGCCAGTCCTGGAGTCTGGGGAAGGCTCGGACGAGGGCTCTGCGTCGGAGGCAGAGATGGGGCCATCTGGGAGGTACGTACGGACTCCGGAGCCTCCAGAGTCGGACTTCAGCAAGGCAGAGGAACAGGGAGAGCCTGTTCCTAGTGCACGCATGCACAGAGCTGCCAGAAGGCAAGAGCAGCTAAAGCAAAAGGGACGACTCAGGAGTAAGGCCAGAAGATGATTGGCGGCTCCTCCTATAAGGCTTAAAAGAGCAGCAACGAGGGTTTTGTAGAAAAGCTACGTTGATTCCAGTGCTTCTTGTCAGCGTCTCTTGAACTTTGTGGGGTTTTTGCCAAGAAAAGCCTTTGGCAGGTTGCCAAAGACATCAAAGGTTGGTGATAAGGCCGAAGAATTTGTTTTGGACTAAACAACTGTTTTAATAAAATAAGTTTGTTCAGGACTGAATTGTGTTTGGTAATCACTACTTGGGCCTCGGTCATAAAAACAGTTACCTGGCACGCTGTAAAAGTCAAGTCCTCAATAGAAGAAGAAGAAGAAGAAGAAGAAGAAAAGCAAGGATTTAATTTTAACTGCATGCATTTCAGCTAATTTGCCTAATTCCAAATTAAAATAATTCCATCAATCCCTCCTTTATCTTTGGGATACTGAAAGCATAATCGCCATTGTGAATGTTACAGCCCAGGCAATGTCCCCACACCGTAATCCATGCCAGCGTCTTCTGAATTCCAGAAAGATTTACAGGACGTTCAGTTCACCAAATTTCTACGATCTACTCACTGTGCAATGCTTCCGATACAATTTGGGGAAAGTGCCTCACGATACCCCAGAACGTGAAATGCAAGCAAACCTGTCTGTGACTCATTAAAGCAGCTGCATCGTTTTCTGTGAATTGTATTCCTGCCGTGCTAGGGAAATTTGGGACCAGTTAAAAAAAAAACACACTGAGCACAACCCCAAAGAAAGCAGTTTTTCCTTTGTGGGAGGTGCCGTATTAAAACGGACAAACTTCACTTCGTCTTTTGCGGGAAGTGGGGAGAGGAGTTCATTTTATTTCACTTCTCAGAATCAAGAATATATGAAAGGATATTTTAAAAGGACATGATGCAAGTTTTACAAGCCAGTTCTTTAAAAAAGCAATTTCTCAGCAGTCGGGCTTACTGATTTAAAGTATAGACAATATGATTCAAAAACTAAAAATAAAAAAATTAGGAGCCTAGAAAATAGAGACGAGAAAGTACACATTTAAAAGACAAGACAGTTTGTGGTACTGCATTCAGACGAGACCAGATGCTAAATTTCACACGCAGTTTCGGTGATGCTTCTAAACACGATTACACTTTGTAGAAAAGAAAGCTAACTTTCCGAAGTCTGAAATACTCCATTTTCCCAATAAAAGGCAAGGGGAAAAAAAACCTCCTAAGTTCGCATGGAAGGCCGAAGATTCAGGCACTTCGGTTTAATATTTCCCAGGGAGGGGTAGTCCTGAGTTTTCAAAGACTTTAAGCCCCCAGCCTCTAAAGTTGAAGCCGGAAGGGCCATTTTCTCCTTTATAAGCGAATGTTCCCATCGGAAATAGTTGCAGCCCTTTGTATTCCTTTCGCATTTTCTCACTGGGCAGCTATAAAATGCTTTGCCCTGATTAGGGCCACCGTTTGAAACGTTCAACCTTCGAGCTCTTCGGCCACACCGGCATAACGGAGGGGTCACCCTCCCGGTTTCTGGTACCCTGAAAGTCGGGTTGAAATTACCCGAAGAGCTCAAGAGAGCCGGAGAGACGCCGCACGGATTCGCCCTGGGCGACGAGAAGCTGTTCGACGTTGGGCTTCCGTCCTCGTAGATTCTGTAAGGCGTTTTTTTGCTGGGAGGCAAAGATTTGGGGCTGGAAGGCTTCCTTTTGAGGGCCTCGGTCGAAGGGGCGAGAAGATTTCTGTCTGGCGGGTTGGGGGAAGATGCCTCTGCATCTGTTACAACCGGAAGCTTAAACCTTGAAGCATCGGAAGGTTTGTTGGGAGCTCGGCCCGCGTTGTAAATAGTCGTATTTGGACTCTTGTAGACCACACATTTTGAGAGCTCTCTACTCAGAGGAACATCTACCCTGTATTCATCTCCCTGATTCATCGATTTGTTCCTATCTTCCGTCACGAATGCGCTCTTAGTTGGGGAGTTATCTTTTAAGGGTGAGCATTCTGGATCTGGGTCATCTTCCTTTTGTGGTATGATTGCGACGTCCTCCCAGTCGGCCAACAAAGATAGGCAATCTGGAGTGGTGCTGATGTCGGTCTCGGAAATGTTGACGGTGGAAAGAGTCGTGGGGACCAAAACTAGACTTCGAATGGGTGTAGAAGGGTTTGAAATGAGTTGGCCCCGACTCTGAAGGCTTGAAGGTCTATAGCAGGGGTGCTGAAGATTACCCAGAAGCCAATGGGGTCTTCCTATGGATGAAGTTAGATTGTGTTTGGTGCTACAACATTCATCAGTCTTTCTGCTCTTTTTAGACGTAAGAGGTGCGTCTTCGAACAAGCCTACGCGAACCGTCTCTTGTGCTGAGTCTTCCTCTTTTCTCTCGATTTCTGGAGGAACTTCCTTTTCGCTTTCATCCAAAGGTGATGTTTTGACAAGAGGGTTGATTCCCAAAGGGCCACCATGGTTAGGTTTCTCACTCTCCCCAAATCTGGCCAGGGAATTCTTAGCTGGAGGTGCCTAAGGATTCCATAAAGAAAGGAGGTCAACCAATCTCTCGGCCAGCATAGCTTCAAACAAGATCCCCAAGTCAAATGTTCTGTCCATAAAAATCTCGCTGGGTTAACGTTGACCAGTCACGGGCGCTGAGAAGAGAACCCACTAACCTTATCCAACGATTTTGTGATTTTCATTACACACCCATCACGAATCATCTTCCATGCGAGGCGAGCTGTATTCCGAGAATCATGCAGGCCTGGGGGAAAACAGGAGGTGCTACAGCTAGTAAAGGTAAAGGTTCCCCTCGCACATATGTCCAAGTTGTTCCCGACTCTAGGGGGCGGTGCTCATCTCCGTTTCAAAGCTGAAGAGCCAGCGCTGTCCAAAGACATCTCCGTGGTCATGTGGCCGGCATGACTAAACGCCAAAGGCGCACGGAACGCTGTTACCTTCCCACCAAAGGTGGTCCCTCTTTTTCTACTTGCATTTTTTACCTGCTTTCGAACTGCTAGGTTGGCAGAAGCTAGGTCAAGTAATGGGAGCTCACCCCTATTATGCAACATTAGGGATTCGAACCGCTGAACTGCCGACCTTTCGATCGACAGGCTCAGCGTCTTAGCCACTGAGCCACCGTGTCCCTTCCTTGTCATACGTACACATAAATACTCACTCACCAGAGTGCTCCCGTCCTTCAAAAGTGATACCCACGTCTTTCAATGCGCCATTTAAACCTTGGGGCTTCCTAGAGTAAAAGCTCTGAGAAACAAAAGGATGAAAATAAAACCCTCGTTATATCTGCTGTTTTGCTCTATTAAATATAAATCGCTGACGGCAATGTGTTTTCTCAGCCTTGGCAGTAGTTAAAATAGCTGGATGTTTCTGGATTAAATTGGACGCCACCCAGAGCCCCTCTTTGAGAGAGATGAATCATTAAGAAGTGTGAAATATAAACAAATAAATAAAACGTATATTTTCTTGTCATGATTACCACCAAAGGCAAATACCCTCACCTTGTAAGTGGCCCGTAGGTCAATCCAAGAATTTAAAATATTAGGCTTCCGTAGCTGTTTTCTTTTACATTCATAGTGCAGGCAAATTCCCAGGTCCCAATCTACATAAAAACAAATGTTCATAAAGGTTTCCTGTTTCCTGATTATCACCTCCATAGTTTTTCAACTATGGAGTGAAATTTTCTTTTTGTGCAACGATAATGATTTCATGCAATAGAAAACCAAAAGCAAAAGAAGCTGTCTATTTAGCCCAGTCTACTGTGTAAAGCATGCGTGACAATTATCTAAATTTCTTAGAGCGATGGAAATCTAAAATAAAACCTGCCAGTTTCTGGGGTACAATTCTGGAATTCATAACTCCTAAACCGACAGTGCTTAGGAATGTAAATTAGTCATTCTCCTTTTGATGGAGCGCACACTTATTGTTCTAAAGTCAGATTGGGCAATGTCTACAAGGACAAAAGATTTCCGATTCCCTCAAGCAAGCTTCTAGTCCTTATGATGGTGGGAAATCCATGAAAATACACAGCAAAGAGGGTAAAAGAGCCAGGGGGAATGCAGCAGGATTTTTACGAGCACTATTTGACAGTGGAACAATTAACCAGTGGAACAACTTGCCACCAGAAGTTCTGAATGCTCCAACACTGGAAGTTTTTAAGAAGAGATTGGACAACCATTTGTCTGAAGTGGTGTAGGGTTTCCTGTCTAGGCAGGGGGTTAGACTAGAAGACCTCCACAAGGTCCCTTCCAACTCTGTGTAGAAAAATAGCCAATGACGGCTAGTCTCAAAAACCTAAGCAGAAGACGGACCTGGTTATTATTTGAATATTCCAAAGTCCCAGGTAGAGTCAAAAGTCAAAAACCATCACAAAATAACCATTTTTCCATTTTGTTATCAGGGAAACCACCGTCTTCAGCAGGCCCAGCAATGAAGAACGAGCAAACTTTATCAAAGATAAGATAAACATTATGAATTACCTGACCACGTAACAAAGGCACATAATTTTTCTTCAGGAGCAGCACCCGTCGAACCAAAAACAATGTTTTTCTCCTCCTGGATCTTGTGAATCCACTTAGAAAATTGGGATAGGCTTATATGCAGTGGAACCCCTTCATCGACTTGATCCTTAATTCAACGAAAAAAAGATCTTGCTGGTCACATTTAGAATCTAGATTTAGATTAGGTTTCATCGAGACTGATATTGATATTTCTGACCGGACCAGAAAATAAAGCTCAGGCATTGTTTAAGAAGCAAAACAAAAAACAAACCCTCTAATACACAAAATGGTGAAAACAATCAATACATATCCATTTTTATTTTGATTTCTAAGACCACCCACTGGCATTCAATATTAAAGGTAAAAGTTCCCCTCGCACATGTGCTAGTCGTTCCCGACTCTAGGGGGCGGTGCTCATCTCCGTTTCAAAGCCGAAGAGCCAGCACTGTCCGAAGACGTCTCCGTGGTCATGTGGCCGACATGACTCAATGCCAAAGGCGCACAGAATGCTGTTCCCTTCCCACCAAAGATGGTCCCTATTTTTTTACTTGCATTTTTTACCTGCTTTCGAACTGCTAGGTTGGCAGAAGCTGGGACAAGTCACGGGAGCTCACCCCATTATGTGGCACTAGGGATTTGAACCGCTGAACTGCCAACCTTTCGATCGACAAGCTCAGAGTCTTAGCTACTAAGCCACCGCGTCCCACTAATATATATTAGGGCCACTTTAATGAATAGAAATGAACAGCTGAAAATAGAAAGGAATTTAAATCAATTTTTGAAATGAATTAATAAAAATGAAAACTTTTTCAGGGGTTGCTATAGGCTTGGAGCATTCAAAGAAAAGTCATATTGTGATGATAAAAGAAATACATTCAAGGCAGCAAGCAAATTCCTTCAAGAACATTCATCAAAAGTTAATTAAGTAAAATGTTTCAAAACAAAATGAAACTAACAAACTCTGACCACAATCTCTAGAAATTATTATACCTGTTTTATTCCAGTTAGCTCAATACAAAATTCAGAGAGAGTCGGATGTTCTTGGGGCTGGACGTACGTATGAAATTCAGTCTCAATTTCTCCATTTGAGGTGTTCAAGAGAACTGCTGGAAATTCAACTATGCCGATAAATAAAAAAATAAAAAAATAAAAAAATTACAGGTAGTTTTCGACTTACGACCACAATTGAGCCCAAAATTTCTGTTTGCTAAGTGAGAGATTTGTTAAGTGAGTTTTGCTCTATTCTACAACCTTTCTTGCCACAGTTGTGAAGTGAATCACCGCCGTTCTTAAGTTAGCAATCTGGTTGTTAAGTGAATCAGGCTTCCCCATTGATTTTACTTGTCAGAAGGTCGCAAAAGGGATCATATGATATAACCCTGGGAAAACGCAACTGTCATATAAATATAAACAAGTTGCTAAGCATCTGAATTTTGATCATATGACATGGGGATGCCGTAATGGTCGTAAGTGTGAAATACAGTCATAAGTCCCTTTAAAGTGTCATTGTAACTTTGAACAGTCACTAAATGAATGGTATGTGTTAAGAACTTCCTGCATCTGCATGAACTCTGTTCAAGCCTTCTCTTTGTTTTTTCCTCCCAATTCATATGGAAGCAATTATTAAAAATGATTAAAGCTTGGCTTACTTATTTCTTGACATCTTCGGACATCCTTCCAGCAGGTAGACTCAAAATCAATAATTATTAAGTAGTCAAACAGCTGCCCTGCAATACCAAAAATAAAAATAAAAATATCGTATGATATTATCTCATTGTCATAACCCGCAAATAATAACAAACACTGAATTTATGAAATAAGGGGAATACTCACGCAGCTTGCATTGGTTGTGGCTCTGGCTACCGGGAGGCGGTTTGGAAACACTTCGAATAATGCCTAGCTGCCTGTCAAACCAAGAGATAAAATTTGTTATGCAAATTTTACAGCGTTAAAGTCCCCATTAGATTGTAATTCAAGGCAGTGGTGAAATCCAAATTTTTTTACTACCGGTTCCGTGGGGTGGCTTGATGGGCATGGCAGGGGAAGGATACTGCAAAATCTCCATTCCCTCCCCACTCCTGGGGGAAGGATATTGCAAAATCTCCATTCCCTTCCCACTCCTGGGAGAAGGATACTGCAAAATCTCCATTCCCAGCCCACTCTGGGGCCAGCCAGAGGTGGTATTTGCCGGTTCTCCAAACTACTCAAAATTTCCGCTACCGGTTCTCCAGAACCTGTCAGAACCTGCTGGATTTCACCCCTGATTCAAGGCCATTCCGGTCGATATTTTCCCACAGCAACTTTAAAGACCTGTGGACTTCAACTCCCAGAATTCCCCAGCCAGCAGAGCTACCGGGGAATTCTGGGAGTTGAAGTCCACAGTTTGAAAAATCCTGCTCTAAAGATACAAGAGTTGGCAGGGGGGGATTCTGGGAGTCCCCAGATCTTTAAAGTTGCCAAGGTTGGACACCCCTGTTGTAAAGCTATTGCATTTTAATGAATTAGGTTCCATGCTGCCTGGGGGATTCTGGGAATTGAAGTCCAAAAGTCTTAAAGTTGCCAAGAATGGACAGCCCTGGTTTAAAGGTACAAAACCTGGCTGGGGAAATTCTGGGAGTTTTGAGGTTCCCAAATCTTAAAGTTGCCAAGATTGGACACCCCTGTTGTAAAGCTATTGCATTTTAATGAGTTGGGGGTGGGGGGTGGGGTTCATGCTGCCTGGGGGATTCTGGGAATTGAAGTCCAGAAGTCTTAAAGCTGCCAAGAATGGACAGCCCTGGTTTAAAGGTACAAAACCTGGCTGGGGAAATTCCTCAGAATTTGAGGTCCCCAAATCTTAAAGTTGCCAAGTTTGGACACCCCTGTTGTAAGGCTATTGCATTTTAATGAATTAGGGTCCATGCTGCCCAGAGGATTCTGGGAATTGTAGTCCACAAGTCTTAAAGCTGCCAAGATTGGACAGCCCTGGTTTAAAGGTACAAAACCTGGCTGGGGAAATTCTGGGAGTTTTGAGGTTCCCAAATCTTAAAGTTGCCAAGGTTGGACACCCCTGATGTAAGGCTATTGCATTTTAATGAATTAGGTTCCATGCTGCCTGGGGAATTCTGGGAATTGTAGTCCACAAGTCTTAAAGCTGCCAAGAATGGACAGCCCTAGTTTAAAGATACAAAACCTGCCTGGGGAAATTCCTCAGAATTTGAGGTCCCCAAATCTTAAAGTTGCCAAGTTTGGACACCCCTGTTGTAAAGCTATTGCATTTTAATGAGTTGGTGGGCGGGGGGGGGGGTGTTTCATGCTGCCCGGGGGATTTCTGGGAATTGTAGTCCACAAGTCTTAAAGCTGCCAAGAATGGACAGCCTGGTTTAAAGGTAGAAAACCTGGCTGGGGAAATTCCTCAGAATTTGAGGTCCCCGAATCTTAAAGTTGCCAAGGTTGGACCCCTGATGTAAGGCTATTGCATTTTAATGAATTAGGTTCCATGCTGCCTGGGGGATTCTGGGAATTGTAGTCCACAAGTCTTAAAGGGGCCAAAATTGGACTCTTCTGCCCTACAGCTCTGCCCAAACTGGGGAGTGGGTGGGGTCCGTCTCTCTTGCAGCCCCCAACAGACCGAAGGGTCGACGCTACCTGGGCCCCCTTTACCTGGCCAGCTGCCTCGTCGCCATGGCAACCGCCTCCCCGGGCCCCCAGCCGGCTCGCTTTCACTCGTCGGCCCCGTCGTTTCAAAAAGCCCGCCGCCGAGCAGGCCACGCCTCCTCCTCCCCCTCCTCCTCCCATCGATGCTTTCGGCCGATCGACTAAGTAGGTCTTGCCGCCTTTGGAATCCGCTCTCTCGCTCAAGGCTCGGCTGCGATGCGAGATGGGAGGGGGAGGGAGGGAGGGGGGAAGCTCCAGCCCGGGCAGCCGATTGCCGAGCGAAGATTCTCCTCGATTGCAGAAGGGCTTCCTTCCCCAGGAGTTTACAGTGCCAGGAATACAGGTTAGACTTATTGCAACTATTTTCATTTTTTTTCCCCCCTTTACCCCCTTTTTAATTTTTTTATTTTTTATTTTAATGGGGAGAGGGTGTTTGCAAGGAAAGGCGTTCCCAGGTTTAATTGCTGGGAGGCAGTTGCTTGCAAAGCAGGAGGAGGAAGAGGGCAACTCTTCTTCCCTTAACACGGGTTTGCAGGCTCGCACGTGCTTGCAAAAACCCCTTAAGAGAATTGCATGGACCACCAAAGCATTGGGTTCGGTTTCCAGGCTAGAGCAGCCTGTTCCCCAGCTTTAAAACCTGCTGCTTTTTACACTGCTTGGATCCCTATCTCTAGAACAAATACCCCACCCCAGCCAGATTTAAAAACTTTGCTGATCATGGTTGGGGATTGTGTGAGATTTAAACACACACACACAAAAATAAAAAATAAGAAATCATGCTCGCTAATTCTGATGTGCAAACAAAGTTAGGAGTTTATTGGACTGCGTTTTGCAAAAGGCAAAGCCTCCACGTCTCTTCCCAAGTTGGATTGGAGATCCTGAAGCGCCCTTTTTCAAAGTTTTGCAACAATGCTTTTATACCTTTCCCTCCTCCCCAGTATACATCATACCTCCTTCCCACCCCTCACCCCCAGTTCTTGCCTGTTTACATCCTGCGTACGTGTCCAACATGATTTCCTTTTGGTTGTGGCGTCTTTTATTTTTACTGATTTCCTGTCTTTTGCAATGGTGGCTTTTGCTAATTTACAACAGGATGCCTCTTTATTATTTCTTTCGCCTTTTGTGGGTGAGCTTTCTTGAACGTTTTGGTCAAGCTGACCCATAATAATGCACCTTTTTCCTGTGGCTTTTCCTTTGCCTTGTTACTGAGGCTTTGCAATAGAGCAGTGTTTCTTAACCTTGGTAGCTTGAAGATGGGTGGATTTCAATTCCCAGAATCCCCCAGCCAGCAACGCTGGCTGGGGGATTCTGGGAGTTGAAGTCCACCCATCTTCAAAGCTTCCAAGGTTGAGAAACATTGCAATAGAGCCTTTATAATTTCTTGTATGCAATTAATACATTCTATAAAAAAGTAACTTTTTATCTTTTCTTACAGGATTATCAACGCTGGCTGGGGGATTCTGGGAGTTGAAGTCCACCCATCTTCAAGCTTCCAAGGTTGAAAAACATTGCAATAGAGCCTTTATACTTTCTTGTGTGCAATTAATACATTCTATAAAAAAGTAACTTTTTATCTTTTCTTACAGGATTATGGGAGCTGCTGCCCCGCAGGCAAGGCCGGGTGCAAAGAGGGTGCTGAGAGCTGCTCTTTATTTTACATTCTGAGGATGGACTTCATTACATCGTGCGAGTTGTTGTTTCAATCCATTATTTTCCAAAGTTAACCACGTTAAGGTCTGTGTGGACTTCAAGTCCCAGAATTCCCTGCGAGCATGGGGGGGGGGCAGGGGAAATCCTGGGAGTTGGAGTCCACCCACTTTAAAGTTGCCAAGTTTGGAAAAACATAGCTTTAGTCCGTGTTTGTAGAATAGAATAGTTCAGAGCACGTAATGCAGCTGCTGCTACTACTGCTCTCGTTTACTGTTCTCATTAAATTGGATTAGAATAAATTAAGGTAGAATAGTAATACCACAAGGGCTTGCTATTAATATTACAGGAAATGCAGATTCAATTAGACTCATTTTATGAAGGAGACTTGATGTTCTATTAGAATGAATGTTAAACATGTTCCAGAGTTTTTTATTGATATTATATTATTCATTCTAAAATTAAGTTATTCTTACATATAACTTGATGAAGAAAGTCATATTACTGTATGGAGGGAAAAATTCTTATTTGCATCTCTAATAATAATAATAATAATAACAATAACAATAATAACTTTTTTTTATTTTTTAATTTGATTTATATGCCGCCCTTCTCCGGAGACTCAGGGCGGCTTACAATGCGTTAAGCAATAGCCTTCATACTTTTGTATATTTATACAAAATCAGCTTATTGCTCCCACAAACTGGGTCCTCAATTTACCTACCTTAGAAAGGATGGAAGGCTGACTCAACCTTGAGCCTGGGGAGATTCGAACATGCAGTAATTGCAGGCAGCTGAATGATAATTACAGGCTATTAGTCTGCTGCGCCACCAGGCTCATTGTCATTGTATGTGTATACACAGTATACCCATACAACGAAATTCACTTAACACCGAAAGACCAGGTCCAACACACACAACAATCCCCAAACACCCTCCCACCCACCACAATTCTCCACCCCTAAACCACCCAAACATCCACACAACAGACCAAGTCATGCTGTCCAACAGCTCACTGATGGTGGCCCTTTAGTTCATTGTTGAGTGCCACTATAGCTCTGGGATAAAAACTATTCAGAAAACGTGTGGTCCGAGTTTTAATTGTTCTGTATCTTCTGCCAGAAGGAAACAGTCCAAAAAGATTGTGAGCAGGATGGGAAGAGTCTCGGAGAATGTTATGCAACTTTCTCAAATAGCGAGATTCGAAGATTTCGTCCAGGGCTGGTAGCTGGAGTCCGATGATATTCTTAGCAGTTTTAATGATTCTCCGTAGAGCTTTTTTGTCCGCTGCACAGCTGCTCCCATACCATGCAAGAATGCCGTATGTCAGGACACACTAAATAGTGCTGCGTTAGTAGGATAGAAGTAGATGCTGAGATAGATTTATCCATCTCTAGTGAGATGGGCGGCAATAAAATTAGATTGGATTAGACTAGATATCGATGGATGGGATAGATAGATAGATAGATAGATAGATAGGTAGGTAGGTAGGTAGGTAGGTAGGTAGGTAGATAGATAGATAGATAGATAGATAGATAGATAGATAGATAGATAGATAGATAGATAGATAGATAGATCTGGATAGATGGAGACAAATAGATGGTAGATAGATAAATCTTCATTCAAATCCTAAACAGAATTAAGTAGAGTTTCAATTTATTAGTACTGCTGCAATTATAAGTGGTTCAACATTGATAGTTGCCTTGGTCTACAGATGTTTTTCCATTAATTTATTATTTTTAAATATTCCGTGTTGCTCTTTTTGTTTTAACAGATAAATTCCACTTGAAGAGAGAGTTATGAATAAAATGGTTGCACAAACTCATGGAGTTGTAAAGAAAAGGTATTACGAAGATGAGAAAACTGAAGGAGAGAACCGGAAGGCTAAAAGAAAGAGGAAGGTTGAGAAAAATGACATTCCCTCAAATCATCAGAAAATTAAAGTTTCTAGTGAAGTAAGGTTTGTTTATGGATATATAATTCCAAAGGATTTGCCATTATGGCATGTTTTAGTTTATCATTCCCCATAATAATAATTTAAAAATACCAATTTAAGTATTGGGCGGAGTTTTCCAAATGTTTTTCTGGCACCGTTTTAGTTTGTGTTCTTTTCAAAACATTTTTTGTATTGTAATTCTTTCTGAGAGATTTGCTGGAGGGGTTTTTAGTCTGTGTTATATTTTTAATGCTGCACTTCATTGTTTATATCCATGAATCATTAAGTTATAATTAGAATGATGTGCTATTCCTGTTGGCTATTCTTGCATCTTTCTCAGTTTTGCATTATTCCACCCCCCACCCCCCTCCAGGTTTAATATCCAGAATTAGACAGAACGTTTAATCATTTGAAGGTTGCAACCAAGACGCTGAGATTCTTGATCTCAGAGTAGGAAACACATACACATAAAAAAAAGAATACTTACAAAGCTCCAGAAACTTTTAGAAGCTGCTTGTATTTTGTCCATAGCTGAATTTGTCAACGTGGGAGGATTGTTTATACAAAATCACTTCTGGGACTAAAGTTATTTGGCATTTCATCGTGTTTATATAAATAAATGTCCAAGTTTTCTGAAGTTAATGCATGTCTAACAGTTGTGTCTATTAACTGTGTTTCTCCTTTGCGCCTTGATGTGTGTGTTTTTTGTGGCAACCTTTTGCCAGAAATGAGCTGTCCTTTCTGGGATGTTGTTTGTGGGAACGGTGCCTTGAATCCTGACATTTTCTTTGGGAATGTAAACACTCCTGAGTCAATTCTCTTGGTTTCCAAGGTGAAGACACCCTGTTTGTCTACTCGAATGTTTGGAGAAGGCCAAATCAGCTGTGAGCAACTGTGCGAATTCCTCAAGTATGCCACACAGGGAAAACATCACAATGTCACTCAGCCCAGGTAAATGTAAAGCTCTTAACCTTATGGGAAAAGGGGACGCGGTGGCTCAGCGGCTAAGACGCTGAGCTTGTCGATCGAAAGGTCGGCAGTTCAGCGGTTCGAATCCCTAGTGCCACATAACGGGGTGAGCTCCTGTTACTTGTCCCAGCTTCTGCCAACCTAGCAGTTTGAAAGCACGTAAAAAAAGCAAGTAGAAAAATAGGGACCACTTTGGTGGGAAGGTAACAGCGTTCCGTGTGCCTTTGGCATTGAGTCATGCCGGCCACATGACCACGGAGACGTCTTCAGACAGCGCTGGCTCTTCACCTTTGAAACGGAGATGAGTACTGCCCCCTAGAGTCGGGAACAACTAGCACATATGTGCTAGGGGAACCTTTACCTTTAACCTTACAGAAGGTTCTGTCCACCTTAGATGTTCAAGAGTACAGGTAGTCCTGGACTTACAACCCTTTGTTTAGTGACCGTTTGAAGTTAAATGGCACTGAAACAAGTGACTTATGACCATTTTTCACACTTACAACCATTGCAGCATTCCCATGGTCACAGGATCAAAATTTGACCGATAAGCAACTGACTCGTATTTATGACAGTTATAGTGTCCCAAGCTCATGAGATCCCTTTTTTGGGACCTTCTGACAGGCAAAATCAATGGGGAAGCAAGATTCACTTTAAGAACCGCGTTACTAATATAACAGTTGCAGTGATTCACTTAACAACTGCAGCAAGAAAGGCCGTAAAATGGGGCAAAACTCGCTTCATAATTGTCTTGTGTAGCAACTGAAATTTTGGACTCAAAATTGTGGTCCTAAGTCGAGAACTGCCTGTACTGAAATATTTGCCGAATTCTCAAGTTCTAACAAATTATTTCATGTGTTGATAGCCCAGTACGATCATTCGAGCAGTGATGAGGGTCGGATTAGCCTCTTACACGAAAACCACCAGTCATTTAACCGTGATTTCTTGAATCAGTTATATGGAAACTGGATTCATACATTAGATTAATTCAGTCCACTACGATGGCTTAGGCTCATTCAGTCCATTCAGCCAGTGAGAAACACTGCTGTGTGACAGAGGTCTCCAAACCTCCAGGCTCCTCATGGCTGGCTGAGGAATTCTGGGAGTTGAAGTCCACAAGTCTTAAAATTGCCAAGTTTGGACACTCCTTGTCTATGAGATCCATATCTGTCATACCAACTGCTAGATCATTCACTGGAGACCCAGGATTTCTGCTTCCTCAATAGCAATAGCGCTTAAGACTTATATACCGCTTCATAGTGCTTTACAGCCCTCTCTTAAGCGGTTTACAGTCTCAGTTTATCGCCCCCAAAACTCTGGGTTTTACCCACCTCGGAAAGATGGAAAACTGAGTCAACCTTGAGCCAGTCATGATCGAATTGCTGAACTGCTGGTAGCCAGCAGTCAGCAGAAGTAGCCTGCAGTACTGCATTCTAACCACTGCGCCACCACAGCTCTAAATGTTTAGAAACCAATATAACCACCGAGAAACCACCCTGAGAAGGCCCTCCCACAGAGAGGGCCTCCTCAGGGTGTCGACGGCCAGACAATGTCGGCTGGCGACCCCCAGGGGGAGAGCCTTCTCTGTGGTGGCACCTACCCTCTGGAACAATCTACCCCCAGAGATATGAGTGATCCCAGACCTCTGGACTTTTTGTCGGGCCCTTAAAACCTACCTCTTTCAGTTAGCCGGGCTGTCCTGATTTTATGATGGGTTTTTAAAATTTGAAATTGGTTTTAAATTGAAATGTTTTAAATTATGGGCCAAATTATTTAATTATTTTAAATCTATTTTAACTTTTGTATATAAAGTGTTTTACTTGGCTGTTCACCGCCCTGAGTCCGAAAGGAGAAGGGCGGTATAGAAATTTGAGAATTTGAGAATATAAATAGATTTGCATGGGCGTGGCTGGTGAAAGGAACATAAGAGATAATCTTGATCCCTTGTGGTACAGTTGGTGTCGTATCCACCACCAAAGGCACGTGGCTGGTGTCATGGTGGTAATTTTACATCACGTGGATCAGCTCCATTTCTACCGGTACTACCTGCAGTTCAAGCACCTCCGAAAGACCTTCAAACACGTAAGTCACTGACGTTTATCCATCGGGTGGGATGGCTGATATAGGAAATTGTGTATTATATGGCAGACCTTGTAGAACAATGAGCCCAGCATTGGGTCTAAATAACTCACAGTAGAACCAAACGGGAGCATAACAAGTCCGATTGTGTTTCTTTTTTAAAAAAATCCCAACTTGATTACTTTATAAGTAACTCAAGGCAGCAGACATACATAAAACGTCTTCCTCTTCCTATTTTCCCCATAACAACAATCCTGTGAGGTGGGTTGGGCTGAGAGAAAGGGTCTGGCCCAAAGTCATCCAGCTGGCTTTCATGCTTAAGGCAGAACTAGAACTCACCATCTGCTAATGATTGCCTTAAAGTCACCCAATTGGCTTTCATGCCTAAGGCAGGACTAGAACTCACCTGTCTCCTGGTGATTGGCCCAAAGCCACCCAATTGGCTTTCGTGCTTAAGTCAGGACTAGAACTCACTGTCTCCCGGTGATTGGCCCAAAGTCACCCACCCGACTTTCGTGCCTAAGGCAGGACTAGAACTCACTGTCCCCGGTGATTGGCCCAAAGTCACCCAATTGGCTTTCATACCTAAGGCAGGACTAGAACTCACTGTCTCCTGGTAATTGGTCCAAAGTCACCCAATTGGCTTTCATACCTAAGGCAGGACTAGAACTCACTGTCTCCCGGTGATTGGCCCAAAGTCACCCAATTGGCTTTCATACCTAAGGCAGGACTAGAACTCACTGTCTCCTGGTAATTGGTCCAAAGTCACCCACCCGACTTTCGTGCCTAAGGCAGGACTAGAACTCACTGTCTCCCGGTGATTGGCCCAAAGTCACCCAATTGACTTTCATGCCTAAGGCAGGACTAGAACTCACTGTCTCCTGGTAATTGGTCCAAAGCCACCCAATTGACTTTCGTGCCTAAGGCAGGACTAGAACTCACTGTCTCCCGGTGATTGGCCCAAAGTCACCCAATTGGCTTTCATACCTAAGGCAGGACTAGAACTCACTGTCTCCTGGTAATTGGTCCAAAGTCCCCAATTGGCTTTCATGCCTAAGGCAGGACTAGAACTCACTGTCTCCCGGTGATTGGCCCAGAGCCACCCAATTGACTTTCATGCCTAAGGCAGGACAAAAACTCATTGTCGCCTGGTGATTAGCCAAAAGTCACCCAGCCGACTTTCTTGCCTAAGGTGAGACTAGAACTCCCCATCTCCTAGCTTGTAGCCGGATGCGTGAATTCAAGTTAAAATCTGATGGTTTATTTACCAGGTGTGCTTTATCGAGGCAAGCAAAAAATTCTCCTGAAATCACTGCTTCTTTCCGCAGAAGTAACTGCCACTTTTCCCAACGTCATTACTGATTTTTTTCCCCCCCTCTTGCCTGCCTTTGCAATTCTCTGCTTAACAGGAATACTTCGAACCAGGGAGGCTGGCCGAGTTGGGGTGGCGGGGGGGCACTTCTGGAGCCACAAGGAAACACATGGCTCTAATTTAGAGGGTAATTCAAGACTTTCCAGGAACAAGTCAGCCTCCACTTCTTCTCAAGAATGAGCTTTCTTTCTTTCGTTCTTTCTTTTTCTCGCTTTTTTTTTCTTTTTCTTTTTCCTCTGGCTGCTGCCTGGAAGCCGAGGTCATTAAAACAGACAGCTGGGTTGACACAAAAGAGGCTTCTTTTTTTGGGGAATTTCCCCCAGAAAGGGCTTATCTCTATCTCCCTCACCTATTCCTCCCTCCCCCCTTTTTTTAAACAATCAGCCCACGGTTTGAGAAGGTTGGGGGGGGGGGGAGGCAAAAAAGGCCACTGTTGTTTTGACCGCTAGCTGAGGCTTTTGCAAATGCATGTCCGGTGCTTGTTGTGTGATTTAAAAATTCCGTTCCCCCTTTCTCTCTCGCACACAAACACACAGGCGTAGCTAGGAGTTCTCCATCGGAGCCGGTTCGTTGTAATCGTCGGTGGGTTTGCAAAGTGCTCGAGAACTTCGCTTTAGAAGGAACGGCAACTATAAAAACAATTCGCGAAAAAACAAACCCATCAATCTACTGTGTTGTTAAAACGAAAGGGAAAAACAATTCCTCAGAACCGTTTAGCGAGAGAAAATGTTTGGAGCCCTTCTGAACATTTGATTATCCCCCATGCTTCATAGTCTTAAATTTGTATTTGATGAGATTATGGAAGAATCCACTGCTCTTCCCTGGAATTTGTTGTTGTTGTTGTTAGTTGTGAAGTCGTGTCCGACCCATCGCGACCCCATGGACAACATTCCTCCAGGCCTCCCTGTCCTCTACCATCCTATGAAGTCCATTTAAGATCACGCCAACTGCTTCAGTGACTCCATCCAGCCACCTCGTTCTCTTCTGTCCCCTTCTTCTTTTGCCCCCCATCGTTCCCAGCATTAGGCTCTTCTCCAGTGAGTCCTTCCTTCTCATTAGGTGGCCAAAGTATTTGAGTTTCCTCTTCAGGATCTGGCCTTCTAAAGAGCATTCAGGGTTGATCTCCTCTAGGACTGACCTTGGATGGCCTTGCAGTCCAAGGGATTCACAATTACTCTTTAAGTAATTCCATTTTTTACCCTGTTTGTTTGTTTCAACACCAGATCATTGTTGTTGTTTTTTAATAAGTTTTTTTTAAATTTTTTACAAACATAGCAAATCAATCTGTGAACAGTGTAGCATACTGTCCTCCAAATAAAACTAGTAGAATTAATCATAGTTATTACATTCGGTCATCTTATATATTTCTAATAATGGTACACATTTATATTAAGTTGCAGTCTGCCATTGTGCAGTTATTCCATGTTTTCTCCTTGTTATTACTTTTATTTTATTATATAAAAATATAATACACTAATATTCCCCCTTCTCTTATTTCCATCCCTTATTCTAACTTTCAGTCATGTCACCCTTTATTAAAATACTTTTTCTTTCTATCCTACCTAACTTCTAGTCATGTCACCTACCTAAAAAAAGAGAAAAGAAAGAGAGAAAGAAAAGGAGAAGCAAATCAGAACAACAACAAAAAAAGAGAAATCATCTATCCATCGTCTCTTGCCCGCTTCAATGCTTTAATTGCTAGAACCAGATCATTGTTGATGGGGTGTATTTGTACAGGTAGTCCTTGATATACGACCGCCGTTGCTAAGCGAGGCAGCTTTCATCAGAAGGGTTCCAAATGCCCCCTTCCTCTGACAAGAATATATGGAAAGGAATATGGTGTTATGTCATTTTCTTTGTCTTTTTTTTTTCCCCCTCTGTTCTATGTCTTTTATCAGCGTTTTTCTCTGCCTGCCATTTCTGGTGATTTTATCAAAAAACTTGGTGGATTGGATACAAGCGATCATCAACAGCTCAGCAGGAAAGGTACTAATATATTCCTTTTCAATTCCCTCATCCATACCTTTGTTATTTTCTGAAAGTCCAGGCGGATAAGGCTGGTGTGTAACGCATACGGCTAATCCTCGATTTACGATCGCAATTGGGGTTGAAATTTCTACCGAAAGCCATTGCGGTCATAAGTCGAGTCAGATCCCCATGGTCGTAAGTTCAATCTGACCTTGTTTCACGACATTTTTACAACAGTTGCTAAACAAACCATCATGGTTGTTAAGGGAACACCACAATCGTACATGTGAGAATTGGTCATCAGTACGAGAAGTGGACTTTGTACGACACCGTCGTAGCTTCAGACAGCCACTAAACAAATGGCCATAAGTTGAGGACTACCTGTATAGTCTACAACAGATACCTTTGTGCTAATAATTGGGCCTTTTATAAACCATAGGTGACTTTAAAAAAAAATAAATAGCCAAATTGTACCCCTTTGTAAAATTGGGCTGCTTAAAATGGCTTCATTTGAACATTCCCTTATTTCTAAAGTGCTTCGTTTCCAAGCAGAGGATAAATGGAATAAACTGTCTCAGGCAGAACGTAGTTAAACAACAACTTGGCGTATGTGAAGAATGAAAATGTGTTTATTATTATTATTATTATTATTATTATTATTATTATTATTATTATTTATTGGTTAATCTTTAGTGAGATTCACAGCCTTTGAGGCTGGTTAATAGCTCAGCAGCTCGAGTCCTAACCAAGGACCTAGGAACTGTTAAGGTATCGTCGGAGGATGTAAGCTGTTCCGAGTAAGGTGGTTTTTTGTAGAGTCAAAATGTTCAAGTCCGGCAAATTTAGAATTTCTAAAGAGCGGGGTAGCCCTTTGGGTATTGCTCCGAGGGCTCCAATTACAATCGGGACAACACACGATTTCTTTTTCCACAGTCGCTCAACTTCAATTTGCAAGTCCCGGTACTTTGTGATTTTTTTTTGCTGCTTATCTTCAATCTGTGCATCACCAAGTATTGCAATGTCAATGAACCATATTTTTTTCTTTTCAACTATTGTTATGTCAGGTGTGTTGTGGACCAAGTGCCTGTCAGTCTGAATCCTAAAGTCCTACAAGATCTTGAGTTTCTCATTCTCTAAAACTTTCTCAACCTGATGTTCCCAGTGGTTTTTGCTGTACTCAAATCCAAACTTCTGGCACAATTTCCAGTGAATGATTTTAGCAACACGGTCATGGCGTTGTAGGTAGTCAGTTTGTGAAATTTTGCTGCACCCACTGATCAGGTGGTCAACTGTCTCTTCCTTTTCATTGCAGAGGCGGCATTTGCCTCTGCAATAATTTTATTATTATTATTATTATTATTATTATTATTATTATTATTATTATTGCTGGTCGTCTTGCAGCTTGATTTTATTTTATGGTTATTGGTTTAACGTTTCTGAAAGAGGCGTGGTTTTATGACGCTTTAATTTTGCTTTGATTATTCTGGCAACTGCCATGTAACCATTGAATTGGTAGATAAGCAGCAGTTATAAATCTAAATAAATCGAATGACATGGAAAAGCCTCCTTTTGTCTTCTCACAACACACTGAAGAGACTGCTGACAGAAAAGGGGCAAAAATGCTAATACGGATACTTAGAGCAAGTGTGTCCTTGATTTCAGATGGGGATGAAGTTCCCATAATTCAGAAGCACGCAGAAAAGTCCCGTCTCTCAAGTTATATTTTAACTCGCGAGGAGATGCGTGTCTATGATTACCCTGTAGAAGGTAAGCTGTCTTAGAATCCACATTTATGATCAAATTCTAGATGTCTAGAAGAGGGACAGGTCATAGCTTTAATAGTTAGAACTAGACTACCTGTGTCCTGTTGGGTCATTGTTTCAGAGATATGTCCTTGAATTCCTCCAGGAATATTTTATTTTATTTTATTTTATATCAAATTTATATACCGCCCTTCTCCCTGAGGACTCAGGGCGGTGTACAGCCAAAGTAAAAACATAAACTACAAACATTAAAATACAATTAAAAAGATATATATATATTTGGCCCCATAATTAAAAGCAATGACAAACCAATTAAAAACATTTTAAAAAGTGTTAGGCCAGCCCGGCTTGCTGAAAAAATAAAGCTTTAAGGGCACGGCGGAAGGCACCGAGGTCTTGGATTCTCCTTATCTCTGGGGGCAACTGATTCCAGAGGGTGGGAGCCCCCACAGAGAAGGCCCTCCCCCTGGGGGTCACCAGCCTACATTGTTTGGCTGATGGCACCCCGAGGAGGTCCTCTCTGTGGGAGCGCACAGGTCGATGGGAGGCTGTTGGTAGCAGCAGGCGGTCTCGAAGATAGCTAGGCCCTATGCCATGGAGCGCTTTAAAGGTGATAACCAACACCTTGAAGCGCACCCGGAAGACCACTGGGAGCCAGTGCAGCTCGCGCAGGAGAGGTGTTCTATGGGAGCGCCATGCAGCTCCCGTGACTACCCGCGTGGCCGCATTCTGGACTAGTTGGAGTCTCCGGGTGCCCTTCAAGGGGAGCCCCATGTAGAGAGCGTTGCAGTAGTCCAGGCGAGAGGTGACGAGGGCGTGAGTGACTGTGCACAGGGAATCCCGATCAAGAAAGGGCCGCAACTGGCGGATCAGGCGAACCTGACCAAAAGTCCCCCTGGCTACAGCCGTCAGATGTTCCTCCAAGGACAGCTGCGTATCCAGGAGGACTCCCAGATTGCGCGCCCTCTTCGAGGGGGCCAAAGACTCGCCCCCAATAGTCAGGGATGGAGTCAACTGACTATATCGGGATGCCGGGAACCACAGTCACTCAGTCTTGGAAGGGTTGAGCTTGAGCCTGTTTCTCCCCATCCAGATCCGCACAGCCTCCAGGCACTGGGACATCACTTCAAGGGCATCGTTGATGAACCTCTTAGAGCAGTGATGGCTAACCTTTTTGCCATTGCGTGCCAAAAGCGGGGGGGGAGCACGGGGGGGTCGTGCGCGCACGTGCCCACACCCATAATTCTATTCACCCCGCCCCCGCACATGTGTGCACTCCCCCCACTTTTGGCACATGATGGCATGGTGGGCTTTCTAGGAGCCTGGGGAGGGCAAAAACAGCCTTCCCCACCCCACAGAGGCCCTTCGGAGGCCGGACACAGCCCATTTTCAGATGTGACAATTTGTTCATTGCCTCTCCAGGTTATGGCGACCGCAGCCATTTTGTCCCGACTCTCTGCAACGGCCCGGTTACGGATAGCAGCCCCCTCTTTGGACTGGATTGCGAAATGGTATTTATTTAGTGTCGCGTTACTCTCCTTCCCATTGCAAAGGTTGGATCTCAGTAAATAAGAACTGATTTCTTACCTATAAAAGATTTACCTTTAAGTCTTCAGTTCTTGATTTCGGGTACAGATCTAATCTGTGACTGAGTGCACGCAAAACTCCCCAATGTCATTTCCAGCCAGGAAGGGAAAGTATTACATTTGTGAGGTATTGTTGTTAGTTGCGAAATCGTGTCCCCATGGACAACGTTCCTCCAGGCCTTCCTGTCCTCTGCCATCCCCCAGAGTCCATTTAAGCTCACGCCAACTGCTTCGGTGACTCCATCCAGCCACCTCGTTCTCTGCCGTCCCCTTCTTCTTTTGCCCCCCATCTTTCCCAGCATTAGGCTCTTCTCCAGGGAGTCCTTCCTTCCTTCTCATTAGGTGGCCAAAGTATCTGAGTTTCCTCTTCAGGATCTGGCCTTCTAAAGAGCAGTCAGGGTTGATCTCCTCTAGGACCGACTGGTTGGATCGCCTTGCAGTCCAAGGGACTCGCAGGAGTCTTCTCCAGCACCAGAGTTCAAAGGCCTCCATTCTTTGGTGCTCAGCCTTCCTTATGGTCCAACTTTCACAGCCATCCATTGCAACTGGGAAAACCATCGCCTTGACTAGACGCAGTTTTGTTGGCAGGGTGATGTCTCTGCTTTTTAGTATGCTGTCTAAATTTGCCATAGCTTTCCTCCCCAGGAGCAAGCGTCTTTTCATCTCTTGGCTGCAGTCCCCATCTGCGGTGATCTTGGAGCCCAGGAAAATAAAATTTGTCACTACCTCCCATTTCTTCCCCATCTATTCGCCAGGAATTGAGAAGGCCAGATGCCATGACCTTAGTTTTCTTAATGTTGAGTTTCAAGCTAACTTTTGCACTCTCCTTCTTCAAGACCTTTCGCTCTTTTCTTTGCTAAGAGTCCTTCAACATTGAAAAGAAGCACTTTTTTTGGTCACTATTGCTGAGTTATAATACAATTTAGGAACGAGGTGCTTATAATTATGGATTGTGTCTGGACAATTAGGATGAGATATGGTCACTGTTTATTGAGACGTTTTGTGCAAAACTTCTTTTTTTTTGCATTTAATTGTGTCCGATTCTCAGAGGCTGCGTGGAAAAATCCCTGCAGTTTTCTTGGCAAGGATTTTTCAGAAGTGATTTGGCCATTGCCTCCTTCGTAGGGCTGAGAGAGAGCACCAGAGTTCAGTGAGAGGTGTTACCCTTCCGTAAAGGAATCCCATCCGTTCACCTATCACGGGAGAGATCACAGGGAATCATCAACCTTTCTTCACCTTTTCTCGTTTTGACCAGTGTTTCACCGATAAAGGGTCAGAACTCACCCGAATTGCCGTGGTGGACACTGCCGGTCAGTGCGTTATGAACGAGCTTGTCAAGCCAAGACGGCCAGTCAGGAATTACCTTACCTGGTATGTCGCTTAAACTGGTAACCGTTGTAAAACCTGGGACACTACCCAGAATTTTGAATGTTTGGGTTACTGCAGTTGCTTGAAATGTGGGTTCTTCCATTTGATACAGTTATTTTTTTTTAAGGCCAAGCCACGTATTTCAATAAGGTGTGTGTGTGTATTTGTTTGTTTTAAACTTTTACATGTAGCATCCTGGGAGTATATGCAGGAGGTGCGGGCCGGTGATTGGGATGAGTGTAGTGGAATGTAGTCTGGATTCCGAGGAGGGAGGGGCTGCTTCCCAGAGAGCAAAGAGGTAGCGAAGCTTAGACAGTTTGATTAACAGGAAGTTAGGGTTAGTTAAGAAGGCACCTTCCTAGGAATTCACAGATCTATAGTTATGCAGATAATCCTCAACTTACAACCAGGGACGGGCTTCAACAATTTTAGCAAGGGGTTCTCTGCCCAGTTGCTGGGTGGGAGTGGCCATGGTGGGCGTGGCCTAGTTGGCCTCCTGCACCATGGTGTCGGAGGCTCTTTTGCCCTCCCTGGTCTCCAAAGGCTTTCCTTGAGCCTCCAGGAGGGTGAAAACGGCCTCCCCAGGCTCCAGAGGCTCCTTTCCCGAATTTCCAGTAGGCCCATTTTTTGCCTTCCTCAAGCCTCCGTGTGCACCCTGCACTTACCTGCATCCAAAACGGGCCACATGGGGCCTCCTGGGAGGGGCAGGACAGGTGGGGGCACCCAGGAGTGGGATTTGGGGGTTCTCCGAACTGCACAGAATCGTAGCTAGAGGTTCTCCCGACCCCCCAGCAGGGGTTTACGACCATTCATTTAGTGACCGCTCAAAGTTGCAGCGGTACTGAAAAAGGCGACTTACGACCGTTTTTCACGCTTATGACCGTTGCAGCATCCCCATTGGTCAAGATTCAGACCCTTGGCAACTGGCATGTAATTCTGAGGGTTGCAGGATCTCGGGCTCGCGTGATCCCTTTTTGCGACCTTCTGGCAAGCAAAATCCACGGGGAAGCCAGATTCACTTGACAAGCGTGTTACGAGCTGAGCAGCTGCAGCGATTCACTTAACAACAGTGGCAAGGAAGGTCGTAAAACGGGACAAAACTCAGTGAACAACTTTCTTGCTTAGCAATGGAAACTTGGGGTTCCATTGTGGTCGTAAGTCGAGGATTACCCGTACCGGTATCATTATCTGGGCTGGGATCTGTTACTTTCTTGAAAGACCCTCGTTGGAAAGTGTCAATTCGACGGCCCTAAAATGTTCTCTTTCTTGTGTTTTGAAGTTACTCCGGCATCACGGAGGACCTGCTACGCCCCGTACAAACCACCCTCGCAGAAATCCAGAGCCGATTAAAGGATATTCTGCCTCCGGATGCCATTTTAGTGGGCCATTCCTTAGATGCTGATCTCCGAGCTCTAGAAGTGAGTATATCTATTGCACAGTCTCAACTCGCCTAAGGCAGCGGTCACCAAACGTGGCAAATTTTGAAGGCTTGTGGGCTTCAAACATGGAAGGACGCTTTGATTCCCACGGACGGCTACATGGACGGACGGCTGCCAAAATTGATGGACTCAGCAGAGATGGCTAAATGGACTGCTTTGGTCAAAGCTAGGGGGAGAGACACAATTACTTTTGTTTCCACTTGGAAACCACTTCTGGACTTTGTGCTCGAGGTGGGGGAAAAATGAAACGTTGATTTTGGGTTTTGCCGATCAGATAGGTTTGTTGCTATAGAAATGGCTAGTTTATGGTATTGTGTAAAAGTACAAAGTTGAGGTTCCGTAGATTCATAGATTAGATTCATAGATTAACAGAGTTGGAAGAGATCTTGTAAGTCCGTGATGGTGAACCTATGGCACGTGTGCCACAGGTGGCACGCGTAGCCATATTGGTGGGCACGTGAACTCAGCAAAAGGAATGAGTCGTAACACCAGGAGTCCCTGGAGATGGTCACAATGTCGTATTTTTTGTTTGTTTGTTTTAAAACACTGTGTTTTGAAACATTTTTTTCCCTCTCGTATTTCCAGATGATTCACCCGAACGTTATCGACACTTCGCTTCTCTACGCCCGGAAAGGGGGCAAAAGGTTCAAACTGAAATTTTTAGCAGCTGCTGTTTTAGGGTAAGAAGGTTTGGGTTGAGTTTCTGCCTGCGGGCATGTCTCCTCACCCTTTTCAATTAGGATATTTCTGAATTGCTCCACCGTGAAAGCAACTCCTTTCCGAGGAAGGGTAGGGCTGTTGACGGATAATTAAAGAATTGTCAAGTCCTACGAGTATATATCTGCTTAGGGCAAGGAGGTCCAACCTCGGCAACTTTTAAGATCTGTAGACTTCCAACTCCCAGAAATCCCCAGATTGAAATTGGCTTGTGGGGTCCTTGATGGTCTCTGATCTTGGTTGTTTTCTGGCAGACGTTTCATTATCCAACTAGGCAACTTCATCAGTGCTAGAAGGGAAGTGGGATTTCTGGAGTGGAGTAGAAGTAAAAGTGAGGAGGAGAAGGAGCAGGAGAACTATGGGGTCCTTGGTGACGTTTGAGGTTGGTTGCAGACGTTCATCAGTGCAGTACTTTCCACAGTTTCAGCTGGGAAAGTGTGATCATTCTAAACCAAGCCGTGTCCAAAAACACTAGAGAATTCCTAGAAGCACTCGCAGAAATCAGCCATCAGCAGGCACATAGAGATAAAGAACATATACATACAATTAAAAAAAAAGACAAACAATAGTCAAAAAAACAAAGACACCCAAACACCTTCTAAACATCAATCAACACAAAGAGCCTTGGTAGTACAGTGGTCTAAAGCACCCTGCTATTAAGACCAGCTGCCTGCAATTACTGCAGGTTCGAATCTCGCCAGGCTCAAGGTTGACTCAGCCTTCCATCCTTTCTAAGGTAGGTAAATTGAGGACCCAGTTTGTGGGGGCAATAAGCTGACTTTGTATAAATATACAAAAAGGATGAAGGCTATTGCTGAGCGCATTGTAAGCCGCCCTGAGTCTCCGGAGAAGGGCGGCATATAAATCAAATTAAAAAAAAAAAAAAAACCAGGCGAGCAGGGATTCAACCCAAGATGAACCCTAGACCAATAGTTAAGAAGTAAACTGTATCCCAATCGAGGCACCACCAACTCGGGTAAGGCCACACTTGGAATCCTGCATTCAGTTTTGGTCGTCACGATGTAAAAAGGATGTGGAGACTCTAGAAAGAGTGCAGAGAAGAGCAACAAAGACGATGAAGGGACTGGAGGCTAAAACATACGAAGAACGGTTGCAGGAACTGGGTATGTCTTAAGTTTAATGAAAAGAAGGACTAGGGGAGACATGATAGCAGTGTTCCAATATCTCAGGGGCTGCCCCAAAGAAGAGGGAGTCAAGCTATTCTCCAAAGCCCCTGAGGGCAGAACAAGAAGCAATGGGTGGAAGCTAATCAAGGAGAGAAGCAACTTAGAACTAAGGAGAAATTTCCTGACAGTTAGAACAATTCATCAGTGGAACAACTTGCCTCCAGAAGTTGTGAATGCTCCAACACTGGAAGTTTTAAGAAGAGGTTGGACAACCATTTGTCTGAAGTGATGTAGTGTTTCCTGCCTAAGCAGGGGGTTGAACTAGAAGACCTCCAAGGTCCCTTCCAACTCTGTTATTCTGTTCTGTTCTGTTCTGTTCTATATTCTATTCTATTCTATTCTATTCTATTCTATTCTATTCTATTCTATTCTATTCTATTCTATTCTAACCAAGCTAACAGTCAACAACAGCTGAATCAAGAAACCACCAAGAACAGTTCCACCAACACATTTATATATAAACAGAGAGCAAACCCCCCTCTCTTCTAACACTGATGAAATTACCTAGTTGGGTAATGAAACGTCCGCCAAAAAAAGTATCAAGGACCCCCCTGAGCTACAAATATTCTACGTAAATCCACCTGCTTCTTTGCTACCACAATAAGAGCGTATAAATGTTCATGGATTGTACCGATTGCATGTTTCCTTCTCCTTGTTAGGAAAGAAATTCAGAACAAGGCCCAGTTGGGTCACGATCCCACCGAAGACGCCCAGTGCGCCCTTGAACTGGCCCAGTACTTCATTGAACAAGGACCCAGGAAAGTAAGTGCCTGAAGCTCTTTTAAGACCGTTGTTTAAGGGCAGGGATAAATGTATCTTTACACTGACAGTGTCCTAACGGTGAGGACAATTCACCAGCGGAACAGCTGGCCTCCAGAATCCGTGGGCGCTCCATCACTGCAGGTTTTTAAGCAGAGACTGGACAGTCACTTGTCTGAAATGGTATAGGTTCTCCTGCTTGAGGAGGGGGCTGGACTAGAAGACCTCCAAGGTCCCTTCCAACTCCTATTCCATTCCATTCCATTCCATTATTCTATTCTATTCTATTCCATTCCATCATTTTATTCTATTCTATTTTATTCTATTCCATTCCATTCCATTCTTCTATTCTATTCCATTCCATTCCATTCCATTATTCTATTCTATTCTATTCTATTCCATTCCATCATTTTATTCTATTCTATTTTATTCTATTCCATTCCATTCCATTCCATTCTTCTATTCTATTCCATTCCATTCCATTCCATTATTCTATTCTATTCTATTCCATTCCATTCCATTCCATTCCATTCCATTCCATTCTTCTATTCTATTCTATTCCATTCCATTCCATCATTTTATTCTATTCTATTTTATTCTATTCCATTCCATTCCATTCCATTCCATTATTCTATTCTATTCTATTCCATTCCATTCCATCATTTTATTCTATTCTATTCCATTCCATTCCATTATTCTATTCCATTCCATTCCATTATTCTATTCTATTCTATTCCATTCCATCATTTTATTCTATTCTATTCCATTCCATTCCATTCTTCTATTCTATTCCATTCCATTCCATTCCATTCCGTTATCTATTCTTTTCTATTCTATTCCATTCCATCATTTTATTCCATTCTATTCTATTCCATTCCATTCCATTATTCTATTCCATTCCATTCCATTCCATTCCATTATTCTATTCCAGTGATGGCTAACCTTTTCCGGACCGAGTGGCCAAAATGCACGCATGCGCGCGCAAATGCATGTGCCCAAACCCCCAGAATGCAATGCGTGCGCAGCTCCCGTGCATGTGCCCTCCCACCCCCACCCCGCACGACCCTGCCCCCTGCACATGCATGGCAGAGACCCAAAGACCAGCTGTCCGGCAGGATGCGCGGAGGAGCTGAACTGGGGCAACAGCTCGCGTGCCCACAGAGAGGGGGCTGCGTGCCACCTCTGGCACGCGTGCTATAGGTTCGCCATCATGGGTAACTGGACACGCTTTCCCCAGCCCTTCCAATTACGAAGAATGGGTGCAAAAAATGAGGGAGAATCCCCTGGAAGTCCTTCGAGAGGTCCTTCAGTGGGAAACGAGGCCTTTAACCAACAATCTGAAGAACTGACAGGAAGCCAAAAGTGCAGGAGAAGAATTTGTAATATTAGGGAGGGTTTTTTTTTTCTCACCTTAGGTTGCAGAATTGAATCTGGAAGCCAGATTGTCCGAGCAAAGGAAGATGGAAGAGATAGAGACTGTCAGGGTCAAGGCGGAACAAAGAGACGGGATCCAGACAGGGGTACCAAACTCCAGGTGAGGGTAAATACCGCTGTACCTTCGCTACCGGTTCGCAAATTTGAGCACACGTGCCTCCTTCACGCATGTGCAGAGCCTTCTGCACATGTGCAGAGGGTCAAAAAACGGGACGTGATGACATCCGGGTGGGTAGGCAGAGGCTCCCGCCGCCGATGCTACCGGATCGCGCGATCCGGAAAGAACCAGCTGAATTTTCACCACTGGCCTGGCAGAACCTCTGAAAAGAAGATGGAGAAAATACGCATCGCCCCATGGACTCAAAATTGCAAGGCACTGAGTGCCCAAAAGAATGGGCCGTGGTCTTTTCGGTTGCCAGTTCATTTTGCAAAAGAGCCAGACTGGGGGAAACGCAACATGGCGGCTGCATTTAGATCAGGGGTCTCCAACCTTGGCAACTTTAAGACGTGTGGACTTCCAACCCCTAGAATTGGCTGGCTGAGGAACTCTGGGAGTTGAAGTCTACAAGTCTTAAAGTTGCCAAGGTTGGAGGCTTCTGATTTAGATGGTTGCAAAGCTTTTTTTGTTTTGTTTTGTTTTGTCCTGAGATGGGTAGCTTGTTAATCTGGAATTGCTACCCTTCAGAAATTTTCAGATCAAATTAAGTCCCCTATGATCAGTGATGGGATTCAGATTTTTTTTTACTACTGGTTCTGTGGGCGTGGGTATGGTGTGGCGTGGCAGGGGAAGGATAGTGTAAAAATCTCCATTCCCACTCCACTCCACGGGAAGGTTACTGCAAAATCCCCATTCCCTTCCCACTCCAGAGAAAGGATACTATAAAATTCCATTCCCTCCCCAATCCAGGGGAAGGTTACTGCAAAATCCCCATTCCCTCCCACTCCAGAGAAAGGATACTATAAAATCTCCATTCCCTCCCCACTCCACGGGAAGGTTACTGCAAAATCCCCATTCCCTTCCCACTCCAGAGAAAGGATACTATAAAATTTCCATTCCCTCCCCACTCCAAGGGAAGGTTACTGCAAAATCCACATTCCCTCCCTACTCCAGGGGAAGGATACTGTAAAATCTCCATTCCCTCCCCAATCCAGGGGAAGTTTACTGCAAAATCCCCATTTCCTCCGGATAAACTGGGACTCGGGAGGCAGAGAATAGATGGGGGCGGGGCCAGTCAAAATTTTTACTACCGGTTCTCCGAACTACTCAAAATTTCCGCTACCGGTTCTCCAGAACTGGTCAGAACCTGCTAAAACCCACCTCTGCCTCTGATGTTTATTCACGCTTGTTTAGTCATAACCTTTTCTTTTTTTTGCAAAAAAATTAAAGCACAAAACTACAGGTAGCCCTTGGCTTATGACCACAATTGAACCCCAAATTTCCGCTGCTAAGCGAGACAGTTTGGTGAGTTTTGCCCTATTTCACCGGCTTTCTTGCCACATCTTTGCATCTGTTAAATTAGTAACACGGTTGTTAAGTGAATCTGGCTACCCCCATCGATTTTCCTCGTCAGAAGGCAGATCACACTGTGGACACTGCAACTGTCATAAGTACCTGCCAGTTGCCAAGCATCTGAATTTTGATCACATGGTCATGGGAGAGGAGGATGCTGCAACGGTCGTTAAGAATGAAAAACGCTCATAATTCTCTTTTTTTCAGCGTCGTTTTAACTTCAAAGGGTCACTGAATGAGCCATCGTAAGTCGAGGAATAACTATACCTGTTCAAGTTTATTTAACGTTGGTTTTTTCTTCTTGTCTTCTAGCCTTTTAGACAACTTACAGCCCGCCAGTGAAAAAACGTTGCTTCCGGGAGAACAAAATAATGCTCAGAATCAGACGGCTTCCTTAAATGAGGAAGTGAGTTATGAAGAGTATTTGGTTGTGTTTCTCTGTCGTCGTTTTAATTGTACAAAACTGATAAAAATACGGACCTGGTTCTTGCCGTGGCAAACCAAGTTATCGTAGATCATTTTTTGGCCCTCTCTGTTTTCTACTTCTGCAAGCTGTTTATATACATACCAATAAAGGAATATGTTTGTAACCAGGATGGATTTGATTTAAATCGAGTTGATTTAAATCACAATTTAAATCACTAGTAAAAAGGCTTGATTTAAATCAACTTGATTTAAATCATAATTTTTAAAGGGCAACTGTCATCTCTGCTACTCCTTTGACTCACCGATAGTCCCAGTGTTGCAGAATATACAGCCTTGTGCTACATAACTAAGCTCCATTTCATGCTGAATAAACTAAATTATTTATGTATCTTAAATAGAAAACTATCTTACGATAGATTTTTACCCCAAAAGTTTTTTATTAAAATAAATTCGATAAAAATCAAAAAAATCCGATTTAAATCAAAAAAATCCATTTTTTTTTTATTTTTTTTAAAAAAATCATTGATTTTTATCCACCCTGTTTGTAACCCAGGGTTGAAATGAATGGGTCACATGCTGTATGCTCTCTGAGCTTCATGATTTTCTCGCAGACGTTTCATGACCCAACTAGGGAATATCATCAGGGCTAACACTGTATATGTTTTCTAAGCATCTCACCTTTCTTCAATGCGCGGATCTCCAAAATGTCTCCCAATTCCATTGTTAACCCTTTTCAGATTCTCCAGAAAGCCCTGGAAGAGATTCCTAAATCTCCCGTTAACATCATTCAATTGGTTTTGGATTCGAAGCACCTCACAGCTGACCTCCATGCGGAAACCATTTCAAAGGTAAGCAGATCTTCCCCAATTCCCCAAACGGCGCAAAACTCGCCGAACAAATGTCTCGCTTAGCAACAGACGTCTTGGGCTTAAGTTGTGGTCGTAAGTCGAGGACTGCCTGCGGTCTCGTTGGTTCCATTTCTAAGTGGCCGTCCTCCCTTTTCCTAGATGAGGGCCAAGCTTTCGGACCTGCTGACCGTCTACGTGGGCCCTTTGACCAAAGACGTTTGTCTGAAGACTGTGAACAAAGCTTTTGGGAAATGCGGCCACATTCAGACGATCCGGGTCATTTCAGAAACGTTTAAGGCAAGTAGTCAAATCATTTTGCTATCCTGGACAGTGGCCAGTGGAAATACCAGAGGGGAAAAGCTAGGCTGATGAATTTCTCTCTCCACCCTCCCATTTTGGAGGGTGGAGGTTGGGGAGGAACATGGGCCAGTCCTGGAGTCTGGGGAAGGCTCTGATGAGGGCTCTGCGTCGCAGGCAGAGAGGGGGCCAGGGGCGTCCGACAGTTATCAGCTACCTTCGGAGTCGGACATCAATGGGGCAAAAGAACAAGGTTAGCCATCACTGATCTAGCAGAACCTTCTCTGTGGTGGCTCCTTCCCTGGGGAACATCATCCTTTTGGATAAGAGAAGATTGGCCTCTACTTTGGTGCTCTTTCACAAGACCTAGTTTTGCTAATGGGCCAGAGGACCCCAGAGAGGGAGGGAGCCCATCAAGTGGCTCATTTGGTTGTTATCATGGGGGTGGGGTTATTGCTTTTTTATTGTTCTTCTGTTGGGCTTTGTTTCCATGTAAACTGCCTGGAGTCACTGAGAGTGAGTTGAGCGGACATACATTAGGAACACTTTATGGGAGGGAGGGAAGAAAAGATGGAAGCAAGGAAGGAATTTAGTAGGAAGGAAAATTTATTTATTTTATTTTATTTATTGGTCCAATTTATATGCCGCCCTTCTCCGGAGACTCAGGGCGGCTTACAATGCGTTAAGCAATAGCCTTCATACTTTTGTATATATCTGCTTAGTAGGGCTTTCGGGGGGGGCCCCCCAAGCGGTGTTCTTTTTTATACAAAGTCAGCTTATTGCCCCCACAATCCGGGTCCTCGTTTTACCTACCTCAAAAGGATGGAAGGCTGAGTCAAACCTTGAGCCTGGTGAGATTTGAACTTGCAGTAATTGCAAGCAGCAGATGTTAATTACAGTGCATTAGTCCACTGTGCTACCAAGGCTCTTGTGGGAGGAAGAAAAGGAAGGAATTTAGCAGGAGGGAGGGAGGGAGGAAGGCAAGAATTTAGCAGAAAGGGAGGGAGGGAGGAAATCAGCAGGAAGGAAGGAGGAAGAAAGGAAGGAATTTAGCAGGAAGGAATGAGGGAGGGAGGAAGCAATTTAGCAGGAAGGAGGGAGGGAGGGAGGAAGAAAGGATTTAACAGGAAGGAGGAAGGAAGGGAGGAAGGAATTTAGCAGGAAGGAAGGAAAAGAAGGAAGGAAGGAGTTTAGCAGGAGGGAGGGAAGGAGGAAAGAATTTAGCAGGAAGGAAGGAAAAGGAAGGAAGGAATTTAGCAGGGAGGAAGGAATTTAGCAGGAAGGAAGGAAAAGAAGGAAAGAAGGAGTTGAGCAGGAGGGAGGGAAGAAGGAAAGAATTTAGCAGGAAGGAAGGAAAAGGAAGGAAGGAATTTAGCAGGAAGGAAGGAGGGAGGAATTTAGCAGGAAGGAAGGAAAAGAAGGAAGGAAGGAGTTTAGTAGGAGGGAGGGAGGAAAGAATTTAGCAGGAAGGAAGGAAAAGGAAGGAATTTAGCAGGAAGGTGGGAGGGAGGAAGGGATTTAAGAGAAAGGCAGGAAGGAAAAGGAAGGAAGGAGTTTAGCAGGGTGGGAGGGAGGAAAGAATTTGGAAGGAAGGAAGGAAGGAAGGATCTGAGTATTGGGAAGCACCAAACCCCTTATTTAACTGCCGGGGCCCCTTTTTGTCTCTCCCAAAGCCCCATCTCTGTATCCAATATGAAGTGTTGGAAGGGGCACAACTGGCTTTGGAAGACCTGAACGGAGCAGAAATTGGAGGATCGGCCCTCAAGGTAAGCTTACAGCTCACCTTTCAATTCCAGGGTGGAGAGCGAACGGCATGCATGCAGTCTGCAAAAATCTTAGGCCCTTCGTTTCTCTTTTTAAAGTATTATATCCTTCGCGATGGTTTAGATCAGATTTTCCTCACGAGATGCAAAACGTAGGGGCTGCAATTCACCTGCTGTTATTTGGCATAATTGTAATCTTTTATTATTATTATTATTATTATTATTATTATTATTATTATTATTATATTTGCTTTCATGAAAGGAAAGCTTATAGATTCTATTGATTTATCATCTATAAACATAATCCATTGTTATTTATTTATTTTCTACTCGTTCCCTCCAGAAGGGAAAAGAGCATCCATAGAACCTAGAAAAAAAGAGCTTCCTATGAAATGAGATCCCTGACCATGATGGTTTATTCGAAACCGCAATTAAACCAACCATGGCTTAGTACGTGACCTCAACAAATCGTCACGTGCGAGGTCTTCGGTGCTGCCTGTGCTTGGTTGTTTCCTTGCAGAAGTTTCACGAGTCAATTCGGTAACGTCGTCAGTGATCCTAGCACTGATGATGTTACCTATTTGGGTAATGAAAAGTCGGCAACAAAACAGCCAAGCTCAGAGAGCACCAAGGACCTCACAGTCGTTCTCCTCCTCCTCCTCCTCCTCCTCCTCTCTGCAAACCTCTCTCCCTTCTAGGACTGATGATGTAACCTTGTTGGGTAATGAAACTGTCAGGTTTTCCAGCTGTCTTCAGATAAATTGCCCCGCAAACGAAGTCTTTTATAAAACAAATTTCCATTTTATTAAGCACAGCAGTTCTTACACCGACTTGTTGCAGCCGGCACTGACGTGCTGCCCCAAAACCCCTCCTCTTCCTTCCCCCACTCCTCTGCATTTATTGGCCATCTTCCCAATCATTCACCCCTAATCTACTGCTCCAATTCAAAGAATTTCCCCCCTCCCATCCATCTCCTAGGGGACATTATCTCCAGAGGAAATAAGTAGGTGAAAGGCAACCGTCCCGTTGCAGACGCCTGCATTCTCCTTCTTATGTCAGAACGAGGATAAATGCATCTTGACGTGCTGACAGAAACATCAGCAAGAAAACAAGCTCAGAAAGCACCAAGGACCCCTCGATTCTCCTCCTCCCCTCCCTCCCCCCCCCCCCCCCTCTACCTAGCACTGATGATGCTACCTAGGTGATATTAAAATGCCTGCAAGAAAACCCCACAGTTCAACCCTCAGCTACAAATATTCTCTTCTCTTGGTAAACTGCTTTATCCAACAGGGTGAAGCGAGACCAAGGACTCATCCTGCCCAATGCAGGAGGAAGGTTCTCTGGTCTAGGCCAGCTAATGTTTACCAGCCTTTTGTCCCCCCGTGTTCGTCTTAAGGTTCAAAGGCCCATCACCGAGATGACTCTTGATGGTGAGATGCTATTGCAAGAGCTGGAAAGAGATCCCGAAAACCAAAGCATCCTGTACTTGGCCGGATTGAGGAAATGCCAAGGGGAGACGGAGCTGCAAGAACAGCTGGGCCCTTTGAAAGGTTTACGCTCCATTTTTTGGCCAAGAGATCGCCAGACTGGAAAACAGAGGGATTACTGCTTTCTGAGTAAGTGTGGCCATCAATAAGGACTGTTCTCCAAAAACACCGATATTGTTGCATGAGATAAACCTGCGGATTAAGAGCCTTGAGTTCTCTTTTCTAGTTTTTCTCTTTCTCTTTTGGCTCTTAAAAATCTTTCCCGTTTCACAGCTCCGGAGCACACTCACTCTTACAGCTGGTTCTCGACCCACGACGACCATTTTATGACCTTTTTGTCTTGGTCATAGGGAAGGGAAGGTGGGGAATGGATAAGAGAGGGAGGGGAAGGAAAGGAAGCAAGCAAGCGAAGGGAAGGAGGGAGGGAGGGAGGGAGGAAAAGAAAGGAAAAGAAAAAGAAAAGTGAATAGATAGGGGAGGGAAGAGAAGTAAGGAAGCAAGCAAGCAGAAGGAAAGAAAAGGTGGTGAATGGATAAGAGGGAGGGGAGGGGAAGGAAAGGAAGCAAGGGAAGGGAAGGAGGAGGGAAGAAAAGAAAGGAAAAGTGGTGAATGGATAAGAGGGAGGGGAAGGAAAGGGAAGAAGGGAAGGGAAGGAGGGAGGGAGGAAAAGAAAGAAAAAGAAAAGGTGAATAGGTAGGAGAGGGAAGAGAAGGAAGGAAGAAAGCAAGCAGAAGAAAAGGAAAGGGGAATGGATAAGAGAGGGGGGAGGGGAAGGAAAGGAAGCAAGCGAAGGGAAGGAGGGAGAGAGGAAAAGAAAGGAAAGGTAGTGAATGGATAAGAGAGGGAGGGGAAGGAAGGGAAGGAGGGAGGGAGGAAAGGAAAGGTGGTGAATGGATAAGAGAGGGAGGGTAGGGGAAGGAAAGGGAAGGGAAGGAGGGAGGAAGGAAGGAAGAAGGCAAGGGAAGGAGGAGAATGGATAAGGAAGGGAGGGGAGGAAGGAAAGGAAAGGAGAAGAAATTACAAGGAATGTCTTAATTTAAACTGTTTTTATCTGGGCTGCCCCAACACGATTCTCAAGGCCACTGATCTGATTTCCCAGTGTATTAATTTGCATTATTTGGGGGTCTCCCTCCCAGGATTCCAGGGCCCGGAGTGCGCCTGCGAGGCCCTCCAAATCCTCCAAGGGAGCCCCTTTCGGAGCCGGAGAGCCCTCACGTCTCCCACGTTCTTCCAGTGGGCCTCTCTGGTGAATGAAAAGGGCCGAGGAGGAGCAGAAGTGCAAGAGAAGAAGCAGCAACAATCCTCGGATGAGGTGAGCCCCTGGGCTTTAGTACGTCAAGGTTGCAAGGGGTGGCAGAAGGAGAGCGAGATTCGGAGGCCTCCCTTTCAGTTCTGGGACGGACGAGAGAAGCTTCAGCCGAGCGCTGGAGGGCGCAGTTGGTTAAAGCGCACGATAGTAGTCCTCGACTTATGACCGCAACTGGCCCCCAAATTTCCATCGCTAAGCGAGAGGATAGTTGAGTTTTACAATGTCATCAGCGCTAGGAATGGGGTTGGTGGAGAGGAAGAGGAGAAGAAGGAGGAGGAGGAGGCCCGAGGGGTCCTGGGTGCTCTCTGAGCTTAGTGGTTTTCTTGCAAGACGTTTCATTACCCAACTAGGTAACATCATCAATGCTAGGAGGAGGGTTGGTGGAGAGGAGGAGGGGAAGAGGAGAGGAAGGAGGAGGACCGATGAGTCCTTGGTTGTTGTGGCTCCGTTACCTGAGCCTGTGTCATCGGCAGGAGAGGACTCCGAGAGTGAAGGAGAGGAGTTGGCAAGGCCTCCCTCTCCAGGACCCTCCTCTCTGGCAATGCCTTCGGTGTCCGCCAAAGGGCAAGAGATAGGGCTGGGGCCAAGCATGTCCACGCAGCCACAGATGGATAGTGATGAGGGTAATGAGTCTTGGCTGGATCCACACCAGCGTCGCAGAGATAAGCGTGCGCAACAGAAGAAAAGGCGTGCCCGAGATTAGGCTGAGTCACTTGATCACACCCCACAAGGTATAAAAGGGAGCGTGGTGGCCAGTCAAACCTTGTGACGAACAAAGCTGAAAGCTTCCACGCCATTCTGCATTGCCAGACTTTTGCTATAGACTTTGCTGGATTATCTCTGGACTTGATTGACTCTGTAATTACTGAGCTGTTTCCTTTGATGTACCAGAAGTGGGGAGAAGTTATCTCTCCTCTTCGTAAGTAATAAACTCTTGGCAGGCAGCCACTAGGTTGTTGCCAAGTTCCATTATCATAAGGAAAAGGATTTTGCCGGCTGGTTTGGTCTTTAACTCTTGAACGTCTGTTGGTGTGTGTGCGTGTGTGACGGGGACAGAACATTGGTGCTCTCTGAGCTTGGTGGTTTTCTTGCAAGACATTTCATTACCCAGCTAGGTAACCTCATCAGTGCTAGGAGTAGGGTTGGTGGAGAAGAGGAGGAGGAGGGGGAAGGAGGAGGACTGAGGAGTCCTTGGTGCTCTCTTAGCTTGGTGGTTTTCTCGCAGGTGTTTCATTACCGGCATTGACATTTGAACCGAAATGTTAAGCACCGAGTTTCTTGAAGCCATGGCTTCTTGCATCTTTGCTTTCTTGTTTTGCTCTCTTTCAATGAAAGCCTTTGCATCATTTCTCCGCAGGAACTTGGTTTAAAGAAAGCCATCAAGAAGCTGGACCGGAAAGTCAAAACACTCTATGAACGGGTTCCAGAGAATACACTTTGCCTTGTTCTGTTACCAGGCACCAACAGGTGGGGGAAAAAAATTACTTCCTTCTCTTTTCTTTTTCCACAAAAAAATCCTTATTTCACCTTGGATTGTCAGTCTGGGATCTCTTCTTTCTTGGAGTGATGCTTAGAGAACCAATGTGTCAGCACTTCAAGCTGCATTTACTCTAGTGCTGACATAAGAAGGAGAAGCGGAGGCGTCTGGAAAGGGACGTTTGACTTTTCACCTCCTTATTTTCCCTGGAGATAATATCCCCTAGGAGATGGGATGGGAGGGGGGAAATTCCTTTGAGCTGGAGCAGTAGATTAGGGGTAGAGTGACTTGGAAGATGGCCAATGAGTGCAGAGGAGTGGGGAACGGAAAGGGAGGGTTTTGGGTCTGGAAGTCAGTGTTGGCTGCGATGGAGTTGGAATTAGAATGTCGTGCTTAATAAATGGAAGTTTTTCATCAAAGACTTTGTTTGAAATGCAATTTATTTGAGACGACCTCGAAACCTGACACAATGTTTTGTTTGTTTTTTAAATTACTGTCCTGATTTACCCTATTTTTCGGAGTATAAGACGCACTTTTTCCCCCCTAAAAGAGGGTGAAAATTTGGATGCGTCTTATACACCAAATGTAGCCCTGCCCACCCACTGGCCCCCATCCTTTGGCCTCTGCCTCCCAGCAATTTGCCTCCTTGCAGCAAGCAGCAAACAGCCCATTTCAGCTTCAGCACAGTCTGATTAGCACAAGCAGCTGATTGTTGGTTGGATCGGCCTCCCAACCCTCAGCTGTTTTAGCCTGCAGGGATTGCCATAGCCTATTGCCACATGGGCCTCCGTTGTTTGCTGCAAGGAGGCAAATTGCTGGGAGGCAGATTTTTTTTTTCTTATGCTAATCAGCTGTGAAGAAAATGAAACTGAAAGTAAAGCAGGCTGTTTGCTGCAAGGAGGCAAATTGCTGGGAGGCAGAGGCAGATTTTTTTTTTCTTGTTTTCCTCCCCAAAAAAAGGTAGGTGCGTCTTATAGTCCGGAGCATCTTATACTCCGAAAAATACAGTAGATAACTTTGCTGCAATCCAGCAGTTAGAAACACAAAATAAACAAACGCAAAATAAATACGTTTACTGGTAGATCAAGTACAAGTCATCCTCGATTTAGGACCATCATTGAGCCCAAAACAAGACAGAAGTTAAGCGAGCTTTGTCCCTGTTTATGACCTTTCTTGCTCCCGTCGTTAAGCGAATCATGGCAGTTTTGAAGGTTGTTAAGGGAATTGGGCTTCCCGTTGACTTTGCTGGCCAGAAGGTCACAAAAAGGAGATCACATGACCCCGGGATGCTGCAGCTGTCACTAAGTGTGAAAAACAGTCCCTTTTTTCGTGCCTTTCTACCTTCAGACGGTCACTAAATGAATTGTGGCAAATCGAGGATCACCTGTAATTCAAATTTAACCTGCTCAGTTTTGGGGGGGATTTCTGCTCCTGCAATTCACTTTATTCAAGAGCTTTAATAATAGGCAGCAAAGCACGTTTTCTGAAGAAATCTTAACACAGATTTTTCTCACTTTTCTTGCAGGCTCACCGCTCTTTTAGTGGCCTCAGCCTTTTGGGAATCAAAGGCGAAAAGAGCATTTCCACGTCCTGCTAAAAGCTTCGAGGGCCCCGTTTTATTTTTTCGGGGGGGGGGGGCGCGGGCAGGGAAAATCCCCGTCTCTCGAATATCCTGAATGTCTCCAAGCTTTGCCAAGCATTTAAAAAAATATAATATATATTAAATTATTTTTTTAAGGCATTCAGCCATCTAAAGAATTCGATTCCATTGTTAATGCAGGAAACATTCTTTTTTTTTAAGGCTCCCTGCAGACTGCCAGATGTTGGGGGAGTTTCTGAAGGGGGGGGGCAGAAACAGCAGAAAAGATGGTAGTTGTGGCACCAAATTTCAGTCGCTAAACCTGACTTTTTAAAAGGTTTCCATGCCGTTTCTGGACAGCAGCAACGTTTCAAAGGCTTGGCTTTAGATTTTAATTTTTTTAAAAATAAAAAAAGAGGACAGAATGGTTCCACTCCCGTGAAATTTATTCCCTCTACAGGCAAGTCCTCGATTTACAACCGCAATTAAGCCCAAATTTCTGTTTGCCAGGCGTGACGGTTCTTAAGTGAGTTTGGCTCCTTTTTGAGGACCTGGCTAGGTGGCGCAGTGGCTAAGACGCTGAGCTTGTTGATCCGAAAGGTCGGCAATTCGGTGTTCAATCCCTAGGTCTCTCTTCCAACTCTGTTACTGTTGTTATTTTTATGACCTTTCTTGCCACTGATTCGGACAGTGAGGAGGTTGGGGAGGAACCTGGGCCAGTCCTGGAGTCTGGGGAAGGCTTGATGAGGGCTCTGCGTCGGAGGCAGAGAGGGGGCCAGGGCCGTCTGACAGTTACCAGCTGCCTTCGGAGTCAGACATCAGTGAGGCAGAGGAACAGCTGGAGCCTGTTCCCAGCGTGCACATGTGCAAAGTTGCCAGACGAAGAGAACAGCTAAAGAACAAGGGACGACTCAGGAGTAAGGCCACAGGTGGACGATGAATGGCCCCTCCCAGAGGGAATAAAAGAGGAGCGAAAGGGGAGTGGAGTTTGCAGGAGACAATTGAGTTCGCCTAATTGGTTCGTGACTCTCCGAGACTCCTTGCCAAGTTTTGAAGATATCGGCCTGGCAGCTCTCCAAGCCAGATGAGATCTGTGACTGTAAATTCTCCCTTGAAAGACTTGGCTGGAGGTGAATGAGAGGAATTCACTGTTTGTTTAATAAAAGGGGTTTTGTTGGAACCAGGATTCTGCTTCGTGCTTTTTGGAGGAGCCTGAGTCAGAGCAGCCACAACCGTTAAGTGAATCACTGCAGTTGTTAAATTAGTAACACCGTTGTTAAGTGAATCTGGCTTCCCTGTTGACTTTTTTTTTTTTTAATTTGATTTATATGCCGCCCTTCTCTGGAGACTCAGGGCGGCTTACAGCGCGTTAAGCAATAGCCTTCATCTTTTTGTATATTTATACAAAGTCAGCTTATTGCCCCCACAAACTGGGTCCTCATTTTACCTACCTTAGAAAGGATGGAAGGCTGAGTCGACCTGAGCCTTGGCAAGATTCGAACTTACTTTAATTGCAGACAGCTGGTGTTAAATTACAGTGCTTAGTCTGCAGAGCTATCCAGGCTTCTTTTGAGAAGAAAAAGACCTCGACTTTGAGGTCGCAAAAGGGGATCACGTGGCCACAGCAACCGTCGTAAATATTGGGGGGTCGATATCGTCTTAAGACTACCTGACTGATGCACTTTGCATGGCTACAGGTGAAAAGGAAATTGGTACGGTTACCACCAGGTGATTCCCCCCCCCAAGGTCGGGAATCCGCTTGGTCCCAAGGAGAGATGAGAAGGAAGAGCTAAATCTGCCTTTTGTGAAAGAAAGAAAGAAAGAAAGAAAGAAAGAAAGAAAAGAAAGAAAGAAAGAAAGAAAGAAAGAAAGAAAGAAAAAAGAAGCAAGAAAGAAAGAAAGAAGCAGCATTGTGGGAAAATTAAAAATAAAATGTGATAGGAAAAAAAAATATCAAGATCTGATCAGTCTTACGTTCTACTTGGGCACCTATCCTCACAAGTTATTGATATGCCTACAGTCTCCTCACTTAATGACCGAATTCTTAACTAAAATTCGAAGTTACATCTCACCCCCAAAAAGATACAGGTAGTCCTTGACTTACTATCACAACTGAGCCCAAAACTTACGTTGTTAAGTGAGACATTGGTCACACGGAGTTTGCCCCGTTTTATGACTTTTCTAGCCACAGTTGTTAAGTGAATCTGGCTTCCACGTTGACTTTGCTTGTCAGAAGGTTGCAAAACGGGATCACGTGACCCCCTCCCCCCAGGGCCACGGCAACCGTCATAAATATGAGTCGGTGGCCAAGCGTCCTAATTTTGACAACGCAACGACCACGGGGATGCTGCTAGAGTCGTAAGTGTGAAAAACGGTCGGTCTTTTTTTTTTTTTCCCGGTGCCGTTGTCACTTCGGTCACTGAACGAACCGTTGTAAGTCGAGGACCACCTGTCCAGTGAACCAGAATAGACTAGAATAATGAAAAGAATAAGATGTCTGAAGAAATCTGCAAAGATGGCAGATTTTTTTTTTTATTAACGGGCGGGGCGGGGCGGTGAGAACATTTTGCCAGATATTCTGCTAAAAAAAAAAGGATTCGGCAATTCAGGGGGAGAAAAAAATTCCCAGAAAATGTAGTGTATTAGGGGAGGGGAGGGGAGGGGAGGGAAATTCTTCCAATTCAGTCTTGGCCCTGTCTGTGTGGGTGACTCCAGCTGCAAAAAATAAGCTTTAAAAGTTTTACCACCTCCGCGACAGCTCCCAGCGATTGTCTGGAAAAGCCCACGATGCACAAAAAGCAGTTTGTGTGTTGCTAAAGGCGTCCCTCGCTCTCGGGGGGCAACCAGGTTCCCATAATCGAGCTTTTCATAAACGCCCCCCCCCACGCCCCGGTGGTATGCTTTTCTTTTCTTCTCTGCCGCCGCATAACAGGGAAGCCGAGCGCATACCGTTGGGTCTGGAGGAAGTGGCAGGCTTGGCTTGGCTCGACTTGACCCTGGAGAAAATGGAACCTCTGAATCACACATCTTGGTCGCTTTCCATTTTCTTCATAAAAGGCAAAAGATTTCAGCTCCGAGCTGGCAGACGGAAGATGCTGCGTTGGGAGGCAGGAATGCACCAAGATGGGAAACCCTGACAAATGCCGGATGGCCTTCGCTCCTCTCATCCTGCTCCCTGCTTGGCATGGAGTCTCTCTCTCTCTCTCTCTCTCACTTCTCTCACTCACTCCCTCTCTTCTCTCTCTCCTCTCTCACTCCCTCTTTTCTCTCTTCTCTCACTCCCTCTCCTCTCTCTTCTCACTCCCTCTTTTCTCTCTCACTTCTCTCACTCCCTCTCTTCTCTCTCTCCTCTCACTCCCTCTTTTCTCCCTCTCTTCTCACTCCCTCTCCTCTCTTCTCACTCCCTCTTCTCTCACTCCTCTCTTCTCCCTCCTCCCTCCCTCTCCTCTCACTCCTTCTCCTCTCCCTCTCTCCCTTTTCTTCCTCTCTTCTCTCACTCCCTCTTCTCTCTCCTCTCACTCCCTCTCTTCTCTCACTCCTCTTCTCTCTCCTCACTCCATTTCTCTCTTCTCTCACTCCCTCTCCTCTCTCTTCTCACTCCCTCTCCTCTCTCTCTCCCTCTCTTCTCTCTCTCCTCTCACTCCCTTTTCTCCCTCTCTTCTCTCCCTCCCTCTTTTCTCCCTCTCCTCTCTCTCTTCTCTCACTCTCTCCACACACACACACACAATCATATATATACATAACACATATATAAGGTAAAGGTTCCCCTCGCACATGTGCTAGTCCCGTGATGGTGAACCTATGGCACATGTGCCACAGGTGGCACGCAGAGCCTTCTGT